ACAACATTGACAGAGATGTCTTCTGTCTGATTAGATTTGCTTGATAATGCACCAGCATTAGCAAGATAATTAGTAGGTACCGAAGTACCCATTGGAATATTGGATGCCGAAGCACCAATGTTCGGAGGATCCTTGGACCCCATGTTAAGAACGTTTTTTTTTGAGAGAGAGAGAGAATTTGTTGATTTTTCTTTAATACACAATACGACTTATGAGTGAGATCTGTCCCTTTATATATCCCTTTTATTTTATTGGACTTTATTCCTTGTTGTAATAGTTTGAACAAACAAAAGTTTAAAGCTTTTTATTCATTAGCTTAAGTTTGTTAACGTTCCCAGGCTTTTGTAATAAATTTATCTTATCGCTTTTCAATTAATGCAATTTCTCAAAAGGAAAAAGAAATTATTATTTTTTGTTGTTGTAATGCTTGAGAGCGAGAGCTTTGATCTCTCAGCAAAATTATTTCCGCTGAAGGGGAAGAAAAATTGTAAATGTGCACAAGAGCAAACGCCAAATTTATAAAACGCCATAACTCATAGCCCAAAATGTCACTAAAATTGATTGCCAGGCATTGGCCTTAAACATCGGGATCTGTGAGGATTAATTTTATTCAACTCGACTTTGTTTAATTCTGATTGTTTCGGATTTATTGACTCTGGATTTATTCAACTCGGATTGTCCCTCACACACACGTTATTGTTATTTCTTATTTATTTATTTAAGTAAATACACACATTTATTTATTTAAATAAATACACACACAACCCCTCATTTTGGACTTTGTTTGAGTAAATGTGGTTAACTACTTATTTCACATTCCAATGTGTAAGTGGAAATAAAAATTCACGAAAATTCACGCGAGGGGGGAAAAAATTTTACGATAATTCACGAGAGTGGAAAAAAATCACGAAAATTTTACGAGAGGGAAATTAAACTGTCATATATTTAAAAATAGAAAGTAAAAAAAAAAAATTTTTAATTGGATTGAAAATTTTCGGACAAAATTGTTGAGTTTTTTTTGAAACTGTGTCAGTTAAAGGAATAATCAGAATAAAAAGAAAAACATTTGTCAATTGTTTGAGAGAGGAAATACAAAACATTTATTTAAACAGACTTTTCTTTGTAAGTAAAAAAACTTATCGTTAATTTTTCCATTGGGAAGTGAATTGACTAAAAATAAGACTAGACTGACTTCTCGGCTTTCAAATGGTCAGTGTTGCATATAACTTTTTCCATTAAATTTGACAGTAACTTAAGACGCTTGTTTTGCAATTTTTAATCCAAAAAAAACTTGATAAAGACATGTTTTTGTTTCCATTTGCTTTTCAATAAAAGAACAACAAATATTTAGAAAATGTTTGTTGTTGTTGTTGATACTAGAAAATGTTTGTTGATACCAGAACATGTTTAATTACAAAACAAGCACCAATTTTTAAAGCTCTAATTTTATAATTTATGAAAGCAAAGCATTAAGTTTGTAGTGTAGTTGGAAACGACTAGGTTTTGAGTCTATAAAAGAAAATGCGACGAGGGTTCGAACCCCACCGGTTGTAAGAATTTTTTTTTTTGAAAATGAACTTAAAATACAACAGTAATACATAAAAGACTGAAATTAGGCCTGTAATATAATCAAATTTAATTCACAAAACAAGCAAAAAAAAAATTTCTTGATTAATTTTAGGAATTATGGATTTAATAAAATTAATTTTCTCTCTAATAGAATTTTACTAGTATGTATTATTAACAGACGAATAACACTAGAAAAGGAAAGAGGTATTAACAGAGGATTCTGTATAGAAATAGTAAGAGATGAATTAAAGCGCTAATAAACAAAATACAGAATAAGAAAAAAAAATTTTTCTCATTTTCAAAATGACAATTTTTCGGATGAGCCCTCTCTTCTTTTTCACTTTACCCCCAAAGAGTCAGTCTACTTAATTTTCATATTAAATTTTATTTTCCAATTAGACTTGGACTAGTGTTTATTGTAGCGAAAATAAAGTGAGAAATAAAAGAAAACAGCAAAATGTGTGTGAGAAAAAGTAGTCGTAATAAAAACTAAAAACCAGTGACTATTTTTATTCTTTTGTATTTTCGATTTAAAATGGAGAAAGGTTAAAAATTAGCTCGATTTAAGAATGGAGAAAAAAAAATTTTAGACAAGAATAAAAATTAAAGGAAAATTTTCTCTCATTTTCAAAACTCAATTTTCGGCTCTTTTTTTCATTTTACCCCAAAAAGTCAGTCTACTTTATTTATTAAATTTTATTTTTCAATTAGAATTGGATTAGTGTTTATTGTGGCGAAAATCAAATGAAAAATAAATAGAGAAAACAACAAAATGTGTGAGAGTGAATAGTTGTAATAAAAACTAAAAACGAGAGACTATTTATATTCCTTTTTTTTAATAGAGAAAGGTTAAAAATTAGATAGATTTAAGAATAGAAAAATTTTAAAATAGCAAAAACCTTTAAAAATAGAGAAAAATGGAGAAAGAATTGGCGAGTACAGTAAAGGAATTGTTTATTAAAATTCTGTTATATAAGTCGGATTTTTTTTGGGAGCCAATCAACACTTGATAGTCATCCGTGTCGAGTGGTTTCTCATGAGTCTGCACCATATACTCTCTAGAATGAGTGTCAAGTGCTTTTCAAACAAAAAAATTTTTTTTTGAAAGTTAATATACTTAACACTTGATACGGATGTCATGTAGGAGGGTGCACTTGACACCCGACAAAACAGTGGGAGTGTGCACTTGACACTCGACAAAATACTCGACACGGATGTGGAGTAGCCTAATTTAACAACATTTAGTATGTGGCAAAATCGCTTTCACGGGATCCTGTAATTTTTACCATTTATAAATTTTAGTTTCAATTACAATTTCAAAAACTGTTTTGTAAATGTTAAAATTAATTTTCAAAAAAAAATATTTTCCGGAGAAAAAATAAAAATAAATTTTATGTAGCATTGAAAATACACAAATGAAAGATCAATTCATTTTCCTTACTAAAAATAATATAAAATGAGAAAAGGCTGACTTTTTCTAAATGCAAAAAGGTTTATTTTTAACCGGCTCCGTCTGACACGACTGGCAGAATTAATTCTTATTTCTTTTAGAGAAAGAAGAGAACAAAAAAAATTGTTTAAAAATGCAAAGTGAATAATAAAAATGAGCAAAACACAAAAACAATTTTTATGAGTAAGAAAGACTGTGTATAGGCCAAACAACAAAATTGTATTTTTAAAAAGGCGAAAATTTTTTTTTTTTTAAATTTCAAAAGCCGTAGGCCAAAAGATCACTTTTTTTGCACAGTCTGGGGGTTGCCCCTCTCCACTAACCACCCTCTGTTTATAGTCTAGCCTTAAATTATGGTTTTTGACAGATGAGAGAATAAGCACAAAGTATTTTTTTTTGAATAAGAAATAATAGATTTTTCAAAATGGTCTTTTTCAAAATGGTCTAACTTGAGAATGGTAATTTTAGAAATGGTCAAATTTAAAAAAAATCAATTTAAAAATGGTCAGATTTATAATGGTAAAATTTCTAAATGGCCAACTTTAAAAATATTTTTGGAAAATTAATTTAAACGGATGAATGAATACGCACAGAACTAAACTCTTTCTTTTTTTAAAGTCCCATTTTAGATAGATTTAAACTATGAGTTTTGAATCGGCTCTAACATAATTTTTTTTGAAAGCCATAAATTTTTGAATCAGCCCTAGAATTTTGAATTGGCCAAAAATTTTTCTTTTTAAGTTCCTGAATAAATTTTCTCTTATTTTTAGTAATACAGTAATACAGCCATAAAGAAATATATTTTATGTTATATTTTTTTAGAAAACTACCATGAATTTATATTATTTTCCAATTAAAACAATTTTTTTTTTAATTAAATGTTGTTGTTGTTGTTAAGTATTCTACATAGCTAGTAGTACATAGAATAAATTTAGTAGGTACCTAAGTACCCAAATGTAAAGCATCACCTTTTGGTGGAAAACTTGAATTAGGTGGAAAAACATCACCCTTTTTTGTAGGCCAGAATTAATAAATATTTTTGTAGGGCCGTGATTAATTATTTTCTTCTTCTATTTTTTTTTGTTAAGGCCAATATGAATAATTAATTTCTTCTTTATATTTTTTTTTTTGTTAAGGCCAATATGAATATTTTTGTTGTTGAATATTGTATATATTAATAATATATAAAATGCGCTAGTAGGTACCTAAGTACCCAAATGGTGGAAATGCTCACCCTTCCCGGGGAAAATAAATTTACCATGCCCTACTGTAGCCTCCCGGGCCGGTCCGTGCACTGACCGGACCCGGGGAACGCGACGGACCTTTCCCTTACCCACGAAGGGTAAGGAGTCCGGTGCTACCAGTTAAATAGGGGCCCGCCTATTTAAGAATGAGGAATTGAAGGTGGAAGATATTAGAATCCCAGAGGTGTTAGAGCTAAGTAGGGGTAATGGTTTCGACATGCCGCTTGATCTAGCATATAGCTGACCGTAATCAATAATATAAGCTCAGTTGGAATGTTCTTCAACTGGATAAAAGAGTGACTCACAGTCCAGGCCGACTGAAGCGCTTTTCCCTATTTTCCTTTTGATTATAAGCTTCTTCTCTATAGGCGGGTCTATCGCTTGTTTCTCACTGATTACACTTTGCAACTTCCTATTGCCTAGCGTATGAATTCCGCCTTTCCCTATTCACGTGAATTTCCTTTTTGGCCTTTTAATCAAAGTCCACCTAGCTCTCGGATTTAACTTTAGAGTCTAACAATAACAAGTTAATTTTCATTAATTTTTTAGATTTACATAAGTAAATATTTATTCAATTAATTTGTAATTAATTCAAAAATAACTACAAAATTATCCAAAAAAACATCAAAAAATCAACGGGAAAATTTATTTTATGAAAATCGACGGATTTTCTTCAACTCCAGGCAATTAACAGGCCCTCAAAATTTGGAGAGTTAAACTTGGTTACATAACAAAAGATGTCGGCAAATGGAAGTAAATGGAAAAAAGGGCTGGAAGAAGGACAACAACAAAGTTTAATACAAAAGGTTTCTTTTATTTTTAATAAGTATTTTGGGAATTATCCTGTAAGGGCGTATCTAGCGGTGGCCCCTGAAATCTGACTTTTTTAGGTCTTAAATGTCCGGCATTTCAATCTAAGCTTTGTTCGGTTAAGATTCTTTCTTAAAGGCAAATTTTATTTTTATTTAAATGGTTATCCCCAATTATCTCTTCTGCTTCCCGCAAATGTCCTCCTCTCTTCATCTCTCCTTCCTCTCTTCATCTCTTCTTAATTAATCCAAAAGTTTCTTTCTTTACAATATTTCTCCCTTAATCCTTTTAAGTAATCCCAAGGTCAAAATGCACAGCTTTAAAAGCTCTACATCTCTTTTATCTTTCTTACTTTATTTTCTTTTTATTTTTACTTAAATATTAACCTAAATTTATATGTTGAATCAGACCTTGCTTCTTTTTTTAATTAAAATCTTGGCTAAATTCTACAAAAAATTTTTATTTGGTTTTCATCAGTGAATCCGAAACCTGGGGCTTTCCTGACTCCTTTTTTTTCTTAACTTTTGTAACATCCATGGCTTCCGTGCCTAAATTAGGGGAAACTTTTTTGTAGTTCTTTTTTCTTCTATTTTTCTCCCATTTCTTAATTCATCTAAAAAACACAACTTTTTTTTGATCTTTTTCTAATGTTTTTTCTAGAGACTTGTTTAACTAACTAAATATACACAATTTGCGCAAACAAGTAAATATAACTAAATTTGTATTTATAACTGTTGTTGGTTGCTTGTTTTGTATGCGCCAAATTACGCCTTCCCTTTTCTTTTAATGGTGGCTAGAAGGGGGGAATGCTTTTTATTTTTCTTCTTTCCTCTTCCTTCAGTTTCCTCGTCTTTCTTCAATCAGTTCCTCCTCTTAATTTCTTTCAAGCTTTTTTATTTATTTATTTTTATGCATCGTTGGTTTATTACGTGATTTTTTTGATTATATTTTTTGGACAAAAAAACTTTAAAAATTAATTAAATAACTTTTTTGGATATCCTCCCCTTTCCCTCTCTCCTCTCCTTCTCCTCAACCTCTCCTCCACCCTTTGAGTTTTCCTCAAAGGTGGGGGAGGGAAGTTTTCCCTGATATGTGCATAATGGTCAAACTAGTGAGAACATGAGGAAGTCTGACATACGTTATTTAAATATTAAAGAAAACTCTAAGACGAACTAGGCATGGGAGAGCGGGGGAATGATATCTCAAGTGTTACCAAAAAAAATAGAAAATTTTTGATTTTATTTTTAAATCAAAATTCTTTAAAAATGATTAATTCTTCAAAAATAAAAATCATTAAACAAACAATTTCAATTTTCTTCTTTTTATTTTTACTTTAATATTTTTTCCTCTTCTCTTTATCCTTTTTTTAAATTTATTTTTAATTAATTAATTATTTCTTCTCTTTTTTCTTCGGTGTTCTCTCTTGTGTGGCTGGGCATTTTTATATTTTTATGGTTAAAATTTTAGAAAAATTTTAGAATTGACCGAGGGGTGGTTCGAAACCTGACCGGGGATATTTATTTTTTTAAATTAAAAAAAAATCATTAAATTAATTAAAAAATATTTTTCGATTAAATATACAAAAAATTACGTAAAAAAGCAAATAGTAATAATATTATTTTTATAAATGCACACACATACATAATGTGCAGTCAGCCAAAACTTTTATTTTTTTCTATTTTTTTTTTTTGTATTTCCTTTAAAACTTGAATTTATATTTTTTTAATTATTTCTTCCCCAACTTTTTACCCTTTCAATTTAAATATTTAATTTTGTATTTTAATTATACAATTCATCTTATAGACGATTCACCGTCTATCAGGGATATCAAGAGTTACCCGAACCTCAGAACTTTTTCCGGCACAAAATTCAGAACCCAACCCAGCTTTTTCCCTGTTTAATTCCCAGAGTGACTTGACCCTACCCGACTCAACTTTTTTTCTTTTTAATCCGTGACATCCCTGATTATTTCTACTTAAATTTGATAGCATTACAAAATTAGACCCTCTCCCCTCTATTTATTTTTAAATTAATTTTTATCAATATTTTTTTTTTGTTTTTAGCGCGAGACTTTTTTAAACCATTTTCTTCTTTCTTCAAACAATTTTCTATTTCAATTATATATTAATAAATTTATTTTTATGTGCACTTTTCGACCTTGTGTTTATATTTCCTTCTTTTTTCCACACACCTTTTACGCGGGGTTTTCTTTCCTTTAAACCCAAAAACAACCAAAAACAATAAGTAAAAGACAAAATTTCGCGCAGCAGAAATTTTATTTGAAAGAAGAATAGCGCTGCTATTTTATAACCTTTTTTTTCTCAATCACACCTTTTATTTTTAGGTATTTTAAATTTTTTATGAGAGAGGTCTCTCTCCAATTTATTTTTTATTTTATTGAAATTTAAGTCAAAATTCTTGATATTTTTCCGTTATAGGCCCGCACACAGTTTTTTTTCTAGAGGCGATTTATTTGGACTTATAATTTCGTCCAGAATCTTTGGAGCTGATTCTTGGTCCCCTAGTTTTTATAAATCAAAGGACTTTGGGCCTAGTCACTTCATAAAGTACAGCAAATAAATTTGTGGACATATAACGGAAAATTACCAAGAAATTTCAAAAAATTTTTTTTAATTAAAAAATTTTTAATTTTTTAAAATAATTTTTTAGTGCCTTCAAGAACGGGTCTGTGAGCTCTTTTTAATGCAAGATTATAATATCAAAAAAATAAGCAACAATAACAACAACAACTGTCCAATTTCATCACCCCCTCCATTTTTTCGTTCCCCAACTTTTCTTAATGAACGAATACCTCAAGCACTTTTTAGCAATGGTTACGTGTTTTTAACTAATTAATTAATTTAATTAATTAAATTTTTAGGTACAAAAGGTTTATTACCCAACAACAATCGTTTAAGTGATAGTGGCGGAAGAAGGGAAGGAGGTGGAGGAAGTGCTGTGGGTGGTGTGGGGGTCACCGGAAATGGCGGCAGTGTTGTTCGAAACATTCCTATTCGTGTGTTGGATACTCCCGATAATTTATCATCAAAGGTTTAAAATTTTTTTTAATAAAAAAGGGAAAGAAAGAACAAAATTAAAAAATTTGGTTAAGAAATTGGGGAAAGACTAATTAAAATTTTGTTGGGAAATTTTTCTTTGCGAAAAAAATTTTTTTTGAAAATATTTCTGAGTCTATTTTTAAATCTATTTTTAAGCTTTTTTGCTCGTTATTTAAAAAAAATATATTTTTTAAATTTATTTTTTTGAATTTATTTTTTCTCTCAATATTTAATTAGCTCCCAATTAATCAAGTTTGACGGGAAATTCTTTCTCCCTTTCCTTTTCTCTTTTTCCGTTTGTTGCATCCGTATCAATTAAAATATAAAAATAGCAAAAGTGCCTCTCTCTCTTTTTTCCGAACACGCCCAAAAATTACACCAAAAAAATATTTTTTAGAAATAAGCCTAGGTGAGCGTTAAAAAAGATTTTTTGCAAAAACGCCATAACGCCAATAATTGCAAAAATAAAAGTGCACACACACAGCCCCAAAGTTTTTGAGGGAGGGAGGATCAAGCTTTTTTGATAAAATCTTTTTAGTTGTTCCTTTTTATTTTTTTTGTTTTTCATCAATAATATATAAAAATACACTCTCAAGATGAAAGGGATATATTTATTTTGCTAATATTTTTACAAGTTAGCATTTGTTGGGGTGTGTGTGATTTTTAGGAGGAAACTCGTTCCTTTATTATTATTAAATTATTTTTTTAAAGAAAAAATTTTGGAAAAAATAATTTGAAAAATAGTAGTATATATAAAATAAGGTGCACATAGCCAAAAAGCCTGTGAGTATTTTTTCTCTCGAACTCCCTAGTTTTTCCGAAATCCCTTTTTTTCTTAAAATCCGTGGGTTTCGGGTTAACTCTGAATTTGTATAAATTTTTTTAAATTTTTAAATTTAAATTAAAACCAAAATTTTTTTAATTTATAGCACCAAAGAGAACACCAACAACAACCATTATTTGAACAACAACAATCATCTTTATTAAATACTCCTGAAAGGATGGATTTGTCAACTTCATTGTCATCAGAAAACAATTTTAATAATAAAAATTTCTCCCCAATTTCTTCGCCTGATTTGCGCCGTCAATTTTCTTCATTATTTTGGACCCCACAACAAGCTAAGAGAATTGCTGAAAGAGAAAATTCTAAAAACATTCCTGCTGTTTTTATTCAACAACAACAGAATAATAGAGAATTTATTGAAGATGCTAATCATTACGGTTTTTTTTAAATTAAAGAAATTTTGAAAACGACTTTTTTGCTGTCAAAATTTTCGGATTTTTAAAAATAATTTTTTTAAATTTTCTAAATTAAAAATTTTCAAGCTAATTCATCAAAAGAAATTAATAATTATAATTCTTTATCTCGACCTTCAAATAATCATACAACAACAAATTCGTCTGGTTTTGGTAATGGTTCAACAGTAACATTTTATTCAATACCAATATCTCAAAAAGAGCAAGAAATTGAAAATAAAAGTCTTCTTAAAAATCAAAAAGAAAAAAATGGAAAATTAGAATTATCAAATAATAATTTAAATAAACAACAGCAACAACAAAATGTTCATTATTCTGCTATACCTTTTCGTAGAAGAATTGGTGGATTATTGGGAAGGTTTTTTTTCTTTTCTTTTTTCAAATAAAAATTATTTTTTAAAGTATGAGTGCAATTTCTACACCTTCACTATTTCATCAAAGAGAGGATGAAGAAGATAAAAAACCAAAATCTCATTATCAAAATATCGAGTAGGGATATTAAAATAGGAAAATAAGGAAAAAATTTTAAAGAAAATTTTTTAAAAATTTTTAGGAGAAAAATATTTTTTTAGTTTCAACTCTGACAAAAATAAATTAATGAAAGAACAACAACAATTTAGCCGTCCATCCAATCTTTCAAATAATAAATTAAACAATACTGGAGCAATTACAACATCACAAACAACTTTTCCAACAAATTCAAACAAAACAAATGAAACAAAACATCAACAAACTAATTACAACAACAGTAGCAGCAATTTTCCTTTACAACATTTGTTCAGACGTAACCAAACAAGTGAAAAACAAGGTTTTTTTAAATTTTGATTAAAACATATGACAAACTTTATTGTTAAAAACATCTAATGTTAAGACAAACAAACATCTTTTAAAACAAACAAAACATCTATAATTTAAACAAACTTTTTAAGCATTTTCTACTCCAAACACCGCTAATATAAATTTCAACAACAACAACAATTCAGCCCAACAACAAATTCGAAATAGAAGTGTTGAAGCAACAGATTTATCTTCAAGAAATGGATTAAATAAAACACTTCCTTTACTTCCTCGTCGTGATTCTGAACCTTCAATTATTTTATTTGCTGCAGCTGAATCCTCACCACAACAACAATTTTCTGAGCAAAAAGAAAAGCAACAAATTTCTTCTTCTATTCAATTACCAAATAAGATTATGAAGCAAGAAAATCGAGAAGAAAATGACAAAACAACAAAAATAGTTTCAGAAGATTCTTCCAGTCTTTTATCAACTACCCAATCATTAGAATCGTCTTCTTCTTGTTCTGCTTCAATTTCTGCCTCTCCATTAGCTTCATCTTCCTCAAATATATCAACAACAAAAAATAATATTAATAATTTACCTCAATCACGTCAGCGTATAAAATCTCCAAGTCTTGCAGCATTAAGACAATCACTTTTGCGTTATCGACCTTTACGGAAAAATAGTACAAGTAGTAATAATAGTGGAAACAATAATAATGAAGAAAATGTTTCAGGTTGAATTAAAAAAATTAAAATAACCGGAAAGAATGTTTTCCGTTCGAAAAGAATGTTTTTCCGAACGTAAACAATGTTTTAGGTTTGGGAAGGATGTTTTCCGTTCGATGCTTCCGGTTGGAAAACAAATGTTTTTCCGGTCTTAAAAACGATTTTTTAACTAAACAATAAAATTTTTTCCCGTAAACAAACTTTCCGGTTTTTAGTTTTTTTCTTTTTATAAACAATCTATTTAGCAAAAACAAAAGGCAAATTACAAGAAACAACTTCATTAACATCAACAGACACTTTATCAAATTCTTCTGATTCAAACGAACATTCAAAACAACAAAAAAACTTTATGTCACGCTCAATGTTTTTAACTCCATCAAAACTTTGTTTAACAAAATTTGCAACAAATAATCAAAATAAAAATTCTGAAAATAATGAGAGTAGCGAGAAGATGGATGCCGTTGAAGAAGCAATACGCAGTTTGGAACAATTTGGTATTTTGTAAAAAATTTTCTAAAAAATATTTTTATTTTTAGATCCAAATGAATTTGTTCATTATCAATATCAACAAGATGCTGAAAATAATAATAAAAATAATAATTTTGCTCAAAACCAACCACAACAACAAATAATAGCAATTCAGTCAACTACACCACAACCTAAATTATATATTGCTAAAACAGAACAACCTATTTATTTAAGTCAGCCATATTGTTGTTCTGTTACGGCGTCTCCTATTGTTTTTGAGGTTAAAAAAATTTTTAATATTTTTTTTTCTATTTTAATATTTTTTAGCAACCCAGCCATCTATCTTCTCTTTCTTCCTTACCTTCTGCCATCGAAGATCAACAATTTAATAATAATAAAAAACTTCTACCCCCTTCACTTCCATCAATATTGCATAGAGGTACCTCTACAAATACCGCATTTTCTTCATCTTCTGGATCTGCAACACCAACACAAACTGCTACAAATTTTGTTTTGGATGGTTTATTTACTTTTTTATTGTGTAAACTAAAATTTTATTTAGGGCCATCATCTTCCTCATTTAACTTTTCAATGGATGATAATCAAAATAACAACCAATTTTGCATTAATAATCCGCCTACAAATACTACAAACACTCCTAGAGCTAATTCTCCAACTATTGAGGAAAACGATGAGGCAAATGAGGAACAAAATAAAGTTATTTCTGAGGCACCACCCAGGTTTTTATCCCTTTTATATTTTTTTAATTAAAAAAAATTTTTTTAGAAGAGGTGTCACATTCAATGATAATCTTGTACAGCATTTTTATGCTCCATTTGATGGGTTTGTGTTGAAACATTCTTAAAATTCATAAGAAAAAAATTTTTTTCCAGTCCTCCTCCTGACTACAGTGAAAGTGGAGGTGATAGTAATGATGATTTGGATGATGATATTTACAATGCTGAAGAGCTACCAGACGATGAAATAGATGCTTTAGATAGCGTGACAGATAGCGAAGAATTCTATATAAATAATAAAATTGTGCCAAATTCATCATCTTCTTCTGCTGCTTTAGAGGCAAAAGCACAACTTCGTAAAAGATTTCTTTGTTCTCAATTAAATGATTGTGCAAAAGTAATTGAAATTGGTGCTTTAAAAATGGGACAATTTGTGAATGTTAGCTTAGAAATTGGTGGATGGAGGCAACCACATATTCTTCGACACAATTTGGGTGCTATACGTGACACAATGTTTTTTTTACTTTTGAATTTAAAGATTATTTTTACAGTTACACTGTTGAAATTGCTCTTGACGAGTTAGTTGAAACATTGGGACGAATTTCTCTACATAGGAGAGACCCTCGACAAGAACATTTGAGGCTATTATTCCAACCTTGTGAATATTCTTTAACTTTGTTGAGACGGTAACTAATTAATTTTATATTCATTTTTCTTTCAAAAATAGATTGCGTTCTTCTCTTGATTCTACCGGTTGGCTACTTTCAACATTAGCACGCCCTCGTGGTAATATTGTTGGACATGATGCTCTCGATCAAGTTGTGGCACTTCTTCCTCAAGTAATTTTTAAAACAACTAACCAAAAATAAAATCTAAATTTATAGCTTCCCAGAGACTGTGCCAAACTTGTCCAATGGGTTTCCTCTCTCTCTGCTTGGTCAGATCCGCAACGTCCAGGGCAACTTCCAGCAGTTGTTTTCTTACCTTCTTCAAATACTTCTAAACCTCAAAGGCAACAAAATAGCAATGACGGTTTATTTCCCCTTCCGCATTTTCCACTTTATCGTCAACCTTCTCCAACCTCTTCACTTCAAAATTTTTATTATTCATCATCTGGCGGAGAGGAAGAGATGAGAGAGAAGGTATTAAAACAAAATAATAATTTCTTTAACTATTTTAAAACTTTAGAATTCAAAAGGATTGGCTGATATAATGGATGGAGGTGAATCAACAAGTAGTACAACAAGCTCAGTCCAAACAACACTTGAACAAACAACTCCACAAAAACAATTAAAACAACAGCAACAACCAGAACAAATATTAAATGAGAGAGATAATAATATTGAAAATACTGATTTGGTACTAGAAGAAGATGATTTAGCTAGTGTATTAAGTGTTGATTCCAATACAACAACTGAAGGTGGACAACAACATCAATTATCACCACCGAATCGACATTTATATAATACTGGAGTATTATCCTCAAAACTTGGTATTTGTCGAGTTAATGCCGAATTGGCTCGTTCTTTGGCACCTGAACAAAGAGATTTATTTAGAATATGGGAACCACAAGTAGAAACGCATATTGATACAATCTGTTCGATTATTGAACAATTTTTTGTTTTACTCGAAGAAAATAAAGAACCAACACCTGCAGGTTTTCAAAAAATTCAAATGGTAGTTTTGTTAATTTTTTTCAGTAAAATTAATTTTTTTTTGTTTTTAGGTATATATTGAAGGCCATTCTTTGGTTGGAATTGGACGTGTAATATGTCGAGACGATGTTGTTTTAAAACACCGACCGCTAAATGCATTTATAGAACATGAGTGCGCAAAGTTGGACTTGCTGTTAAATGAATGTTTGTCTAATGCAAAAGTTGCTAAAAGTCACACGGTATTATTTTTATTAAACATAAACAAGCTGAAAATTAGAAACAACATCCGGAAAAAACTAGACAATGGGAAAAGATTCTCAAAAACATTTTCCGGAAAACAAATGAACATAAAGAAAATCCAGAAAAACAAAAACAAAAACACCAAAACATTTGCAAAAACATTAACAGAAACAAAAACATTATAGTAAAAACAATCCGGAAAAACAAAAACAACAAGTACTTTAATTTATTAATGTTTTTAAGCAATCCAACAATCAAAACAACAACAAAAACAACCAGTCATCTCAACAAACTGTACCAGCTATTCGGAGTATGTGTAAAGCAGTTGTTTCAGTATCAGAATCTGTTGGACATTTACGATTATTTTGGAGAGCATGTTGTGGATAAAAATGTGAGTGAAATAAAAAAAGAAAAATAATTTTAATTTAGAATTTTATTTGTTTTTATTGTGAATTATTTTAATTATAATAATGTAATTAATATTAAGCAAATTTAAATTTTAACAAAATTATAAAAAATAAAACAAAATTGACCAATTAATTTTTACTTCGGACATTGTTGGATTTTACTGTCTTTGGCCTAAAAACATTTCCGGTTTAAATGTTTGTCCGAACAAATATTTTCCGAAAAACATGTTTGTGGCTATTGTTTTTAGCTTTAATAGGGTAAATTGGGAAGCAAACATCTTCCGGAAAACTTTTCCGGAAAAATTAATAAAACATGGTCAATTGTTGTGAGATCATAGATATGCGCGTATTATTAAAAGATATTTGGTAATATAAATGTTTATGTTTATTTTAATCAGCTATATCTATGTAAGGAAGAGGGTTGTTGTTGGTGTTGTATAGATTGTTGATTATTAAATTTTCTTAATAATTCTGTACTTTCTTCTCCTTCATTATCTAATAAATTATTTCCACCAATAAATCCATTCCAATGTTGTTGACAATTTATCATCCCTCCTCCTCCACCTCCATAAATACTTCCAGGCCCAGAACTTGCTGTTGTTGGTCCATAACAACCATGATAAATATCTGTTGAATAATGCCCACCACCAAATGAATGAGTTGCTGCTGATGGCAAGGATATTGGGGGAGGGGGTGGTGGTTGAAATGAAGAAATGAGGCGGTGGCTACTTCCACCTTCTGATGAATCTGGATAGACAACACCTTTAGAAATGTCTTTATGAATTTAAGTTTCTCTCTTCTATATTACCTCCACTACCACATCCAAATCCATGACATAGCCTTAAGTTAGCGGCTGCTTCACGTTCTTCTGCCCGTCTTCGATCACGGCGTTCTTTAGCACGTGCTCGGCATTGCCACATAAGACAAGCGCAAAGTAAAATGAGAATACTCAAAAAGAAGGACAATAGAAGCAGGAGAAATAGTAAAGCTGAAAAAAAGATTTGGGGATTAAAAATATATTTTTCTATTTTTAATACCTTCATGTCGTCTATCGTTTAATAAAGGCCAAGCAGGTTTCCAATCAACATTATTATTAATATTAATTATATCACTTTCTTCCTGATTGCTGCTTTCTTTTTCCGGAATTACCGGAATTATTTTCTCTTTAATATTCTCAATTGTTTCCTTCTCTTTGACTTGTATCACCTCTTCATTTTTCTCTTCTAATTTATTCATATTATTTCCACCTTCTTCCTTTTTCTTCTTTTTATCACCATATTCATCTTCCTCGTCTTCTTCATGGTCGAAATCTTCATTTTCATCTTCTTCCTCTTCATCCTCAGCTAACAGAGGATGTCTTTCAATTCGAGGATTGGTTGATTTTTGAGGGATTAAATTATTAGAATTGTTGTTTTGACGTTGGAAGGAGTCTAATTCCTTTTTCAATTGCCCCATAGCTTCAAGTCTTCCACTTAATGCCCCTTCACTAAATACTTCTTCGTCAACACAAGCAAAAATAACACTCAAATATTTTAGATTATTCTGTTGTTGTTGTTGACATGGAATGCCTAAGAAGTAATCATTTACTTGAAATGAACACCAAGGCTGAGCATGGCAATGACTGGCTATTTGAGGAAGTACATCGAGTAGACAATCTATAAAAATATATTTAAATTAATTCTGATTTCTTTCTGATTATTAAAAATAATTCTGATTTTTAGAATTATTCTGGTTTCTTTCTGATTTTCTAAATTCTGATTTTTGTTTCCCGATTTCTTAGAATTATTCTGATTTTTTTCTGATTTGTTTAATAATTCTGATTTTGTTTCTAATTTTTTTAATAATTCTGATTTTAATTTTTCTGTTTTTTCCTACAATAGGCCAATAATTTTCTTTTATTTGTTCCTCAAAACAATTCACACACAATTATTTTCCGGCGATTTAATTTTCTTTTTATTTTATTCTTATAATTTGTTTTAACAACTTTCTTGATGTTTGCCGACATTTTTATTTGACAATTAAATGGGAGAAAAAAGGGAAATTAAATAGAAAATAATTGACAATTTAATATTAAAAATAGGATTCAGACACTTGTGTAGATGAATGGGAAGGGGGGGGGGGTGCGGATTTTCTGCAAATTTTTGACCCAAAATTAAAAATAATTTTTACTTAAAGCCTTTTCCATTTCCTTTAGAAAAATATATAATTTACATAAATTTATTTTCACATTTTACTAGTGTCAATCCCATAATTAGGCAAATTATGCTAACAAGATGACAAACAGAAAGCTTTTTCTTTCCTCCTATTTACTTAAATAGATTATTTCTATTTTAGTTTCTGTTTGTAAATAATAAATTGAATTAAACACTTAAATGAAACAGAATTTTTGACAAACATGAAAATAAAATCAGAATTTAATAGAAACACAGCCAAAACAAAATCAGAATTTAATAAAAACACAACTAAAACACAATCAGAATTTAATATAAAACACAACCAAAACACAATCAGAATTTAATAGAAACACAGCCAAAATAAAATCAGAATTTAATAAAAACACAACTAAAATAAAATTAGATTTTACCGTTTGAGGATAGTTGCCGAACATTTTTATTGTTCCTAACATTTCCTTCTTGTTTTTGTTGTCCTTTCCCCCCACAATAAGTTTGTTGTCCGTTCGATGAACGTCCATAGTGTGCCGAGTAAATAGAGAGACGTTGGCCTCGCGCACAGCCTAATCTCGTTTGTTGGCCTTCACAAAAGTTTTGGTCCTCGAAAGAGACTAAAAAATATTATTTTTTTATTCTTTCTTAAAATAAACACACCTGGTGTGCATTTATAGCCAATTTGTAAATATTTTCCTGTATTAGGGCAAGGGTCCTTTTCTCCAAATACTTCCGGTTCTACCTTAAGCCTACATTTTCTTTTAGCACGGCAAAGGTCGGTTATACGCTAAAAATAAATTTAAAGATTAATTTTGCGTATAGAATTTGTTAACAGTCCGCAAATGTCGTTAACCCATAAATGTTCGCAAATGTCGCTAAACCATAAATGTCCGCAAATGTCGTTAACCCAATATATCCCTAAAGTCTCCCTAAATTTTCTCTCATTTTATTTTCCCCCAATTTGTCCAAAATATAAATAACAATTAATCTCTCCACAAGTTTCGTTCAATCATTAAAGTTGTATACTATTTATTGACAAAAATATTTTTTAAAAATTTGGGCCATTGCACACTCCCTATTGTTGTGTGTTTTGAGGGATATTTTCTTTTTTTGTCCAAATTATTTCCTTCAAAAAAGGCCACAGCTGTTGAATGATAGGTCAAATAATATAGAAAAAGAATATTTTTTTGGTAGCAGACATTTGGGGTTTCTATTGTTTTTATTTTTTTATTATTTGCATAAGGATGCCAATAAAAATTTTTTAAATTTTCTTTGAGAAATTAGAGGGGAGAATATAAGAAAAATATAAATTTTATTTTTTCAAAGAAGCTTGATTAATAAATTCAAAGAAATTGAGGAATTTTAGTTTCTGATTAAGGTGTGCCATCTTCACTTTTCGTCGTTCACCGATTTTCGCCTTTTTTCGTGTTTCGCATTTCGGCTTTTTAACTTTCGACTTTCGTCTTTCGCTTTTCAAAAGCACTTTAAACACATCGTTGTTATTTCACTCCTAAATCCCAGAAAGGAATCCAATCTAGGCTTATTTATGTTCGCAAATGTCGGTCCACAGATCCCAACCCGGCGGCCACATTAAAAGTTTTTTTTTATCTCCTTTCATTTTTTTAAATAATTTATTCAATCAACAACATCCTTTATTTACTACATACCAATTTGTCGAGTATTTAGATATCCTCTTTCTTTTTTTATTTTTATCTGTTTTTAACCCATTCATCATTTAGAACCTTCCTCCTCTATTTTATTGTAACAAGCCCTCAATGACGGCAAGTTTTTGGGGATTTCTTCTTCCCCTTTACAACAATTAGTCTTCTTTATTTATTCCCTCCTTTCAACACAATTTTATTGATGAGGGAGAGAGGAAACAACAATGACCACTCTAATACACCGTTACTTGGTAAGGGAGAGAAGGAGGGGTATATGGCCCCGCGGGATATTTAGACTTTTTCTTTTTTTAGAATTTTGTTTAAAGGATTTGGAGGGGGAATTGGAAAAAAGGAGAGATAAACATACGAGAAAACAATAAACAAATTAAAAAAATAAAACAAATCTTCTGGTGATAATCCAGTAACTGATAAAAGCACAAATATAGGCTTTATTAGGCATTTTGTCGAATTTCTGGTGTGTGGCAATTTGTCACTCACCAATATTTTTTTAATTCTCCCCTCAATTTTGCTAGTTATCCCCCCAATTTAATCTTCTCCACTCAATTCCTGTTTTACTCAATTTCATCACTTCCAAATTCCTCTCATTTAAAGTCTCTTTTACTCAATTTCATCACTCATCCTTTACAAAATTAAAACCTCTTCCCCCTCCGCTTCCATTGAGGGAAACTGAGGGAAAGGGAGAGGTATATCTTTTTAATTTTAAAATTCCCAAAAGAAATTAGAGAGAAGTGACCACGAAGAATTTTTATGACACTTTTTCTTCTCTATTTTTTAATCAAAAATTTTAAAGAAATTTTCAAGGATATTTCTAGTCATAAAAATAAAATCAATTTACTTCCCTCTCCCCTCTTAAAAAAGGTAACTAGGCCATTGACCACTTTTCTACCTAACAACCAACCAACATCCCCTTCTTGGCCACAAAATGAATTTAAAAGGAGAGATGAGTGTTGTGGATAATAATATATTATGTGGCTGGCACAGTTGGTTGGCGCAAAATGAATTTTCCTTCTCTCCCTTTTTTACCTCGTTTTTATTTAAAAATGAAGGAGAAGGAGAGGAATGTGCCACTGAAGCAAAAATAGATTGAAAAGCTTTTGGACGGTGCGCGCAAAAATTTCTATACGGAAATGGACGTTGGTCAATGAATGAATGAAGTTGGTGTGTGTTAATGGGGATTGACTATGTGTAGATAGTAAAAGTATATATGTACTTACAAGGGGATAAGAATTGAGAAAATTAGCCTTTTGGGAGCTTAAAAAAGGAAAAAGGAAAATGGGGAAAAATATGAAAAATATTTTTTTTTAAATTTTTGCATTTTTTTGAAGAGTTAAGCACGAGTTTAAGTCACCAGGAGAGGTACATATTTGAACAAGCAACCTTCCCAGCAAGCAACCTTTCCACAGTAGCTTCTCCCTGCTTCTCCTTAAATATCACCTCAACCAACCTACATCCTTAAAATATTTTTCCAATTTTTCTCGAAATCCTATCAATATTTTGTACCAATAAAAAGATGTTAATTTTTCTATTTTTATTTAAAAACCCCAGTCATAAAAACAAAAAAATATTTTTTTTTTAATTTAACTACTATTTTTAGTCTTTTTTATAGGCTTTGCATAATTTGGCACGCAATGTTTTTGTTTCGCATTTTTAATATTATAAATATACAGAGAGGGAAGGAATAATGATTTTTAAGGATTTTAAGAGATTTTTTTGTTTATAGAAAAAATTAAAAAAAAAATTTAAAATTTTCGGAATTTTTTTGTACGACATTTGCGGACATACGACATTTGCGAACTCAATTTTTTGAAAAATTCTAAAAAAAATTTTTCCCAATTTTTTATTTTTTTTCAATTTTTATTTTTAAATGTAGAAGAGTTCGTTCCATTTAGAAAATTAAAAAAAAACTTTTTTCAAAAAAATAGACTTACAGAAAGTGTTTCAGCAAAGTCACAGCTTGTATCCTCCTTTCCCCCAAAATTTTCTTTTATTTTTAAATTGCTAGTAAAAGGGCAGAGTTCACTGCTTGGCACTAAACGACCAAAGAAAGCATTATGGGGGGAAATATAAGTGTTCTTGGGGCATTGTAAATTAACTCGGTCATTTTGACATGCTTGGATGAGTCGAAGACGTAAAGAGTCCGTTAGAAGGGCTTTTTAAAAAATTAAAAGAAATTAGATGGAAAAATAAAAAAAATTTTTGGGAGTTTAAAAAGTTTTATTTTTAATATTTAAATTAAATATTTAATTTAAATTTTTATTTAAATTTTTTTATTAAGGTACCTTCTTAATGGTACCCTTTCAGGCCACACAAATCGAAAGGTTTACGTGACAAGGTCACGAAAATATCTTTTTTTATAAAATTTAATTCTTCTCAAATTTTACTCTAATTCTTCTTCTTCTCAAATCCCTCAATTATATAATAAAAGATTTTAAAAAATCGCCGAAAAAATTTTATTTAAAGCCGATTATGCGAAATTAGTCTATTTTCTCCATTTATTTATTTGCAGCTGTAAAATGAAAGGCAAAAAATTTTATATTTAAAAAGATGCGCGCATAACAAAAGAGAACAAATTGGCCAATTTTCTTTTTATTTAGGGTAAAGGGTGATTTAAAAAATGAAAGAAAAAGATTTTATTTTAGTAAAGCAAGGTTATCTTTTCTTAGTTAACTTGTGAGAGAATTCTGATTTAAATTGAAGTTTTATTTGAGGGAAAATTCTGTTTTGTATTTTACAACTAAAAATTCTGATATTTCTTTGATTGTATTTTAGGTTGTGTTTTTAACTAATATTCTGATTTTTTTAATTTTTATAATTCTGATTTGTATTTTTCTGATTTGTATTTTTTATTTAATTATTCTCTTACCTTCAACAAGTTCTGATCGAATATTCTGTTCTTGAAATTGTTGTTGTTGTTGGGAATAAATAATTAAAATAAATAAAAATAAAATTTTAAAAATAAAAGGAAAAAAAGAAAAATAAAATAAAAAATTAATTTTAAAGTAAAAGTACATCTTAAAAAATTAAATTTATTTTTTTAATGAAAAAAAATGTTTATTTACCAAAAAGAGGTAAAAAGTGTAAGGGAAAGCCCTCTCAAAATTGGCCAGTCAAAAGAAATATGAAGTGCCAAAATTGGATGAGGATATAATGGATGAGGAGGGAGTATAAAAATAAAATATATGACTAGGAAATAAATAGAAAATGAAGAAAAAATAAAAGGAGGAGGGGTTTAGAATCAATAGAAAAATTAAAAAATTAATTAAAATATAATATTTTTAAAAAATATATTTAATTAAAAATGTGTATTGTTGGAGTAAAAGCCTTTAGAAAAAATAAGCAAAAATGTTTCTAAGCTTTACTGAGGGAAATAAAACCTAGGGAAATAATTTAGAGGAAAAACCCCGCCCATAAAGCAGAAGAATTTTTAAGTTCCGGTTGAAAAATACAAGAGATTGTGTTTTTAATTAATTAAAAAAATCAGAATATCTGTTAAAAATACAAAATAAAATACATCAGAATTATTTTTTTAGAAAAATGCAAATCAGAATTATTTAGAAAAATACAAATCAGAATTTTACAATTAAAAATTCTGATTTTGTAACTTGTATTTTTAACAAATATTCTGATTTTTTATTCTGACATTTGTATTTTTTAATTGTATTTTCTGAATGTATTTTTGTTAAATTCTGATATTTTGTATTTTTCTGAAAATACAAATTGTTTTTTTAATAATTCTGATTTTGTCTTTTCAGAATTCTGATTTGTATTTTTTTAATTTATTAGTTGTAAGAGAGAAATAAAAATACAACTATTTATATCAGAAAAAAGTTTAAAAGTATAATAGCATCCACCGCCATTTTGCGGAGGTTTTTATGTGTTTTGTGTGCTGAGTGAATGGATAAAATTCGGCGATTCTCTACACAATTGCAATTAATCCTCCTCTCTCTACCTGTCATTTTTCCCGCCCTCGTTGATCTCTTTTTTATATTTAATTGCTTTGTTCTAAAACAGTTAGTGTTTTATTAGCAATTATTTTTATTTGTCAGAAAAAATTAATTTTTTTGGGGGGAAATTTTTGGTAAAGTTTATGGTAAAATATTGTTTTAAGGGGTATATTTAATATTTTTAAAGGGGAATTTTTTAAAAGGAATTTTTTAATATTTAATCCTTTCACTTTTAATTATTTTTAAGATGATCTTCCCCTTATATCAATCATAAGCCACAATTATAAATAAATTAAAGGTATTTTTATATTCACTGCTGCGCGCGATTTTAAGTATTTTCTCCTTATCTGCTATATATCTAGGTATTTTCACACAAAACTTTTAATAGAAAAAAACACAGCAGGCGGCAATATGTATGAGAATAAAATATTTTTTAAATTAATTAAGAGATATAAAGAAAATCAGAATTACAATTTGTAAAATTGTATTTGTGTTTTATTTCAGAATTTAGTTAAATTTACAGAAAATATTTCTGGTTTTATCAATGTATTTTCTCTTATGTATTTTAATTCTGATTTTTGTATTTTTTTATTTTCAAAATTGTATTTTTGTATATCTTCAGAATTTAAACTTCTGATTTGTAAATTGTAATTTTAATTTATTTCAGAATTAGTTTTTAACCTAAATTCTGATTTTTGTATTTATTTTTGAAATTGTGTTTTTTGTATATTTTCAGAATTTAAAATTCTGATTTGTAAATTGTAATTCTGATTCATTTCAGAATTAGTTTTAGTTAACTTAAGGAAAATATTTCTGATTTTATTCTGTATTTTTTTTTATTTAAAATTCTGATTTTTGTATTTTCTGTTTTTGTTTTTTTCTAATTTAAAATTCTGATTTGTATTTTGTCTTTTTTGTAAATACATTTTGTATTTGTGTATTTATAAAAATGAATAGAAATATCAAAAAATGCCCAACTTAAATTGCGCAAATCTAAAAATTCCCTTCAACACCTTAGTGACCTTGGCGATCATGAATATCATCAAAATCGTCATTAAAACTCGTAAACGAAAAAATAAAAAATATAAAAAATTATTTAAATTAAAAAAAATTTATTTTATTTTATTATTGAGCCATAAAATTAAATTAAAAATTTAATAAAAAACAAAATATAAAAATAATCACAATTTCTATTAAAATAAAATAATTAAAAGCTCTTCTATTATTTAAACTTTTATTTAAAGTTGTTATCTGGTCATAATTGCGAAAATAAACAGAAGAAGAGGGAGTTATGCTTCTTCTTAATTCTGAAAAAAAATAATTCTGATTTTTAAAAAATAAATTCTGATTTCTGAAAATAAATTCTGATTTGGAATTAAATTCTGATTTTAAAAAATTCTGATTTTTTAAAAATAAATTCTGATTTTTGAAAAATAATTCTGATTTAAAAATAATTCTGATTATGAATATAAATTTCTGAAATTCCAAAAACCTTTATCAGAAATTGCCTGTTGTTTCTGTAACCACAAAGAGGAAGTTGTTGTTGTTGTGAGTATTCCGAAAGGGTTTTCAATACCTGTATCGCCCCATTCTTCTTCATCATTTTCTTCATCAATATTTGGGTAAATACCTGAGCCTTTTTTAATTAATTACTAAAACAATTATTTTATTTTAATTTAAAAATCCGCAAAAAAGGTCCGCAAAAAAAGTCCGCAATTTTTCAAAAAAATATTTTTTACCTTCGCTAATTGAATGATAATTATTTGCATAGGAATATTGTTGATTTAAAGGCAATTCTATTTAAATTTTAATTAAAAAATTTTTCTTGAAATCCACAAACCAACAAGCCTAATTTCACCAAAATGGCTTCCATAATCATTATTAGCTACACATTTATAAGTTCCAAAATCAGAATTTTTAACATTTTTAATTTTTAAAATGTGAACAGAATGATAACGTTCTGATACTGATTGTTCCTTTAAAAAATAATTTTTTTTTATTTTTTTTTCTAAATTTTTCTCTCCCCTACCGTTGAATACTTTTCAGAATCGTGTAACGGTTTATTCTGAAGTAGCCAAACTAAATTCGCTCTAGGCCAAGCTTCTACAGTACATGCCATTTTTACAAAGGTTGCATTTAAAGGTGCTTCTACAATTAACCTTTGGGGAACAACAACGGGCTCGACTTTTAATTAATTTTATTTTTAATTAATTTAAAAATTAATATTTTTACAAAGAACGTGTAATTTAATCGTCCAAGATTCATCTGGGAATATTCCATTTGAAGCAGTGCAGATATATTCACTCATGTGTTGTCTAGAAACCCCTCTTAACACTAATTCTGGTCCTTTATGTACACTATCTTAAATAATTTAATTTTTTTTGTTTGTCCGCAAAAAATGTCCGCAAATATTTTTTTCGTCCGCAAATATATTTTTCTTTCTCAAAAAATTTTTTTAAATTTATTTTCACTAAATAATTAGTATTTGATTCACCTCCATACCCATCATTTTTCCCATATTTAATAATTTGTTTATCAGCTCTCCTCCAAACTATGGTAGGTAAAGGATTGCCTCTAGCATTACAAGACAAGGTGACATTTAATCCTTCACGAACTTCTACAGCCGCGGGAGTTGAACTTTTTAAAATTATTGGAGGAACTTTTAAATCATTTAAATTTGTATTGAAAATTAAAATTACTTTTTAAATTTAAATAGCCAATTTTTGTTAAAATCGGATTGGAATTTAATTGGCAAATATAACCACCAGAGTCGTCTTCCTGTAAAAATAATTTTCTCTTTATTTTAAAATTAAAGTTATTAATTTTTAATTTAATTATTCGAATATTAAATTATTTCTAAACAAAAATAAAACTAAAAATGGGAATTAAAAATAATTTTTTTTTTTAAATTTCTGTCCGCAAATATTTTCACTGTCCGCAAATGTTGTCCGCAAATTTTTATTTATTTATTTTTACTTGTATATCCTTAATCCTCAAAAGCCATTGATTTCCATTTAGTTTAGATAAAAGTTGGTATTTATCTGTTCGACGAAATATAGATTCTAAAAATTTTCAAGAAATTTCAAAAAAAAATTTTCAACTCTAACCATCATAAGCAATTAATCTTGGGGGTATTCCCTCTCGGAAAAATGCAATTTTGTATTTTCCAGCATTTTCTATTTTACATCTAAATTCAATTGTATCTCCACGCATTCCTGTTATATTGTTCATAGATTCTTCCAAAATTAAAGGTGAACGGTTTGGGCGAAGACTGGAGACTTTAAAAAATTTTTTTAAAAAGACGCAAAATGGTCAATCCCCCCTTTTCTCGTTTTATTCTTTCCAAGCTTGTTTTTAACACTTTTGGATGTACTTGTCAAACTCAACTAGCTACTAACTAGCTTAAAATATTCATTTATACTCTTGGGAATGTAAATTATCTAGTTTAAACAACATTTTTAGTAAAGGCGACATTTGCGGATATTTTTTAAATAAGGAATTGTGTTGGTTTAGCACTGAGTTGTGTTTCAATTTTAAATCTCAATTTCAATAAGTTTCATTTTTGTCCGCAAAAATTTTTTTTTGTCCGCAAAAAATTTTTGTCCGCAAATTCTATCCGCAAAAAAATTTTTTGTCGCAAATTTTTTCTCCACAAATTTAGTGGGACACATATTTTAGTTATTTATGGAAATAGAAAAAATAAATGTTATACTTTTACTTATTCACACTTTCCTTCTAAAGGGTCATTGCTAAAATTAAAAAAAAACTTTGTGTTATTTCGGGAGTCAATGAGGGAAAATACTTGAAAAACAACTTTGTATATAAATTACTCTTATAATTAATGTGGGGAAAAATTGTTTTTCCCTCCTTTTAAAATAAATAAAAATAAAAATTTTGTTGTTTTATTGTTGTTATTGTATTATTTATTTAATACAAAAACAAATCTCTGGATTGGAACGAAAAAATTAAAAAGTGCGCAAATAAATCAGTGACCGCGAATTGGATTTTTAAAAAGGTTATTGTTGACTTGGTTTTTGGAAATTTATTTTTATTTAAATAAGGGCTGTTTTCGAAGTTATGCCACAAAAATCCACAACTTTAATCCGCAAGTCAAATATTTTTTATTTTCTTAAACGGATTATTTTCTGGGGTATTTAGGGTGTCTGAATAAGGATCTTCAAAAAATTAAAAAAAAAAATTTTACCAAAAAATTTAAAAGGTAAACAATTTAAAAACACAGCTACTAATAAAACAATTGAAGATAATGAAGGATTATAGGAGAAATATGATGTCATTTTTAGTTAATTATTGTTGTCCTTTGAAAATTTTTTCTGAGGTGACATTTCATCCCAAAAAATATTTTTTTTTGTTTTTAAAGTAAAATACTGGATCACTTAAAGAAATAAAATTTATTTAAATTAATAAAATTTCAACTCAAAATCATTCAACCTCAAAAAAATAAAGGAGAAAGTCTTTTCTTTTATTATTTTATACCTTATGGTGACAGACTCTGCGTGAATCGTTTTTAATGAATAAGTGATGAAAAAAGTGGATATATTATACAGTCACGGACAAAAGTTTGGACGCAAACGATTTTTTAACTTTTTTTTCGAATATTTTTATTAAAATCAACAATTTAAAAAACAAATTTTTTGTAAAATAATGCTCCTTTTATGAACTTTAATATACATCAACAAAATACTGGAAAACTTTATAAAAAAATTTTTTTTGATATTTAACCAAAAAAGGGGGTGGACAAAAGTTTGGACGCAAATTTTTAGAAAAAAATATCTTACAGTATAATGATCCAAAAAATCTAGAAAAATTTCTGTGAACATTTCCATTGATGTTGAGTAGAAAAACAAAAAGAACGAAGTCCGTAACTTCTTCCATCATCTAGATCTCGAATGTCAAAAATCAACGGAAAATGGGGGTACAGTACTTTAAAAAATATTTTTACCCCCTAGAGCTTTTATAAAAATTTTTCTTTTGGGCCCATTAAAAAGCCCATAAAATTTCCTACAAAATAGTCCTGGTCTCATTTATTCTAAAAAATGGTTGTTCGAACTGCAGACACTTTCACATAAAAATGGACAAAAAACCCCTAAAATACCCCAATAATGATAACGTAGAAAATTGCCTCGACTCTGTCTCCATGAGTTTTTATTGGAAAAATAAAAACTTGTATTATTTTGTAAGAAATTTTATGGGCTTTTTAATGGGCCCAAAAGAAAAATTTTTATAAAAGCTCTAGGGGGTAAAAATATTTTTTAAAGTACTGTACCCCCATTTTCCGTTGATTTTTGACATTCGAGATCTCGATGATGGAAGAAGTTACGGACTTCGTTCTTTTTGTTTTTCTACTCAACATCAATGGAAATGTTCACAGAAATTTTTCTAGATTTTTTGGATCATTATACTGTAAGATATTTTTTTCTAAAAATTTGCGTCCAAACTTTTGTCCACCCCCTTTTTTGGTTAAATATCAAAAAAAATTTTTTTATAAAGTTTTCCAGTATTTTGTTGATGTATATTAAAGTTCATAAAAGGAGCATTATTTTACAAAAAATTTGTTTTTTAAATTGTTGATTTTAATAAAAATATTCGAAAAAAAAGTTAAAAAATCGTTTGCGTCCAAACTTTTGTCCGTGACTGTATATTGAATGAATAATAAAAAAATAAATTTTGTGAATATAAAAGAGAGATAAGTCTTAGTTTAAAAATAAAAAAAATTTTTTTGTCCGCAAAAGTTGTCCGCAAAAAATTTTTGTCCGTTAATTTAATTTTAGAGCTTCGGCTAAGATCTTCGCTGTTTATATTTTAACAGTAAGTTCCGATTATAGTTAGATGCTTTTATCTTATATAATCAACCTGCTATTTAGTAAACTCTCACTATAGGGGACTCTTTAAGAAAGATGCATTTTTGGTCAACAAATTAAATTTCTTCAAAAAAATTTCTCAAGAGAAAAAAACTGACAAAATAAATTTTTCAAAAAATGGAGATGAAAAATAAAATAAATTTGATTTTTGAAAAAAAAAAACTAAAAATTAAGAAAAGAGAAAATGCTTTTTAAAAATATACACTTTCTATGGCTATTTACTCTACTAAGAGACTAACCAAAATTGCTCATATCCTCTTTTAAAAACATGAAATGACCCTTCCTTTCTTTTCTTTTTTTGCTCCTCCCATTTAAATATTTATAAATCCATTTATCATTTCAGAAACTTTAGCAAAATATTTTTAGGCTAAAAATCATTTTTTAATAATTTAAATTGTTGGGGGAAAATATTTTTTCTACAAAAGTCAAAACTAAAGACAGGAAGGGTGGAAGGGGAGGAGAAATGGAAGGGTCGTATGTACGAGGGAGGCGATAACGATATCTCGGGAAAATAAGGGTTCCTTGAATTTTTGTTTGAGATCTCATCCAACAATAAGTCCAATCTCTAGCTAAAACCATAAGAAGAGATACGTCTAAATCCGCAAGTATTGTCCGCAAAAAACACAAATTTTTCCTACGTTATTTCTAAATATTAAAAAATACCAAAAAAATTTTTTTAAGTTAGGGATGTGAAAAGCAAAGCAATAATCCTCGTGAAAATGAGAAGAAAGTAATTGAGAAGAATTTTTATTTATTTTTTTGTTTGTTTTTATTTTTCTGGCATAAAAATAAATTGAAAAAAACAATGAGAATTTAATGAAAAATGTTTTTTAAATGGGAAAAGAGCTGAAAATTGGAAAGAAAAAACGGAATTTGAGGAATTAATAAAAAAAATTATTTATTCCACGGAATTGTAAAGGATTTGAATAAAAATGAGAAAATCCGCAAAAATTTTTATCCGCAAAAGTTGTCCGCAAATTTTTTTGTCCGCACAAAATTAAATTCAAAAAAATTTCGTTTTAAATTTATTTAAAATTAAAATAACATTTAAATTATTAATTTATAATTAAAAACCATTTATTTTTCTCTTTTCAATGTTTTTTGCCTCTTTTTTCACTCCCTCCACCACCTCCACCAACATTAACTGAAGCATTCAAATCGTAATATTTGTGTGAAATTCCAACCAAGAAAAAAAGAAAAACGCCAGAAAACAAAATTGTTAAAGTTATTGCAATTCTGTGTATTAATGCTGAAGCTATAATTGATATAATTAAGGAAATGAAGCAATCAAAAAGTCCGGATTTTGAATTGATTCCAAATTGGGCCATTTTCTGAAAAATTTATTTTTAAAATTTTTTTGAATATTTTTTAAATTCTCAAACCCAAATAATCTATAAAATAACAAGGATAGTCAGGCACGTAAAGAAAATTGGAAAGAAAACTCTTTAGTGGGGGTGTCCGATCTGGTAAGTTACGCAACGGTGAGACGTGGGAAAGGTTCGAACCCGCTCAGGGTCAAAACTATTAATATTCATATGTTGTGTTCAAAATAAGGTTTGGATGACTATATGATAATATTAGACTGGAAAAGAATTTATACGGGGTCGACGAGAAGGACTAAATGTCAACAAAAAGACTAACTTGTGGAAGGAGTGGAGAATACTCTTACAATAAAAATTAATTTTTAAAAAATAAAAAAAAATCCAAACCATATTACTAATTGTTGTCAATGTAAAACAAAATATAAAAGCACCCAAAACTTAAAAATAAATTTTAGAAAAAATTTTTAATTAAAAAAACCTCCAGCACACAAATTTCCTTGACGCGAATTAGCCAAAAATTGTTTGAATAATTGTCCAATACCAATACAAACAAAAACAAAAAATGCAGAAATTAAACTACTTATGCCGTTATTGCTTGCCATAACTAAAAAATTATAAAAAAAAATAATTAAAAAAATAAAATAAAAAACGTGGAATTGAAAAACTTGTTAGACACAACAACAAAAATTTTTTCTTTCTCTTTCTCTTTTTTCTGTTATATCGAGGTTACAACAAATTGATAACACGACAGAATGGTACACTGACAAAATTGTACACGGACACAATGGTACCGCGACAAAATGGCACACCGGCAAAATGGTACTGCGACAAAATGGTTTTACGACAAAATGAGACAAAATGGTTTTACGACAAAATGATATATGAAAAAATGGTACACTGGAATTTTTTAAAGAAATTTTTTTAATTTTCCAGTAAATTTTTTAACTTTTAATATTTAGTTTTTTTCAAAAATAAAATGAGACATCAATATAAAAATTCTGAAGATCACTTGAATAATTTGAGGTTTTTTTGTTTTATATTTATAAAATTTATTTAATTTTTTCAGAGATTGGTATCAAAGAAGAAGCGCAGATTTCAAATCATTTAAATATTTGGAAAACAAAAAGAGGCAATCTTTTACAAATAATTTAATAAATGAAAATGAAAAATTGAAAAGAAGTTTGGAAATTGAAAATTTAAATTTTTTGAAAGAATTTGAAAATAAAATTAATTTAATTAATAAATATAAATATCAACAAAAACAACAGCAACAAAAAATTATACAAAATGAGGAATTTATATTTAATAAAAATAAAGATTTATATACAAGGTTTGTTTTTTTGTTATTTTCTTCATAAAAGGGATTTTCGGATTAACAGGTCCACATTTTTTTGTACTCATTATAAAATCCTCTTTACTTTGCGGATTTTTCAAAAATATTTTGGTTGCTCAAAACCTTCAGGTTCTCTAGTTTCTAATCTCTGGAAGGGGTTTGTGAAGTTCGCACAATTTTGCGGACTTTTTTTTATTCTGAATCTTTGTGTTTTTTTGGGTTTGGGTTTTTGGGGGGTTTGGGTGGGGGTTGGGTTTTTTGGGTTCCCCTCCGAATGTCCGAAGAAATTTCCAAAGATCTCAACTCTAATTAAATTTAATCTGCAGAAAAATAAACTACTCGCAACTTAAACCAGAAGATTTTATTGAAATTAGTGATGAAGAGGAAGAAGAGGAAGAAGCCGAAAATGATGAAAATAATTTTGTTGATGTTGAAACTTTTGGAAATTCTTTGACAGAAAATGCTGACAATTCTTCTTTTCCTTTATTTAACCAAACAAATTTTGAATTTAATAAAAAATCGCCAACAATTTCCAATCAAAACAATTCTTCCACAAATTCTTCTCCAATTTTTAAATGGCTAGAATATTTTGATAATTTTAATTCTAAATTGGTAAAAGAAGTAAAGGAATTCCAAGCAGATTTGACACAGGTTTACCTTTTAAAATTATTATTTTTTAATATGGTCGTTGTGGTTAGGTTGGATAGCGTTAGGTTTTCCCCCATGAGAGGTCGCGGGTTCGATCCCGTTGAGCGTTTATTTTTTACTTTAAATAATAAATAAAATTTGTTTTTTGACTTTATTTACTTCAAAAAAATTTTTTTCGAAAAAGTGACCGTTTTGGTTAAGTTGGGTAGCGTTTAGTTTATCCCCATAATAGGTTTCTGGTTCGATCCCCTTGCGAGTTTATCATTATTTTAACTTCAAATAATTATTAAAATTTGTTTTCTGAATTTATTTACTTCAAAAAATTTTTTTTGTTTAAAATCGTTTATTAAAAAATTAATTTTTTTAAAGAAACAACTACGTCAACACTTATCAAGAACTCTAGCTGAACGTATTAACGACACATCTAAAAAGACTGTTACAAATCAAGAAATTGCTGAACTCTCCAATTTTTTCGACGACTTATTTAAAGGCCAAACAATGATTTCCTGCCGAGACAATTTTGAATTTAAACTGGAAAAGGAAGATAAACAACAAAATTTTTATGCAATGATGACTATTTGTGACAGATACATTGTATTTTTTTAATTTTTAATTAAAATTAGGGTTGCCCCGTTTCCGAGTCGGGACGGAGTTCGAGGCATTTTCAGGCTTATTTTTATCGGACCGGGTCATAAAAGTCACTTTTGGGCCAAATATTCTACGTCCGTCTAGATCTTTTGGACCGAGGCTGTCCATTTTGGCACCCCTTTCAAAAAAATTTTTTGCAGGAACAACTTAAATGGGAAGCAGAACTTGTTGATCAAACACGTTTAATTATTGTTTTACTAATGAAGAATCAGCCGTTTTTCTATGAAATTTTTTGTGCTAGAATTGTTGCTTCTTTAGTGCTGATTTCTTTTGATTTGGAGAAAATGTAAGGGAAGAAACAAAGTTTTTTTATTTTTAAGGGGAGTTTGAGGGGTTTTGTCCGATAAATGCTTACCCCAAGGGTATAACCCAACAATTTTTAGGGAGTTGGCTGACCTCCCATGGCTGCCAATTATTTTTTTATTTTTTATAAAGGGCGGGAGTAGGGGGTGTTATAGCCTTATAAAATTTAGGAGGGCTGGCTGCCTTGAGGGGAATTTTTTCACAAAAAAATTTTTATGGACGAGGGGTGGAGGGGGGGGGGGAATTTTTAAAATTAATATTTCTTTTTAAATTTTAGAATAAACAAAATCGATTTATTCGAAAAAGAAAATTCACAACAAACCAATTCAGCACTTTCCCATTGGATTTCTGACGAACAAATAATCTTCAAATTATTTTGTAAAGTTCAATTAGCCTTAAAATCCTCAAAAATAAAAGAAAATTGGGATGAAAATAAACAAGAAAATTTTTGGATTAAACAGAGAGGGCCGAAACTTTTAATCATGTTTTTTGAGGAAAGTGTTAAAATGGCTGAAGATGTTCCTCTTTGTTCCCCTTTTGTTTTGGAAGAAATGTTAAAAAATGTAAGAGGTTTAAAAAATTTATTTTAAATTACTTTATTGGGAAGTGGGTGTAGGGGAAGGGTAGAAAACATTTTTACTTGAGGAAAAATTTCTGAGAAAAATTTTGCAAAATTTTTGGGGACATTATAAAACAGCGTTGTGGCCAATTCTTTAAATTATTCCACATGTGATTAAGATATTGAGTACTTGGCCCATTGGGCCGTTTGCCCCTACTTGAATAGGCTTAAGTTTTGCCGGAAAATGTCGTCCGGAAATTTTTGAGGTTGAAAGATAATTTGAAAAAATCATGTCGGTCAATTTGGCAACGAGACAAGAAAAAATCGAGCGTTTCAAGCTTTCTAGGAGTCCTTACTGAACCACAAAATATTTTTAAAATTTCAATTCTAAATTTACAGCGTTCAACAAAAAGTATTATACGTCAATACCCAGAATTTTCTGATGAATTAAAACATTTATATATTCCAACAATTAAACAAAAATTAATTAAAATGGAAGAAAATATATTTTTATTAGAAGAATTGGAATTAAATGAAGGAATTAAAAGAATATTAATTTCGAGACAAAAATATTTAATTTGTTTATTGGAAGCAGAAATTAATAAATTTGAAGAAAAAAGATGAATTTGAGGGGGGCTTGGATTTTGGATTTTTTCTTGGATTTTTTTCTTTTCATTTTATTTTTGATTTATTTTTTTAATGATAAAAATTTAATAATTTATTTATTAGAGGGAGAGAACTTAACTTACTAGAATTTATAAAGAAACCCCTGATGAAAAATATAGAAGCCTAGAAACTATGAAAACCTCTGCCTAGGCTAACTATAACGCAAATAGAATACTTTGCAAGGAAAACCAAGCGCCGTCTTTGATCTTCTTCCAAAGCTTTCGTCACTCCAGCTCAATCAAACAAAGCAAAAAATTCGAATTTCGCCTAACTAGAGGCCCAGCAATTAATGACGAAGTACGGGCCAGGGATGTCACGGGTTACCAGCTATCAGGACTTTTTTTCTGACCCGAAACCCGATCTGAGAAGTTATCTGAACCCGACTTTCTCCTCCTAATCAACATGACTGACTCGTAACCCGGATTTTTTGACTCGAAGACTTTCCGTAGAAAATTTTGAAGACTCATCCCAACGTTTTTTCTACACGTACATCCCTGCTAAAAACTCATAAAAAACAAGAAACCAATTTTTGAATCAACTAAACTTTAGCCTACACAGTTATTTTTATCCCGACATTAAAAAACATTCTTTAACCAAAATCACCCAAAAAACATTTTCATAAACAAATTAAACCTTTAATATTTTCCTAGACAATTTTCCACACTTTTTTCTTATCAAGCGTCTATAGAGTACGTTTAGGCTCTCAACTTTCTGCCTTTGACTTCTTCAATTGATATTCCACAACGCTAAAAAATTAAAAAAGTTTAAAGAAAATTTATTAAAATACAAAAATGGAATCCAAAAAGCAGAAGCAAGGTAGACTGCCGCTTTAGCGATAAGTAATGGAAGATTGTTTGGACGATTATAATGCCAATACTAAAAATTAAAAAAAAAATTGAAGAAAAAATTTTTCAAAAAATACCCCCATAGCCCAGCCATCAAGATAAGGTCCTTGTGGACTCTGTGGGCGCCAACCCGGTCCAGGCTTCCAATTCGGAACAGTATTGTAAATTCCCGGAGTTCCATTCAAGTGCGCATAACGGCAAAGAGGACGCAACATTGGACGAAAAATATTGGTACAAATTGGAGGCATTGTTGTTGAAGACAAAAGAATTTATTTTGTATTTAATTTAGAAATCTAAAATAAATAGATTAATGATTAAATAATGATTAAATGGACAGGAGTAGGGTTGTCGGTTTCACCAGAATCTTCGGTAAACTGAGGCCGAAAAAATTTATCGGTGTATAGTCAGTTCAATGTGAACTGACACGAACATCCTACGAGATTGGTTAATCAGATTATGAGTATTTCGAATTGACACTCGAAGGAATTCTAAAATTCCAAAGACAGTCTGCAATCAGTCTGTCACACTGAACTGACTATTTCGCACTGAACTGACCTCAACCCTTTAACTGTTTAATGGCTCCCATACAAAATCTCTATTCCTTAAAATCGCTATTCCTTAAAATCTCTACTAATCTAAAAATGCTTAAAATCTCTATTCCTTAAAATAACTATTCCTTAAAATCTCTACTGGGGTAAAAATAATTAAAATCTCTACACCGTGCAAATGGATGGTAGAGTCTCAACAAAAGTGTAAAATATGAACTTTTCATTGGAAAACCCAGACTTGGTAATGGATACGGATATGGATACAATTGATTTAAAAATGGCTGCGGATATCTGCTTGTATCCGCCGTAAATATCGAAGATATAATACACGACTGCTTCGCTGCGGTCGTGTTCATTTTGCTTGCGGTGATCGTATCGAAGCGGCTGCTGTCGTTCCGCTGGACATGCCTGGGTTCATCCGCAGCGGCAAAAACAATACAAGCAAAATAACATCAAAAGATAAGCCAGAAATCAGGGCCCTATTTCAATTGTCCACAGATTCTGCGGTCTGCGTTCTGTGCACAGACCACAGAACCACAGAAATTCTGTTTCAATTATTCCACAGATTCTGCGGAAAAAGAAGTCCGCAGATTCTGTGGAAACATGCACAGAATCTGTGGAAACATCCACAGATTCTGCAAAACATCCAAAAACATGCAAAAACCACAGAATTCTATTTCAATTATTTTTCTGTGCACAGAAAAAAATCCACAGATCTGTGGCTTTTTTAGTCGATTCTGTGCATTTCTGTTTCAATTATTTCTGTGGTCTGCGGAAAATACACAGAATTCTTTAAAAAATCCACCCTAAAATTTTTTCTGCGAACTTTCTGTGGAAAAACTTTAACAATTTTTTTCTAGGCCTAGGCTTAACCAAATTTCAAAATTTTTAAAGATTATTAAAGTTTGAATCATTCTCTATTTTTTGATATAAAAATTATAATTTTATTACCTAAAATTATTGCTTAAAATTAATTTTGAAAAAGGTACATCTTTTTTACGCAGTTTTTGTTATATTCAAGCAATAAAAAAATAAAAAACGTGAGAGATTCTGAAATTTAGAGCTATGATGTTCTAATCATCATGGATATCTCTAATGAGGGGATGTTTACCAGGATCTATAGAATATATCTGTATAGCGTATACTGGGATATCTCCCATGATCTCTCATTGATATCCGTCATAATCTCTCCTCCTATTTAATGATAGATTTCCTCCTTAATCACTCCAATATATTAAACCTCAAAATCAATGGATATCCCACTTAATCACTCCTCTACGATTTTAAAGTTCCGATTTGACTATAATTTTGGATTCCAGGCATTTTCGATTTCCAGGAACCTCAATTTCTGACTAAACAATCCCCAAACATTTCCCTCCCTTGCAACAACTTCTATCGTAGTTTGAAAAAGCCACATGTCGGATCGACATCTCCTGATTTTTCCGATCCGAACCCTGCTTTAGGACATTAATTTAATTGGAGATTTAAGGATATTGGATGAACAAGAAAATTAAGCGGTATATCAGCGGTTTTAAAGTGATATCAAAGAGATTTAAAGGGATGTTATGTGATTTGGAGGGAAAATTTTTAAATCTTTACAATATTTTTCAGTTTAATTTAAGAATTTTTAAAGTTTTACTTCAAAAAATCAGGTACCATTAATACTGCGGTAGTACCGAACTGTCCAAACCATTTTTCGTTTCAATAAAACTGTTATTTTCAAAAACGCGGAAATAAAAAATTTGAATTTAGAAGAAAAAATACACAGAACCACAGAAAAATAATTGAAATACAAATTCTGTGGATCAGTGGAAAAAATCCACAGATTTTTATATTTTCCACAGAAATTTTCATCCACAGAATCTGCGGAATGTTTCCACAGAATCATTGGATGTTTCCGCAGAATCTGCGGGCACCACAGATTCTGTGCACACAGAATTTAATTGAAACAGAATTTCCACAGAATCTGTGTTCTGTGCACAGAATGCAGAATCTGTGGACAATTGAAATAGGCCCCAGAACAACGTTTCCGCACTGAACGTTGGCACTCAAAAGGCTTCCAAATGAAAAAATAGACATTTTATCCTATTTTTGGCCGTGTAGAGATTTTAAGGCGTTTTACCCGTGTAGAGATTATGAGGAATAGAGATTTTAAGGAATAGTTATTTTAATAATTTTTAGCCGAGTAGAGATTTTAATGCATTTTAGCTGTGTAGAGATTATAAGGCATTTTAGCCCAGTAGAGATTTTAAGGAATAGAGATTTTGAGGGGATACGCTGTTTAATGTATCTTCATTTCCCACACTCTTTCTGCATTTATTGATTTTATTCAGTAAACATTGATTAGAGATGCAAAAGCATAAAAGGAGAGAAGAAAAAAAGAAAAAAAGGAAATTAAAAAAGGAAGAATAATTAGTGTTCTCTATACCCTTTCTATTAACCGTCTAAGAATTATTTATGTTCAAATCTTTTTAATTTGGGAATTCTCCTTTGCTTTATCCATGGTCCGCTTCGGCGGACTATCTATAGTAGCAGAAAGCTGGTTGGCTGCGCTTCGGTGTTTGTGCGACCAGTGGACACTACTGATAGGTAGACATCGGTGGCTGTGCGGTCTGGCAGCACTATTGGTGGTAGTGCGCTTCGGTGGCTCTGCCAATAGTGTTTGTGCGGAGGCAGTGCGCTTGGTGACCATGAGAAAAATTTTGGAGTGTCCATGTGCCGTTTTGTACATGGGACCGGTCCCCTGCTAGGGGGCATTTAATCTTTCGAAATATTGGGTTAACCTTGCAAAAAAGTCCCAGAGTGCATTAGCAGTCTACGGGCACAAAGCGTTTATCAGTTTTTTCCAATTAAAAAATTTGGAATTTATCATTGTACAACACAAAATCGTTTGAAGTTTGGCGTTGTTAATTATTTTTGGTCTACAAACACTGAGATGAATTACAACAGAAATCAGGCCAGGAGGAATTGAGGTTATTCTTATTTTTATTAATTCTCACAATCAGTGTTAGGGGGGTCCTTTTGGGTGTATTAGTAATCTTTGCGCCAAGCGTTTACAGCCATTTCCTCTTTTTTCGGCCAATCGATGGTTATGTTTGCTCAAATTCTTATAGTTTTCTCTTATTTTTCATTACTGGTCCTATATATTTGACTCACATATTTTTGGGAATAAATTGAAGTAAGCAACAATCGAAAGTTTTTAAATGAATTTTGCTTGTAATATTCTCCCAATTATATTTATTTTTGTTTTGATCTTGTTAGAACGTGCCTTTGCAAGTCTTTGGTCAGAAACTGGACGGATGAGTGATATGCAACAGGTTTTTGATTTTCTTTTTGTAGAAATTTTTTTAAAAATTTATCACCAGGCCCGTAGCCATAAAAATTTTCGGGGAAGGCCAGGGGCCTGATTTCAACTATTCTAAATTGAACCTCTGAATTTTTTTATCTGTCCTATATCTATTCCTCTTTTTTTAATAAAGTGGCGTCTTCTTTGCTCCCGTTATCAAGTTGCTCAAGCCTATATGGAGGATGTCAATGCAAGAGTCACCATTTTTGCCCCCGTAAATGATGTTTTTCTGTATAATCCAGATCTTAGAGCAATGGATCAAAAAGAAGTTCTTTCACATATTGGTATTTTTTGTAATTCGAAAAATTTTGTTAAATTTATTTTTTTATTATTAGTGGATACTCAAGTATCAGAACTTAGCAGCGGTCGACGTTGGGAGAAGCAAACACTTATACGTTCAACAATAAATAGTGGTTATGTTTATATAACTCAATTTGAGAATCCTGGACCACCTGGGAATTTTGTAAAAAATTTTTTAAAATTTTTGAAGAAAATCAATTTAATTTTCTAGTCCTACTTTGCAAATGCTGGCACAATTTGTAACCATGTTTCCAATCAATGGGGAATTATCAGCGGTGAACAGTAAGAAAAGAGATTAAATTTGGACAAATTTTTTGAATTTATTTTTGGTATCTCTACAAAGTGTGCACTCCAATGGGTCATCGTCCTTACCCTGGAACAGCCTTAAGCTTTGTTCGGGACGATGAAAATGCTATTTTTGTGGACAGGCATTATGATAACAGAGATTTAACGTTAATTTTTTGTTTAATTTTCTGAATAATTCAAATTTTTTTATTTTTTAGTGAATTGAGGAATATACTCGATCGTGTGCCAGATATAGGTTTTTTTTAATATTAAAGAATTTTTAAAAATTTTAAACTTTAGCTCTAGTAATTTATGGAAGTTCAGCATGGAATGGTTTCCATACATTCTTTCTTCCAACAAATAAAGCATTCGCCAAAGTGATTGATCGAAATCGTGTGGATCGTGAGGTTTTGTTGGCTCATGTTTCTGGAATGAATCGCGTGGGTGAGCTTAAAGTTTTAATTCAAATATGGATTCTGGGGAGTTGTCTCGGGTACAGCCCAACTAGTCGCGGGCCGACTAGTCGCGACCGATTAGTCGCGGCCGACTAGTCGCCGGCCGATTAGTCGCGCGGCCAACTAGTCGCCGGCCGATTAGTCGCCAAGCTTTTTAATTAAATATTTTGTAAATATGTACAACTGATTAATCTTTTTAAGATGTTAATGTCCCATAACGGCTTCAGTTATGTGATGAAAGGATAAAGGAAGTGTCCTCGCCATGAATCTCGCCAAGGGAATAGGCCAAATATGTACCCCTAAGGATGGACTTTTTAGCAGAAATAGAGGAAATTTGGCCTATGTTCCTTCAAAAAATTCTAAAATTTTGCCTGCGGCGTTGAAAGAAGGAGGAATTTAGGCTCAAGGATCATCTAACAATAAGTTTAAAAATTTTCGCCCGCAGCGCTGAAATGATAAATTATTATTGTTTTCTGAAAATTGTTCCGAAATTTATTTTTACCGGAATAAGACCGGACCGGATTGATCCTGAAAATCCGGCAGGATCTGGTCCGGCATGAGTTTCAAATTCAAAATCCGATTTCCGGGCCCGGAAAAATAATTTTGCCGGTCACAAATATGAATATTTAATTTAAAAGCTTGGCGACTAATCGGCCGGCGACTAGTTGGCCGCGCGACTAATCGGCCGGCGACTAGTCGGCCGCGACTAATCGGTCGCGACTAGTTGGCCCGCGACTAGTCGGGCGTGTCCCGTTGTCTCTTGGGAACACTTGTAAAGAATGAAGTGGTTTTTTGCGGACTTTTCTCTCACAATTAGTTGATTGTTGGACTGGGAAAGACGAACTGGGAGAATAAACGTAAAAATTCCACAAAAATAGTCCTAAATTTATCAGGAAATACAATTATAATATCAAATTAGTATTTGTAATATTCGTTTCTGCTTCAGGTTTTATTCACATACCCTTGGCTATTTGATGGAGGAATTCACTTTTATCCTTCAATTAGGCAGGTTTAATTTATTTTTATTTAAAATTATATTTATTTAACCAATTCAGATTTTCTTCAAATATAATTGAGGATAATTACAAACTTAAATTGAGTATGAGAAATATTACCGATCATAGAACTGGCAAATGGGATTTGTATGCAGTATCAACCATTTATGAGGTTAATTTTTTGAAAATATTTTTTGAATTAAATTTAAAATTCTAGCGTTATGGAGAATTTAGAAGAGGGGCTGTATGGGCCAAAATACTTGTTCCAAATATTCCTGTACAAAACGGAGTTAGTCTTTTCTTTAAAATTTGTTGGAAAATCTCTTGTTACTTTCTTAAGGTTGTGCATATTGTTGATAATGTTCTCGGGATAGTAACTAACACAATTGATCAGGTTACCTTATCTTTCTCAGGATCTTCAATTTATTTTTTAGATGCTTATGGACAATTATCGATGTACAACTTTAATGAGGTATATGGCTACTATTGGACAGGTTTATAATTTCTTAAAAATTTGGTATTTTTTAAAGATTGTCAGAAATTACATGTCAGCAACTGGAGGTCTTGTAACCTTTTTTGCTCCATGGAATGAAGCCTTTGAACGCATTCCTGAACCAATTGAAAGAAGATTGTTGAGGGATAGAATTTGGTTGGAACAAGTTCTTAAATTACACATTATCCCAGCAAAGGAATTGGTTAGTGAAGAAATTACAAATGATACAATAATTGCTACAGTGGACAATATGAGACATTTGTAAGGAAAATTTTAGCTGAAAATATATAAACGGTTTTCTTTTTCGGTTATGTTTCCAAGTCCGCAAGTTTTTACCCTACTTTTTTATCCTACTTACGGATAAAAAGTTACGGATTTTGTTAACATAACCGAAAACAACCTATCAAAATTTATTTTATTTAAAAACAGATATTTTTCAAAAACTGAATGGCCTAAAAATAATATAACTTATTATGTTATTGGTGGAGGAATTCGAACAGCTGTATAATTTCTTTATTTTTTTTTAAATTTATTTTTTAAACAGATACAAATGGAGGATGTAACAGCAACAAATGGAATAATTCATTACATTGATAGAGTATTGGGCGTCCCCTATCAGGTTTTTAAAATTTTTTTGGGTTTTTAAATTTATTTTTTTTAATTTTCAGTCCCTTTGGGAAGTACTTCTTAATGAAACTAGGGCCCATCAATCGATGGAAATGCTAAATAATTTACAGGTTTATTATTAGAATAAATTAATTAATTTTACCATTTAAATTTAAGCTTAAATACACTCTCGACCCGTGGCAAGTGCTTACTCCAGAACAGAATATGACCTTCTTTGTGCCGATTGATGAGGCTTGGGATAAGGTTTTTCTTTTATAAAATTTATGGATAAACATTAATAAATTTTTAAAAAGGTCAGCCCGTCGATGAAGAATCGATTACTGGACGGAAATCATTGGCAAGCATTGCAATATGTTTATAAGGTTTTTTATGTTTTTTATGAATTTTTTTTTGATCAGAAGGATTGGAATTCCCAGCATTTTTTTCTCTAAAATATTTTTGAGATTTCCAAAAAGATTTCCAGTTGTTCTGACCCAATTCCGTGGGTTAGTTCAGTGGGCACTTTTGTGAGCACTTCTGCCTCCCATTTCTGATTTGTTTTTATTTTCTCACCTTAAAATAAAATATTAAATTTTAGCGGCACATTCTCCAAGGACAGGCACTTATGTATACAGGTTAATATTTTACTTTTATTAATTTTTAAAATTTTTTTTCAGATTTGCGTGAGAGAACTTATGTGATGATGAATGATGAAAAAGTGATTATTAGACGGCGTGGCAGATGTATAATTTTTTAATTTTTAAAAATAATTTTCCCCTAATTTTAATAGATTTTGAACTTTACTGGCCGAGAGGTAATCGAGTGGCAAGAATTATTGAAGGAGGTGAAATTGCTGGAATTAATGGATTTATGCATTTAATAGATGGGGTAAATAATCTTTTGAAATTAAAATAATATTGTTCTTTGTAGGTGCTTGTTTATGAACCAGATCTTCGAGCTGGTTCTGCAATTGTATTAATTGACAATCAATTGTTGTTATTTTTGATATTTTTAATTTTATTTTGGTGATAATAAAATCTTAAAAATGGCAATGAATAAAATCTCTCCTTATGTTCCAAGCTGTCTACACTTCTCAACAGGAAATTTAAAAATTTGTAAAATTTTTAAGTTTATTCCAAAAATCAATAAAAAAATTTCTAGATACATTAAATAATATAAAATTGAAAAATGAGCATTTTAAAAATATAAAAAAAGATAAAACAAAAATGCGTTTCTTAACAAATAAACCGGATCTATCGGTATCAAAAGGCTTTGAGAGAAAATAAAAGGCATCGAAATTAGCACCGTTTTAATTAGAAAATCTTTTGTTATCACAAATTGATTTGAAAAATTCACAACAACTTATAGCACCCCACAATAATTTCGGATACGTTGCCGTGCTTGGCGCAAGGAAGCTCGAGAGGTTCTTCGACTTCCTTCCTGTTTCTCCTGTTTAATTTCATCTATTTCATGACTTCCACCATTTACTGTTGAAAAGTGTGGAAGAGGTGGGGGAGGTGTATGAATGCCTGGGGGAAGTATACGCGTTTCTAATGGCAGGGTTTTTGAATCTAAAAATTGAAAGGAGAATTGTTTATGGAAGATTAAAAGTCAGACGTTGTATTGTTGTTCGAGTTTCCTCAACTCCATTTTGTGAGTAAACTGAAAGAGGTGTCTCTTCAATATTGGAACGTTGCGCTATGAGTTGCTTCTGCTATAAAAGGATTTTTTAGGAAAACAAAGGATTTTTGCAAGGCAATAAAGGGAAATATCGGAGAGCTAATGTAAGAAAGCCTAGGGGCATAAACCTTGGAATCCCCAAATTTTTATTTAAATAACAAAGTATACCATTCTAGGTGATTGATCAGGGACTTGTTGCCTGTTAATTGAACTTTCATAGTTCATAAAAGTTCGACGTTGTTGGAGTGGCGGTGTTTGTGTTGCAATAGGCGCAGTTGTTGCGCGTGGAAAGCCTTGAAAAAATGAAATTTCTAAAATAATTTTAAAAAACATTACCACTCTGTATCGGAAAATCATCATTTAACCTTCCCAGTGAGTGTGTAGAGCGTTCAGTACGATAAGCAAATGTTTCTGGACTTGCATCACAACTCCTTCTTGGACTGCTATAGTCTCGGGCATAAGCATGCCTAATTAAATTTTTTTAAATAATTTTCAAAAAATCCTTCAACCTGTCATAAAGGTGTGAGGAATATGAACGATAAGTACGTAAATGATGACTTCTTTTTTCTGTTGTTGTTGTTCTCCCCACACTTCGAGAAGTGTGTGTGTGTTCAAAAGGAACGTTGTTTAATTCCATTAATTCTTCTGGATCAGTCTGTAACCATTTATCATGTTTTCTTTGCCCTCTTTGTTCTTGGTCTTGGGAACGGCTTCTAATAAGAGAAAAATGATTAGCTCCGGAATCCTGGGTTAACACCTACTAGTTTGGTTTTATAAAATCATAAAATACCTGTAATAATTATAGCGTTGACTAATATTATGATAACGTTCATCCAAATAAGAGCTTGGCAAAATATTCTTCTTAGTTGCCGGAGCCTTGGGAAGGCCTGGAGGAAGCATTCGGCGAACAGGACCCGCACTTCCACCTCCTCCGTGTCTATATACAATTATGTCCTGAAATTATGATTTTTCTTTCTGTCCCTAAACCAAAACCACCTCAACAACATGTTGAACTTTCCCCTCCTCTGTTGTTCTATCAAATGAATGACGTTTAGCAAAAGTAATTGTAGTAGCCTCAGTAACGCTTGTCCAACCTCTAGGAGAAGCACCTACAGGTCTACGAATGGATCCTGGTGAGGAGTATTTATAGAGTTGGTCAGAATATTGTGAAGTATATTGAGTACGGGGAAGTGGTTTTGCTGAAAGTATATGTATTAATGTTAAAAAGTGTTGAACTAGAGAAGCATTTTACCAGGATTCTGGGCAAACCTCCTTATAGAGAAAGTAATTGAAAATTAGGTGCCTCTTAAATCGAATTTTTAAAACACGCCAAACGTCAGAACGCCAAAACTGAACTGACCAGTTTTGGCGCTGGTCAATAAATTTAAAACTTAAATGGGTTCGGATCCGCTTGGGGTTAATAATTTTTCTATGCTGAATTATAATAAAACATACGTTTCGAATCTATACTCAGATCTTCACTTTTCATGACCATTGGACGTCTCATTCTTTGGGTGGCAGCAACAGGTAGTCTTTCTGGAATAGACATGGTTAAGTTAAGGTTAATTATCTTTCCCTCACCATCTCTAAAAGATGCCGCTTTTGCATAAATACTTTGTAATTGATCCTCTCCAAGTGTTCTTTCTTCAAATTTAGTTTCTTTAACAGGAAAAGTTGTTGGAAACGATAATTGTTTTAATTTTTTCTTTTCATTATCTTCTGTAATGCCAGGCTTCTTTAATTCACTTATACGAACGTGTAATTCAACGGGTTCTACAGTTTGGTTTTCTTTGGGCTTGGTGAGAGTTTTGTCTAGAATGAAATTTTTCAGTTAAAAATACCTACGCGTTTATAAAGCAATTAGTGCCCAAGGCCACTAAGGTCAGCTGAATTACTCTAACCAGCTGAATCCCCTCCTCCTTACAGTGCCAAAAGTATTGGTCCTATTTCCCCACTTGTATTCCTTCCTTATCCCCGGTAATACTTCTAAAAATATCCACCCACCAATACTTCCAATAACATCCCTTTTCTGTTTAATATCGCTTAATGTTCCATTCATATGAGGCAATAGTTGTCTTTGATCTATCACATCTTTTTCATCCTCAAATTCGGCAAGTCTTCCTCCATACCAACCATGATGATACAAAGAAACACTCTTTTCAATTGGAATATAATCCAACTCAAAACTTTTATCTTGAACATTTTTAATTAATTTTTCTTCTGTTTTAACATCAATTATTTCCTTCTTTAATGGAATATCTTCCTTCTCCTCCTCCTCAATAAAGGAATATCCATTATTGTAAACCTCAACAAAATCTTCCATCAAAACATTTTTAATTTCATTTTTGTTCAATCCTAGGACTAAAAATTCTTTCTCCTCCAAAATAGGCTTTTCTTCGATTTTTATTTCTTCTTTCAAGTGTGCAGGAACAATTGTTTCAACAGATCCACGTAGAAACCCTTCTTCGGATCTGAGCGATTTTTTATCAAAAATTCCATTAATTTCTTTAATTTTAACAAAATTATCGTCGAGAGGCACACTTTTCATCTCTTGAGTATCCGGAGAAGTTTGAATTATTTTAATTGGCAAAAGCTCATAATGCCCGGGAGAGTATAAGTTGACTGAAGAATGAATTGGTTCAGTTATAATCTCAGAAAATTTGTTGAACTCTGAAACGGAGCCATAATAAGGCTCAGAATCAACAGGAAATCCTTCTTGCGTTTTCCCTCCTTTTATGAGTTTTGTCAGCTTTTCTAAAGTGCCAGGCTTCTTCTCTTCCTCATGTTTAGAAGGCAAATGTTCGTAATATCCAATATGTTTATGTTCAACTCCCATTGGCACGCTTTTAACTTCATTTAGTTTGAGAGAATAAATGTGGCCAATAAACGGTTGTTCAAGTTGTGGATATTCTGGTCTTTTTGAAGATGATGAAGGCAACTGTTCATAATGGCCTATATGCTTCTTCTCCACAACGAAAGGTAATACTACCAGTTCCGGCTGAAGTTTATTCTCATGAATATAACCAATAAACGTTTCTTTTGTTGTTGTCGAGGGCAGCTGTTCGTAATACCCTATATACTTCTTTTCCAAATCCAAAGGTATATGTTCAATTCCAGATTGAAGTTTTGATTCTTGGACATAACCAACAAATGGAGCTTCATTAATTGGAAATTCTGTTGTTTTTGTTTTTTGAATTTCATCAGATCGTCCGGAAGAGTAAACGCTAACCAGAGAATGGATTGGTTCTGCTGTCAAGTTAGTAGCTGTATTGGTCAATATGACAGGGCCAGAATAAGGCTCAGAATCAACAGGAAATTCTCCTTCAGATTTACTTCCTTTGAACAGCTTGGTTAATTTTTCTAAAGCTCCAGACTTCTTCTCTTCTTGATTTGTAAGAGGAAGATGTTCGTAATATCCAATATATTTATTTTCAACTTCAAATGGCACAGGGTGGATGTCGTAATGTTTCATTGTCTCTGGGACATGTCCAATAAATTTTGCTTCAATTTTTGGAAAATCAGATATTTCTGTTGTTGGAGTTTTAGCAGACCGTTCAAAGGAATCTATTTTTCGAGTGGGTAGGTGTTCATAGTAACCAACATATCTTCGTTCTACTTCAAGAGGAATTGAGTGGCAATCGCTCTGTGTAAATGACTCATGTACATAACCAGTAAATGGAGCCTCGATTCTTGGATATTCCACCGGTATTCTCGTTGTTGGCATTTCATCAGAACGTCCGGAAGAGTAGATACTAACCATTGAATGGATTGGTTCAGTTGTCAAGTCAGTATCGGTGTTAGTCAATGTTATAGGGCCAGAATAAGGCTCAGAATCGACAGGAAATTCACTTTCTGTCTTACTTCCTTTGAAGAGGTTGGTTAATTTTTCCAAAGCTCCAGGCTTCTTTTCTTCTTGATTTGTGAGAGGAAGATGTTCGTAGAAGCCAATATGCCTATTTTCAACTTCCAATGGTAAATCTTCAACCTCATTTCTTCGCATGGAATGAATGTGTCCAGTAAATGGTTGTTCAAGTTTGGGATATTCTGAGGCTTTTGATGATGTTGAGGGTAGTTGTTCATAATAACCAATGTGCTTCTTTTCAATTTCATAGGGAACATGATGGAGATTGGAATGTTTTGTCTCTAGGATATGTCCAACAAATAGTGCTTCAGTTTTTGGGTATTCTAATGTTTTTGTTGTTGGAGTTTCGTCTGAACGCCCAGAAGAGTAAACACTGACTAGAGAATAGATTGGTTCTGCCTGAGCTTCAGACACTACATTAGTATTTGCAATATATCCATCAAAAGGCTCAGAATCAACAGGGAATTCTCCTTCTGTTTTACTTCCTTTGAAGAGTTTTGTCAGTTTTTCTATTGCTCCAGGCTTCTTTTCTTCTTTGCTAGTTGTTGAAAACGGAAGATGTTCGTAATAGCCGATATGTTTGTTTTCCACTTTCAATGGAGCATCAGTCAATTCACCTCGACGTTTAGCTTCATAAACAGTGCCAAGGAATGGAGATGATACAATTTTCGGGTATTCTGGAATTGTTGTTGAAGCTGGGATTTCATCAGAACGACCGGAAGAGTAAACATTGACAAATGAGTTGATAGGCTCCATTTTAACTTCAGAAGAGATTTTGGTGTTTGTAATTGGGCCACTGAAAGGCTCAGGATCGAAAGGAAATTGTTCAGCTTTGCTGTCTTAATAAAAATTTTGTATTTAAAAACTGATTTTTTAACCCCACCTATGAAAATATGTTTTAACTTCTCCAATGTTCCAGGCTTTTTCTCCTCCTCAACTTTTGTTGTTGTTAAAGGCAAATGTTCATAAAAACCAATATATTTGTTGCCAACTTCTAATGGTGAAGAATTAAGTTCTGTTTGTTGTTTAGTTTCGAAAACGTGGCCAAGATAAGGTGCTTCATTTACTGGATAATCTAATAGTTTTGTTGTTAAAATTGGTTGTTTATCAGAAAAGCCAGACGAATAAACATTAACAAAAGAAGTGATTGGTTCATATTTAGCTTCATATAGATTTGTATTATTAACAGGGCCAGTATATCTCTCAGAAATTGAAGGAAATCCTTCGATGGATTTGCCGCTTTTGAAGATTTGTGTCAATTTATCCAAAGATCCAAGCTTTGTTTCCTCAGTTTTAGGCAAATGATCGTAATAACCTAAATGCTTCTTCTCTAATTCCAAAGGTAATGAATCCATTTCTAATTGACGTTTTGATTCGGAAACGTTTTCTTTGAAAGGGGCTTCAATTTGAGGATAGTCTTTCTTAATCTTTGTTGGGTGAATTTCATCAGAATATCCAGAGGAATAAACATTCACATAATTGTCTAGCATAGATTCTTTCATTTCTGAAGTTCGAACAGTTTGGAATAAAGGCTCTGAATATTATTAAATATTTTAACGATTTTTAAACTAAAAATACCTCCAATCTTTATTTTTTCTTTAATTATTGTTGGAGGTTGCTCTAAATTTTCGTAATAACCAACATGTTTAGTTTCAACCTCCAAGGGTATATTAATTAATTCATCTTTTATTTTTGCTTCATAAATATTATCCAATTTTTGCTGTTCATTATAATGCCCGGAAGAGTAAATATTAACTAAAGAATGAATTGGCTCTTCTGAGAGCTGAGAAACTGTGTTGGTATTTGAAATAGGGCCAACATAAGGTTCGGAATCAAAAGGAAATTCTCCTTCATTCTTGCTTACTTTCAAAAGTTTTGTCATTTTTTCCAAGATTCCAGGCTTCTTTTCTTCATCATGGGAAGATTGTTGTAGGTGTTCGTAGAAGCCAATGTGCTTCGTTTCAATGTCTAAAGGTGTTTGATTCAATTCACATTGGGGTTTCGAATTGTGGATAAAGCCAATAAATGGAGCCTCCATTTTGGGATATTCTGTTGGTGGAATTTCATCAGACTTTCCAGAAGAGTAAACACTAACTATGGAATGAATTGGTTCTACTGTCGCCTCTGGAAAGACTTCAAACTTCGCAATTGGTCCCAAATAAGGCTCACGATCAACGGGGAATTCTCCTTCCGTTTTACTTCCTTTAAAAAGGTTAGTTAGTTTTTCTAAAGCCCCAGGCTTCTTCTCTTCATCTTTAGTTGAAGGCAAATGTTCGTAATATCCCATATGTTTATGTTCAACTTCTAATGGCACACTTGTAACCTCCTTTTGTTCTAAAGAATGAATATAGCCAATAAATGGTTCTTCATGCTTTGGATATTCTGATGTTTTTGTTGTAGGCAAATGTTCATAATATCCTATGTGCTTTTTCTCCACAACGAGGGGGAGTGTATCCAATTCTGATTTAAGCCTATCCTCATGAACATGGCCAATAAATGGTTGTTCAAGTTGTGGATATTCTGATGTTTTTGTTGATGTTGAGGGTAGCTGTTCGTAATACCCTATATACTTCTTTTCCAAATCCAAAGGTATATGTTCCATTCCAGAATGAAGTTTTGATTCTGGGACATAATCAACAAATGGAGCTTCATTAATTGGAAATTCTGAATGCTTTTTTATTTGTTCCTCATCAGAATGCCCAGAAGAGTAGACACTAACTAATAAATGGATTGGTTCTTCTCTTGCTTCAGAAATTATATTTAATGACGCTAAAGGTCCAGTATAAGGCTCAGTATCAACTGGGTAATCTCCCTCTGTTTTGGATCTCTTGAAGAGATGTGTTAATTTTTTTAATGCTCCAGGTTTCTTCTCTTCATTTTTAATTGTTGAAGGCAGATGATCGTAATATCCAAGATGTAGTTTTTCAACCTCCAAAGGTATTGGAATAAATTCCAAGCGTCGATTTGATTCAAAAACATTGCCAGTGAATGGAGGTTCATTAACGGGAAATTCTATAACTTTTGTTGTTGGAGCTTCATCAGAACGTCCAGAAGAATAAATATTAACAAAAGGATGGATTGGCACATTTGTTGCTTCATTTGTTCTACCAGTCATTGAAACATGCCCTGTATAAGCTTCCTTGTCAATAGGGAAATCTTCAACCTCTTTTGTGCTTCCTTTAAAGAAGTGTGCCAACTTTTCCAATGCTCCAGGCTTCTTCTCTTCTTCATGTGTACTTATAGAAGGCAAACTTTCATAGTAACCAACATGTTTTCTTTCAATTTCCAAAGGCATTGTATTAAATTCAGATAGTCTTTTAGACTCATTTATAATGCCAAAATAGGGCTCTTCATTTATAGGAAATTCTGTTATTCTTGTTGCTTTAAATTCATCAGAACGGCCAGAAGAGTAAACAGTAACAAGACTATTTAATTGATATCCAGCCAATTCAGTATTTCTTTCAGTCTCGAATAAATATGGAGCTGAAGGCTCTTAAAAATGAAGAATATTTTAAAGATATTAAAAAATCTTGAGCTACCTTCAACTGATTTTATAAGCATAGAGGGATGCAGCTCACCCTGTGGGATTGTTTCATGTAAATAGCCAGTAAATGAAGCTTCATTAATGGGGAATTCTGTTATTTTAGCTGTTGGAACTTCATCAGACCTTCCAGAAGAGTAGATACTAACTAAAGAATGAATTGGTTCTATTGTTATATCAGTAACAGCATTGGTCAGTGTTATAGGGCCAAGATAGGGCTCAGAATGAACAGGGAACTCTCCTTCCGTTTTACTTCCTTTGAAGAGTTTAGTTAGTTTTTCTAAAGCTCCAGGCTTCTTTTCTTCAATGACAGCTGTTGAGGATGGAAGATTTTCGTAATATCCAATATAATTATTTTCAACTTCCATTGGCACACTTTCAACTTCATTTAGTTGGCAAGAATGAATGTGGCCAATAAATGGTTGTTCAACTTTTGGATATTCAGTTGTTTTTGTTGATGTTGGAGGCAAATGTTCGTAATACCCAACATGCTTCCCTTCCAAATCCAGAGGTATATGTTCCATTCCAGAATGAAGTCTTGATTCTGGGACATACCCAACAAATGGAGCTTCATTAATAGGAAATTCTGGCATTTTTATTGTTGGAACCTCATCAGAATCTCCTGAAGAGTATATACTGACAATTGAATGGATTGGTTCTGTTTCTAACTCATGAACTATGCCAGTACTGGTCAATTTCCCAGTATACGGCTCCGAGTCGAAAGGAAACTCATCAGTAGCTTTGCTGCCTCTGAATAACTGAGTAATCTTCTCTAATGCCCCAGGCTTTTGTTCCTTCTCCTCTTCAGATTTTAATGGAGGTAAATGTTCATAATAACCAATGTGCCTCTTTTCAACTTCCAGAGGTAAAATATTCAACTCGGAATGCTTGTTTGTATCAAATATAGTGCCATTGAAAGGGGCTTTATCCATTGGATATTCCATTAGTTTCGTTGTTGAATGTTCATCCGAACGTCCGGAAGAGTAAACATTAACATGTTGTTCAATCTGAGATTTCCGCAATTCAGTAGGACGATTAATTTTGAATACATGTCCAGAGAATGGGGCTAAAAAAGGAGGATTTGAAAAGTCTAAGGATTCTAAATTCATACCAGTGACTTGAGGATAATCGCTATTCGTCACATCCTCTTTGAAAAGGTGGGTTATTTTATCGAACAATCCAGGCTTCTTCACCTCCTCCTCTTTCGTTGCTACGGGTAAATGTTCATAATAGCCTTCATGCTTCTTCTCTATATCAAGAGGCAATGCACCCAATTCAGGCTGAAGCTTCTTCTCATGAATGTGACCAATAAATGGTTGTTCCATTTTTGGATATTCTGTTGTTATAGGCAAATGTTCATAATAGCCAACATGCTTCTTTTCCAAATCCAGAGGCATATGTTCCATCTCAGACTGAAGTTTTGACTCTGGGACAAAATCAACAAAGGGAGCTTCATTAACTGGAAATTCTGAATGTTTTTTTGCTTGTTCTTCATCAGAACGTCCTGAAGAGTAGATACTGACCATCGAATGGATTGGTTCCGTTGTTAAATCGTGAACGGTGTTAGTCAAAGCGATGGGGCCAGAATAAGGCTCTGAATCAACAGGGAAGTCTCCTTCTGTTTTACCTCCTTTGAAGAATTTTGTTAGCTTTTCTAAAGCTCCAGGCTTCTTTTCTTCTTTGATAGTTGTTGAGGATGGAAGATGTTCGTAATATCCAATATATTTATTTTCAACTTCAAATGGAGCAGGATGGATGTCGCAATGTTTCATTGTCTTTGGAACATGTCCAATAAATTGTTCTTCAATTTTTGTTGTTGAAGTTTCAGTAGACCGTTCAGAAAGTTCTACTTTTTGAGTGGGTAATTGCTCATAATAACCAACATGTCTTCTTTCAACTTTAAGTGGAATTGAGTGGAAATCACTCCATTTAAAAGACTCGTGAACATATCCAATAAACGGAACTTCAATTTTTGGATATTCTGGCATCTTTGTTGGAATCTCATCAGACCGTCCAGAAGAGTAGATACTAACAAAGGGATGAATTGGTTCAAGTGGTGCTTCTTTCATGATAGAGGTACTTGCAATCTGCCCTGAGTACGGCTCTAAAATATAAAATTTCCTTCAATAATTGAATATCTAAATATTTACCAGTGATCTGAGGATAATTATCTCGACTTTCTTCACCCTTAAAAAGAAGAGATAGCTTCTCTAATGCGCCAGTTTTCTTCTCCTGCTCCTCATCCTTTATTGAGGTAATTGGCAATTTTTCGTAGTAACCAACATGCTTATTTTGTATATCCAATGGCTCGGTTTGAAGCTCGGAAAATTGTTTTGTCTCAAAAATATTTCCAATAAAAATATCTTCAAATTTGGGGTGTTCTGGCAATTGTTTTGATGGAATTTCATCTGAACGTCCAGACGAATAGATGTTGGCAACTGAATGTAATGATGTTTCTGGCAATTCAGGAAGGATATTAGTTGTCGATATTTGACCAATGTAAGGCTCAGAATCCGATGGATAATCCCCATCAGTTTTACTTCCTTTAAAGAGCCTTGAAAGTTTTTCAAGAGCTCCAGACTTCTTCTCTTCATCATTGGTTGGAAGCAAATGTTCGTAATATCCCATATGTTTGTTTTCAACTTCTATTGGCACGGTTTCAACTTCATTTAGTTGGCAAGAATGAATATGGCCAATAAATGGCTCTTCAAATTGCGGATATTCCGTCGTTTTTATTGATGTTGAGGGCATCTGCTCATAATACCCTATATACTTCTTTTCCAAATCCAGAGGGATATGTTCGATTCCAGAATGAAGTTTTGACTCTGGGACATAATCAACGTATGGAGCTTCATTAATGGGAAATTCTGAATGTTTTTTTGTTTGTTCCTCATCATCAGAACGTCCGGAAGAGTAGATACTAACCAATGAATGAATTGGTTCTGTTGTCAAATCAGTAATGGTGTTGGTTAGTGTGATAGGGCCAGAATAAGGTTCAGCATCGACCGGGAAGTCTTCTGTTTTGCTTCCTTTGAAAAGACTAGTTAATTTTTCCAAAGCTCCAGGCTTCTTTTCTTCAATGACAGCTGTTGAAGATGGAAGATGTTCGTAATACCCAATGTAATTATTTTCAACTTCCAATGGTAAATTTTCAACTTCATTTCGTTGTAAGGAATGAATATGTTCAGTAAATGGATCTTCAGTCTGTGGATATTCTGATGTTTTTGTTGATGTTGAGGGTAGCTTCTCATAATAACCAACATGCTTTACTTCAAACCCAAGTGGTGAAGTTTCACATTCTTGTCTTTTTATTTTATGAACATTTCCAATAAATGGAGCTTCATTAATAGGAAACTCTGTTGTTTTTATTGATGGAACTTCATCAGAACGTCCTGAAGAATAGACGCTAACAAAGGCATGTATAGGCTCATTTGGAGCTTCTGATGTGGCCTCAATTCTTTGCACCGTCCCGGTGTATGGTTCCGAATCGACAAGATACTCTTCTGTAGTTTTACTTCCTTTTAAGAATTGAGTCAGTTTTTCCAGCGTTCCAAGCTTCTTTTCTGAGTGTTCAGCTGGTGTAGGCAACCTTTCATAGTAACCAATGTGTTTGTTTTCAATCTCCAAAGGAACTGAATTAATTTCAGGTGAACGCTTTGACTCTGAGACATGTCCAACATAAGAGGTTTCTATTGGATATTCTGTAGCTTTTGGAATCTCGTCAGAACGTCCGGAAGAGTAAACATTAACATGTTGCTCTATCTGAAATGCATAAAGTTCAGTAGGATGGTTGGTTTCGAATATATGTCCAGAGAATGGAGCTAAAAGAGGGAAATTTTGGTTTAAAATGTAATTCTAAACTCATACCAGTAACTTGAGGATAATCACCAATCGTCACACCCTCTTTGAAAAGGTGTGTTATTTTATCTAACAACCCAGGCTTCTTCCCCTCTTCCGTTGTTACTGATGGCAAATGCTCGTAATAGCCAACATTCTTCATTTCAAATTCAAGTGGTGAAGCTTGACATTCATTTCGTTTTATTTCATGAACATTTCCAACAAATGGAGCTTCATTAATAGGGAATTCTGTTATTTTTGTTGTTGTAATTTCATCAGAATGACCAGAAGAATAGACATTAACAAGATTATTTAATTGGTATTCAGGCAAATCAGAATTTCTTTCAGTCTCGAATAAATAATGAGCTGAAGGTTCTTAAAAGGAATAAAATTTAAAAAATATCAGGGAAATGTTTAGATACCTTCCACCGATTCTATCGGTATTCTCGCTGTTGGAACCTCATCAGACCTTCCAGAAGAGTAAACACTAACTAAAGAATGAATTGGTTCTCCTGTTGCCTCTGAAACGACTTTAGTCTCTTTAAGCGGTCCAAAATAAGGCTCGGAATCGGTAGGAAATTCTCCTTCCTTTTTACTTCCTTTGAAGAGGTTAGTAAGTTTTTCTAAAGCTCCAGGCTTTTTCTCTTCTTGAATTTTGAGAGGAAGATGTTCGTAGTAACCTATGTAATTATTTTCAACTTCAAATGGCACAGGATGAATGTCATAACGTTTCGATGTCTCCGGGACATTTTCAATAAATTGTGTTTCAATTTTTGGCAAATCAGTTATTTTTGTTGTTGGAGTTTCAACTACCTTTGAAGGTAGTTGTTCATAATAACCAACATGTCTTTTTTCAACTTCAAGATGAGTTGAATCTAAATCACTTTGTTTAAATGATTCGTGAACATGTCCAATAAACGGAGCTTCAATTTTTGGATAATCTGGCATTTTTGTTGGAACATCATCAGACCGTCCAGAAGAGTAGATGCTAACAAAGGGATGAATTGGCTCGAATTGAGTTTCAGGTGCTATATTAGTGCTTGCAATATATCCAGCAAATGGCTCTGAATCAGTAGGGAATTCTTCCTTTTTACTTCCTTTGAAGAGTTTAGTTATTTTTTCTAAAGCTCCAGGCTTTTTCTCTTCTTTGCTAATCGTTGAAGAGGGATGATGTTCGTAATATCCAACGTGCTTATTTTCAACCTCGATTGGCACATTTTCAATTTCATTTTGTTGTAAATCATGAATGTGGCCAATAAATGGTTGTTCAAGTTTGGGATATTCTGAGGTTTTTGTTAGAGATTCATAATAGCCTAAATGCTTCTTTTCCACACCAAGAGGTAGTGTATCCAATTCAGACTGAAGTTTATTCTCATGAACATGACCAATAAATGATTCTTCATGTTTTGGATATTCAGATGTTTTTGTTGATGTTGAAGGCAGATGTTCGTAATACCCTACATGCTGCGCTTCAACTTTAAGTGGTGAAGTTTCAATCTCTGAATGTCGAACTACTTCATAAACATTTCCAACAAATGGAGCTTCATTAACGGGAAATTCAGTTATTTTTGTTGTTCGAACTTCATCAGACCTTCCGGAACAGTAGATACTAACTAATGAATGGATTGGCTCTGTTGCCATTTCAGACATTTTGTGTGTGCCTTTAACTTCTCCAACATAAGGTTCAGAATCAAAAGGAAACTCTCCTTCATTTTTGCTTCTTTTAAAGAGTTTTGTCAATTTTTCTAATCTTCCAGGCTTCTTTTTTTCATCCATACTTGATGCTAGAGAAAGTTGATCATAATAGCCAACATGCTTCTTTTCAATGTCTAAGGGTATGCCTTCTAATTCAGCTTGAACTTTGGTATCGAAATGAGTTTCAGTTTCCATTTGCTTTATAATCTCTGCCGGGATTGCTGATGAAAGTTCATCAGAACGTCCAGAAGAATAAACATTAACGTGATCATCCAATTTTGATTGAATAAATTCCGAAGGTCTTGAAGTTTCAAATAAATGCCCAGAGAATGGAGCTAAAAGAGAGGGAGATTAAAACGAATTTTAGTGAAAACACTCACTCATATCTTTGGGGTAAGTTTCATGTTTTGGTTCACTTTTGAAAAAATGTGTTAAACTTTCGAGTGCCCCATGATGTTTTGACTCTTCTTCGGGACGTAAAGGAAGGTGTTCATAATAACCAACATGTCTGCTTTCAACTTTGAGAGGAATTGAAAGTAATTCATTTTGTCTAAAAGCATCTGAAACATGTCCAATATATAGTTGTTCAATTTTAGGATATTCTGTTGTTTCTGTTGTTAATAAAGGAACTTCATCAGAACGTCCAGAAGAATAAACATTGACTAATAAATTAATTGGCTCCATTTTAGATTCAGTCATTGTGTTTGTACTAGCAATCGGGCCAGAATATGGCTCTGAATCCAAAGGAAAATCTCCAACATTTTTGGTTCCTTTGAAGAATTGAGTAAATTTTTCTAGTTTTCCATGTTTCTCTTCAATTATTGAAGTAGGCAAATGTTCGTAGTAGCCAATATTCTTCATTTCCACATCAAGAGTAGTTGGATCCAAGTCAGACTGCCGTTTAGTTTCAGAAATATAGCCAATAAATGGTGCTTCAATTTTAGGGAATTCTGCCGTTATTGTTGTTAAATGTTCGTCAGAAATTCCAGAAGAATAAATATTAACAAAAGAGCGGATTGGCACGTTTGTTGCTTCATTTGTTGTGCCAGTCACTGAAACATGTCCAGTATAAGCTTCTTTATCAATAGGGAAATCTTCATCTTTTGTGCTTCCTTTAAAGAAGTGTGTCAGCTTTTCAAATGCTCCTGGCTTCTTTTCTTCTCCATCTGTTGTTGTAGAAGGTAAATTCTCATAGTAACCAACATGTCTTTTCTCTAGGTCCAGAGGGAGCTCATACAATTCATTTTGACGTCTTGAATCCGGAATGTAACCAAGATAAGGCTCTTCTTTTATTGGATATTCTGTTGTTTTTAATATTTTTGGTGCTTTTGGAGTTTCCTCAGAAGAATAAACACTAGCATGGTGCTCTAAAGGTGAATCAGTAAACTCGGTATGAATAGATTCAAACACATGTCCAGAATATGGATCTTAATTAAGTTGAGACTTTAGTAAAAATAATTATTAATTACCGGTAATATGGGGATAAGCATCTTTTGACTCTTCCCTCTTGAAAAGATGTGTTAACTTTTCTAATGCTCCAGGCTTCTTCTCTTCTTCACTTGTTGTAAAAGGCAAACTTTCATAGTAACCAATATGTTTTTCTTCAACTTCCAAAGGAACTCCTTCAATTTCTTCAAATTTATTTGCTTCAAAAATATTCCCAATAAATGGATCTTCATTAATTGGAAATTCTGATATTTTTATTATTTTTGTTGGAATTTCATCAGAACGTCCAGAAGAGTAAACGGCAACTTGGCTATCTATTGGTGCTTCAGTCAACTCTAAGTGTCGGGTAATTTCAGAAAATGTTCCAGTAAATGGCTCCGAATAATCCTCTGAAATAAAGGGAATGTTAACTTGTATCAATCATTAAATATCTACCTATGACTTTTGAAGGTTGAGGTTCCTTTTTTAATGGTGGAGGCGATTTTTCATAGAACCCGATATGCTTCTTTTCAACTTCTATTGGTAAAGAATTTAATTCAGCCCCAAGTCTCGTCTCTGGGGTATTACCAGTAGAGGGAGCTTCCATTTTGGGATATTCTGTTGATTTTGTTGATGGAGTTTCATCAGAACGTCCGGAAGAATAAACACTGACAAATGAATTGATTGGCTCTTTTCTAGCTTCAGGAATTGTACTTATACTAGCAATTTGGCCAGAAAATGGTTCTGAATCAACAGGATAATCTCCAACTACTTTGCCACCTTTGAAAAGTTTTGTTAGTTTTTCTAGAGCTCCAGGCTTCTTTTCTTCTTTGACAGTTAAAGACGGAAGATGCTCGTAGAACCCAATATGCTTGTTTTCAATGTCCATTGGCATATCTTCCATCTCATTTCGTTGTAAATAATAAATATGGCCAATAAATGGTTGTTCAGGTTTGAGATGTGAGGTTTTCGATGATGTTGAGGGAAGCTGTTCATAATAACCAATATACTTCTTTTCCAAATCCAGAGGTATATGTTCAATTCCAGAATGAAGTTTTGATTCTGGAACATAATCAACAAATAGAGCTTCATTAATAGGGAATTCTGAATGTTTCTTTGTTTGTTCTTCATCAGATCGTCCAGAAGAGTAAATACTAACAATAGAATGGATTGGTTCCGTTGTTAAATCAGTAACGATGTTTGTAAGAGTGATAGGGCCAGAATAAGGCTCGGAATCAACAGGAAATTCTCCTTCTGTTTTACTTCCTTTGAAGAGTTTAGTTAATTTTTCTAAAGCTCCAGACTTTTCTTCAATGACAGCTGTTGAGGATGGAATATGTTCGTAATACCCAATATAATTATTTTCAACTTCCAATGGGGAATCTTCAACTTCATTTCGTTGTAAGGAATGAATATGTCCAATAAATGGCTCTTCAGTTTGTGGATGTTCTATCAGTTTTGTTAATAGTTGTTCATCGGAACGCCCAGAGCTGTATATATTAACACAAGAGAGGATAGGTGAAGCTTGAGCTTCTGGCACGGCACTAATAGTGGAAATTAGGCCGGAAAATGGCTCAGAACCAACAGGGAATTCTCCTTCTATTTTACTTCCTTTGAAGAGGCTAGTTAATTTTTCCAGAGCCCCAGGCTTCTTCTCTTCTCGATTTTTAGAAGGATGATGTTCGTAGAATCCAATATGCTTGTTTTTAATTTCCAATGGCAAATCTTCAACCTCGTTTCTTCGCGTGGAATGAATATGGCCAATAAATGGTTGCTCTATTTCTGGATATTCTGATGTTTTTGTTAGGATTGAGGGTAGTTGCTCATAATATCCTATGTGCCTCCTTTCAACTTCAATAGGCATATATTCCATTTCAGAATGCACCTTCGTTTCAGGTAGATTGTCAGCTATTTCTTCAAGAAATTCTGTAGTTTTTACTGGTGGTTGTTCATCAGAATGTCCAGAAGAGTAGTTACTAACAAAAGAATGAATTGCTTCTGTTTGAGCTTCAGGCACGGAACTAGTAGTGGCAATTAAGCCAGTAAATGGCTCAGAATCAACAGGGAATTCTTCATTTTTCTTGCTTCCTTTAAAAATTCTTGTTAGTTTTTCAAGTGCTCCGTGCTTTTCTTCCTTTGATGTTGAAGGTGTCCCCTCGTAAAATCCAATGTGCTTTTTCTCGACTTCTAAAGGGTTCTCTTCAAGCTCTTCCTTTTGTAAGGTATAAATATTTCCTGTGAAGGGTTCTTTGCTTATTGGGTATTCTGTCTTTTTTGTTCCTTCATTTTCTTCAAAAAATCCAGAAGAATAAACTCCGACCATTGAAAGTATTGGTTGATGCTCTACCTCAGGAGCTATATTGGTGCTTGCAAGAGGGCCAATATACGGTTCAGTGGCTTCAGGGAACTCTTCAGTAGATTTAATCCCTTTAAATATATGACTGAGTTTTTCCAGTGCTCCAGACTTTTTTTCTTCTTTGTCAGTTAAAGACGGAAGATGTTCGTAATATCCCACATGCTTATTATTAACTTCCATTGGCACATCTTCCACCCCACTTCGTTGTAAAGAATGAATGTGACCAATAAATGGTTGTTGAATTTTTGGATATTCTGATGTTTTTGTTGATGTTGTAGGCAGTTGTTCATAATAACCAATATGTTTTTCTTCAACTTCTAAAGGAACTCCTTCAATTTCTTCAAGTCTTTTTGCTTCAAAAATATTCCCAATAAATGGATCTTCATTAATTGGAAATTCTGATATTTTTATTATTTTTGTTGGAATTTCATCAGAACGTCCAGAAGAGTAAACGGCAACTTGGTTATCTATAGGTGCTTCAGTTAATTCTAAAGGCCTTGAGCTTTCAAATAAATGTCCAGCAAACGGAGCTAAAATTAAGGGAGGTTAAGAAAGAATTTTGGTGAAAACACTCACCGATATCTTTGGGGTAAGTATCATGTTTTGGTTCACTTTTGAAAAAATGTGCTAAACTTTCGAGTGCCCCATGATGTTTTGGCTCTTCTTTAGGTTGTAGAGGAAGGTGTTCATAATAACCAATATGTCTTCTCTCAACTTCGAGAGGGATTTCATGTAATTCATTCTGTCTAGAAGAATCTGGGACATGGCCAATGTATTGTTGTTCTTTCGGATATTCTGGCATTTTTGTTGTCGAAGGAACTTCATCAGAACGTCCAGAAGAATAAACATTGACTAATGAATTAAGTGGTTCCATTTTGGATTCATGCATTGCACTTGTACTAGCAATTTGGCCAGAATATGGCTCTGAATCTACAGAATACTCTTCAAGATTTTTGCCTCCTTTAAAAATCTTAGTCAGTTTTTCAAGTGTTCCAGGCTTCTTTTCTTCTTTGAGAGTTGTTGAAGGTAAATGATCATAGAATCCAATATAGTTGTTCTCTACTTCCAATGGCATAACTTCTATTTCATTCCGTTTTAAAGAATGAATATGGCCAATAAATGGTTGTTCAGGTTCTGGATATTCTGAGAATTTTGCTGTTGACGTTGAGGGAAGCTGCTCATAATACCCTATATACTTCTTTTCCAAATCCAAGGGTATATGTTCCATTCCAGAATGAAGCTTTGACTCTGGGACATGATCAACAAATGGAGTTTCATTAATTGGAAATTCTGTTGATTTTGATTGGTGAATCTCATCAGATCGACCAGAAGAGTAGACACTAACCATTGAATGAATTGGCTCAGTTGTCAGATCAGTATCGGTGTTAGTCAATGTGATAGGGCCAGAATAAGGTTCAGCATCGACCGGGAATTCTCCTTCTGTTTTACTTCCTTTGAATAGGCTAGTTAATTTTTCTAAAGTTCCCGGCTTCCTTCCTTCCTTGCTAGTTGTTGAAGTTGGAAGATGTTCGTAATATCCAACGTGCTTATTTTCAACCTCTATTGGCACACTTTCAATTTCATTTTGTTGTAAATCATGAATGTGGCCAATAAATGGTTGTTCAAGTTTGGGATATTCTGATGTTTTTGTTGACGTTGAGGGCAGCTGTTCATAATAACCAATATGCTTCTTTTCGAATCCAATAGGCATATGTTGCATTTCAGAATGCACATTTGTTTCAGGTAAATTGCCAGCTATTTCTTCAACAACTTCGATAGTTTTTACTGTTGGTTGTTCATCAGAATATCCAGAAGAGTAGACACTGACAAAAGAATGAATGGGTTCTGTTTGTGCTTCAGGCAAGGCACTAGTAGTGGCAATTAAACCGGTAAATGGCTCAGAATCTACAGGAAATTCTTCGCCTTTCTTGCTTCCTTTAAAAATTCTTGTTAGTTTTTCAAGTGGTCCAGGCTTCTTCTCTTCCTTTGATGTTGAGGGCAAAACTTCATAAAATCCAGTATACTTCTTCTCAACTTCCAATGGCACATTTTCTACCTCATTCCTTTGTAATTCATGAATATGTCCAATAAATATTTCCTCAAAGTTTGGATACTCTATTAATTCTGTTGGAAGCTCTGTAGTTAAGTCAACAAGTTTATCTTCAATTTCTAATGGTTTTCCTTCCAATTCCGGTACTATCTTTGACTCCGAAACATTGCCAATATACGGAGCTTCATTTGAAGGATATTCATTCATTTTTGTTGTTGTTGGAACTTCATCATATCGCCCAGAAGAGTAGACACTAACTAATGAATGGATTGGTTCTTCTCTTGCCTCACAAATTATATTTAATGGAGCTAAAGGTCCAGTAAAAGGTTCAGAATCAACAGGATAGCCTCCATCTGTTTTGGACCTTTTGAAAATCTGGGTTAGTTTTTCTAGCGCTCCAGGCTTCTTCTCTTCTTCACTACTTGTTGAAGGCAAATGATCGTAATATCCATGATGCAGATGCTCAACCTCCAAAGGTATTGGAGTAAGTCCTAACCGCCGATTTGATTCAGAAACATTCCCAGTGAATGGAGGTTCATTAACGGGAAATTCTGTAGTCTTAGTTGTTGGAGCTTCATCAGAGCGTCCAGAAGAATAAATGTTGACAAAAGATTGGATTGGCTCATTTTTAGCTTCAATCATGGCACTAGTACTAGCAACTTGGCCAGTAAAAGGATCAGATTTAACTGGATATTCCTCGATTTTCTTGCTTTCTTTGAAAATCTGAGTTAGTTTTTCCAATGCTCCAGGCTTCTTATCTTCTTCTTCCAAATTTTTGTAAAAGCCAATATGCCTCCTTTCTACTTCCAATGGAATGGTTTCCAACTCAGATTTATTTGTTTCGGAAAAAGTGTCAATAAATGGAACTTCATTTTTTGGAAATTCTGAGGGTCTTGTCTCCTTTTCTTCTTCTTTTTCAATTAATTTTGAATAATATCCATTAGAATAAACATTAACATAATTATCAATCTCAACACTTTTTGCTTCATCCCAACAACTAGTTGAAGGATGATTCTCTTCAATTTCTTCTGTTGTTTGTGTACTACATTCTTTTAATTGTTGCTGACTGTCCGGCAACATAACCCAATGTTCTAAAGGTTCTTCACTAATTTCCCTAACTGGCTTTGTTGTTGTCGTCTTATGCATAAAAGGTGATATAGAAGCTTCAGCTGCTTTTGCCAATTGAGCACAAAATTCTTCATCATCAAATGTATGCATAATACCTTCACTATTTGGAGAGGAAAATGTAGATGTATTTGCAAAAGAATGTGGAGAATATGGCGGTGAGCGGATTTCTGAGGGGATTACCTTTAAAAAGTGGGAATGAAAAAAAGGATTATTTTTGTGCAAAATTTTTATTTTTTTTTTGTTGCTCTTACATGTTTTTTTAGTACTTTTCTATATTCAGTTAATGATAATTTTGTTCATAATCATCGAATCAAGGTGATTTTAGCTCTTTAAACTCGATCCGCAGGCATTTCCGATCATAAGGAAAAAGATATATGAATAGAAAGGCTTTGGAACCGGCCACCGGCAAAAGTTAAAGCCAAGGAATTTAACGGAAGAGTGTAATTTTTTAGTACTAAAAAAGTAAACCCACAACAATATTAGACGAAGTAACAATAATTTCTTCCTCTTCCTTCTCTTTATTTTCATTTAACTTATCAATTGTTGTATTAGTTGTAGTTATTACAGTTTCTTCATCATCTTCTTCCTTTTTGGTTTTTAAAGGAATTTGTTTTAATAAAAGTGAGGAAGTTGAAGATTTTAAATCATAATTATCATCATCTTCACTTGTTGAAGTTATTGAACTATCTGTTTTATTTATTATTAGAAAATCATCTTTTTCTTTTATTGTAGTAGCTGTGGATGTTGATATTGTAGATTCTGGCATTTGGACAAACTCCAAATCATCATCACTTGTATCTTCCAATATTTTATATGTTGTTTTGGTTGTTGTGATTATTGTTGTAGTTCGACGTGATTCTCTATTTAAGAAAATACCGCTGACTATAGGGACCTGAGAAAAAATAATTATAATGTATATCCTTGAGTAATTTTACAAATTGTAAAAACTTTTCCGGAATTTAATAATACATTTTACAAATTGTAAAACCTTTTCCGGAATTTAATAAAATATTTTACAAATTGTAAAAACTTTTCCGGAATTTAGTAATATATTTTACAAATTGTAAAAACTTTTCCGGAATTTAATAAAATATTTTACAAATTGTAAAAACTTTTCCGGAATTTAATAAAATATTTTACAAATTGTAAAAACCTTTCCGGAATTTAATAAAATATTTTACAAATTGTAAAAACTTTTCCGGAATTTAGTAATATATTTTACAAATTGTAAAAACTTTTCCGGAATTTAGTAATATATTTTACAAATTGTAAAAACTTTTCCGGAATTTAATAAAATATTTTACAAATTGTAAAAACTTTTCCGGAATTTAATAAAATATTTTACAAATTGTAAAAACCTTTCCGGAATTTAATAAAATATTTTACAAATTGTAAAAACTTTTCCGGAATTTAGTAATATATTTTACAAATTGTAAAAACTTTTCCGGAATTTAGTAATATATTTTACAAATTGTAAAAACTTTTCCGGAATTTAATAAAATATTTTACAAATTGTAAAAACTTTTCCGGAATTTAATAAAATATTTTACAAATTGTAAAAACCTTTCCGGAATTTAATAAAATATTTTACAAATTGTAAAAACTTTTCCGGAATTTAGTAATATATTTTACAAATTGTAAAAACTTTTCCGGAATACATATAATAAAATATAGGGGGGTAATCAACGGGTTGGGTAATTATCTGAGGGAGGGCAATTAGTAAGGGTTATACGGTAAAGAAGTTTGTGGCCAGAGCTAGGCAAACAAAATGTGAAAATTCACCCCAGAACTAGTTAAACCTCCAACAATAGGCACAGCTCCAGCTTCAATAGTTGTTGTAGTTGTACAAACCTTATAAATAAAAATTAATTGAAAAAAAATTATTCTTTTTACTTCTCTGCTCGCTTCAGTTTCTGGCGATAAAGAAATCATTTCCAGTTGCTCGGAGCTAACTTGGCTCAATTCCATTGGCATTTGTACTATTTGAACTCTTTCTGTACTTGTAACTGTTCTAGCTCTATAAATCCCTCCTCCGCTGTCAGAGTCGGAATCTCCTCCTTCTGTTCCACTCCGACTACTGCTACGACCTATTAAGGGGAGAAACAAATAATTTTTTGAGGGGAAAGTACCTGGAGGAGTCATTTCTGTTCGTTCTCTTCGTGTAATTGACCATTGAGGAACACCTTATTTAATTATATGATATTTAAATTAATTAAATCCCAAACCTGTTCTAGGTGTTACACTTTGGGGTGGTCTAGGCGGTAAATTATTTGGATCCGCCATTTAAAATTCTGAAATAATTTTTAAAAAATTATTAAACTAAATAAAAATATAAATATTTTTAAATGGCATTTTAGCTAAAATAAATAATTTTTTAGCATCCAAAAGGAAATGAATAGAAATTGAGAACATAAATTTATATTTATTTATTTTAGTTAAGCGCGGATTGATTTTATTTTCAGTGAGGAAATAAAAATAGAAAAATAGAGAATTAAAAAATTGTAAAAAAGGGATTAAAAAGGTAAATATAGGGCATCTTTTATGTAGTTTAACTCATTAGGAGGTGAACGAACATTTAATTACATATGTTCCTATATTTTTAATTAAAAAACTCAAAACTTATCTCAGCTAAAACTAAAAAACAAACTTTTCATGAAGAAATTATAAAAATAAATTTAGTTATTTTTAATCTCAAAGTTCAGAAAAACATATGTTTTTAAGCTTTTCTCACTCAATCCCAGATTTTTCCGTGAAAAATAGAAGAAGGGAGAACCCAGTATTGAGCATGTTTGGAGTTTTTGCCTAGAGTTTGGATTTAATAAAATTTAAAGCTTGGAAAGGTTTTTTAAGTTTGTAAAACCAGATGTTGTAAACTTAAGTTTGTAGACCATACAAAATAAACAACGAAAACATTTTATGTTACACGTGGTTAAGTGGTATAACGTACTAAAACATATGCCAATTAATCACAAGGTTTGCATACTGTTGTCTCCAGCCTTTTTTTTATTTTAATTTTAATAATAAACTATGACTCAAGATGGGTATATTTTTTATTATCAATTTAAATTTAAGAATTTTATCAGCCATTTTCAAAACAAAATACCAATTTCCGCCCTAAATTGATCACGTAATTTTTTTCGTTAAAAAAAAATTTTAACGATTTTGAAATCTTAACGCGCAAATTGTTGTTGGGGTGTTATTTTCTTTCTTTTTTACTACTTTCTTTGGCAAATTATAAAAAAAGGAGATTGAAAATAATTTAAAAAATAAAAGAGAAAACGGAAGGTTGAAAATATAATCGAAAACTTGCATTGAAAAAAACAACAAAACAAAGCGACAAATCAGTTACACATTTTTTTATTTTTTTTACTTGCGGTAAGACAAAAAGGAGAAGAATATTTTAGACGGGAATTGTTGGGGGTGGTTATTCGTACTATAATTAAAAAAATAAAATTTGGGACATAAAATTGATGTTAGGAGGAGAAAGGGAAAGATGATCTAACATTAGTCATTCTGACATTAGTCGATGTCATCTGAATTAATTCTTCAGGATTTTAAGACTTCAAATAATTTACAAAATAACTAAAAAAACCCTCTCAAAATAAAGGACATTGTATTGTTGCAATTTTTCATGCAATAGTTTCATGCAAAAATTCTTTTCTCTTTTTGCTTTAATTCCTCTCGCGCACTTTACTATTATAAACGGCCTTTAATAATATTTAGTAAAATACAGGGTGGGGCAAAAGTTCGGCGACAAATGTTTTTAATAAAATCTATTGTAAAAAAAATTTACTTAACATGAAAAAATGATAAAATATAATCAATAGGATATATTAATCATGTTATTAAAGTAATTTCTCAAAATGACCGCCTCTGACTGAAATACACGTATTCAAACGCTTACGGTTGTGACTCACAATGGTCGCGCATTGTTCATAGGATATTTAGTTCCAGTCCCTCTCAAAACAATTTTCAGTTCCTCCTATGTTACGTATCGGATTCGGCATACTTTTTGCTACAGAATTGCCCAAACAGAATAATCCACGGATTTAAATCCGTTGAGTTTGAAGGCCAGATATCTTTCCCCCAAAAGCCAGGAAACAGCTCCCCACAGAGCTGGATTGTCGTTTTGGCTCCATGCACAGGTAACCAATCCTGCTGAAGTGAGAATTGGTTTTCACCAAAATGCTATAACGCCCATGGATGCACAACCCCCCTCAGAATGTCATTTTTTTAGACTAGCATTAATTTTTACATGCATCACTTTGTTATGGCGACCAGCTGCGACCAGGCGTTTAATCAATTAGACATTTCTGAAGCTTCTGATGCTTCATTCGATTGATTAGGAAATATACGCGGCTGATCTTTTAGCTCCGAAGTCTAAGCTTCACTCTGACAATTCTTAGGAGTCTCTTCGAGCTCATTCCGAGATCTGAGGCCGTTTTTCACATCGATTGTTCATAAAAACGGCGAATTCGGCATTTGACCACGTTCATGTTTTCAAGCGTAACTGCGGTTAAAGGCCGGGCACTACTAAGGCGGTCCTGAGTATTTCCAAGCTCATGATATCGTTTTATTGCTTTGGAAACCAACATACGATAGATATCGAGCGGTCTAGCGATGTCACATTTTCGAACATTTTTAAAATACAAAGAAATAATAGAAGCACGATTCTTTAACATTCTGTAAAATTTTTATTTTATGAGATAGGAAAAAATCTTCAAGATAAAATTTGTAGAGCGCGAATCATAGAATATGGGAAATCTAATCATAAAGCAAAATATAAAGTAAATTTTAAGAAAGGGTAAAATAAAATTTGTCGCCGAACTTTTGCCCCACCCTGTACTCTTTTTTCTTGTTTTGACGAAAAAACAAGAATAAAACTATTATAATTAGATTAGGCAGACTTATCAAAAACATTTTCAGGTTTTATTTAAAACAAACAAATTTTTTTAAACTTAAACTTAGTCTTAAAAACAAACATTTTAAAATTAATTTTGAATGTTTGTTTTGTTTTACAAAAGTATTTCAATAAAAACACAGGAGGAAATTCAATCGGGAAAAAAGAGAACTTGAAAAAAGTGTAAAAAAAGAAGGAAAAACGTGTTCGAGCATTTAATAAAAGTGTTAACCACACACACAGTGATTTTTACATCAAAACAACTAGTAGAAAAACAAGAAGAAAAAAGGGAAGCTATAAACACGTATTTATTAAATCATTCAGAGATTTTCTCGGCTAAAAATAATGCTTTATCCTCTTTTTCTTTAGCCGTTCGATCAACGTAAAATAATAATCGATTATTCACGCGAGATTTTTTGACTTTAAGGGCGTCCATGAAATGAGGAAATGTGAGGGAAATGAAAGAATTTATAAGAGGAAAAGGAAGACCTCTCCACTTCTCTCCCAGCAAAAAACATTTTTTTTAATTTTCCCCTAATTTGTTTGAACAGATGTCTAAAATAAATTATTTATAATATTTTTATTTAGTAATAATAAGTATTTATTATTATTATTTTTACAAAATTACAATATTAAAACTTAAAAAAATACGTAAATATGTTCCTTTAGCAACGACTTGCCGCTGTTGACCATTCATTTTCTTCCTCTTCATCCTCATTACTTGTAGACCAATTATCATTATTGTCAGCTAGCCTCAGTGCCTATAAAAAATTTTTTTTGAAAATTTTAATTGTTAAAAACCTTACTTGAAATTTTTTACGCTGCCCAATTAACAATTTTTCTTCGTCCTCTTTTAATTTTGAATCTTCTTTTCTAGGAAATTCTAAAATAAAATTTTTTTGAATTTTTAAATAATTAAACCTCCAATTTGCAAAATTGTTGTTTGATTATTTGAAGATGATGGTGATGACAAAATAGGAATTGTAGGTGATTGTACCATTTTATTTTTTGAATTGGTCGTTTTGGTTTCGTTAGCCTTTTTCATGGCAGCAGCTTGTCTTTCAGCAGATTCCATTAAAGGGGCTAAACTTGGCCGTAATGGACCGTGATGACCACCAGGCCGAATTGCTGAGTGGGGAATACCTTAAAATTTAAAATTTTGTAAGTTTCCTTCATATACACCAGGGGTCGGTCCACCGGAAAAAAGTCAGAACTCCGACCGCGCCCCTGCTAAACACTCAAACTAAGTATAAATAAAATTTACCACTAGTGCTTCCACCAATTCCATCAGAAAAAAAGTGCCGAAAAGTAAAATCTATAAAATTTGGAGGAAGTTGTTGTTGAATATTTGAAGGTTGCTTCTTTCCATTTTCTTTGTTTTCACGCAAAACATTTGAAGGAGTTATGGCTGTCATTTGTTTAATATTTTTGTCTTCATTTATTCGATTTATTTCATTATCTTCATCATCTTCTTCCTCGTCTGTACGACAAACTTCAAAGGTATCAAAGTTGGAGGTATCCTCAGGATGGCGTACACGAGGAACATGTTCAGGAGTAATGTTTCGCAAATTCAAAAAGTCTATACCCTTAAAAATAAAAAGATTTTCCTTAAATTTAAAAAAATAACTTTACTTTAAACCAAACATGTTCTTTAATATCTTTAGCTCCTTGTCTATGGCCTAAACGAATGCCTTGATCACAACATAAACGGGCAATACATTCTATGCATTGGCGAGAAAGACGTGCACCCATCGGGTTTTTCAAGTCAAGAAAACGATACCAATGTACAATCATGTATTGAGTTTCAGCGGGGTCATCAACACGACTCATGAATGGAGGGCCTTAAAAAATATTTTTTGTTCAAAACTTGAAAAATAAAATTACGTCCAAAAACCATTTCGTATAAAATTACTCCAACACTCCACCAATCGCAAAGTTGAGTATGTCCTATAAAATATAACAATTTAAATTCTAATGTTCTAAGAAATATTACCAGTCCGCTGAATTACTTCTGGAGCCATATAGTTTCCCGTTCCAACAACAGAATGAGCACGATTTCTAAAAAAAAGTTTTTAATAGTAAAAATATTTTAAAAAATACCTTTTATGATGATGTCTCATTTCCAAAACTTTCCAACGTTGATCAAATCCAGGAGGCAAGGAAAACGAATCTTCACGTAAATGTGTGGCTCCATCTTCATGGTTGTCATAAACAACATAATGCCGTTTATCGTGTGTCCATCGAAGTCCAGTACACAGACCAAAATCGGTAAGCTTGATATGTCCTCCTTTGTCGATCAATATGTTGTCGGGTTTTATATCTCTATAAAGAAGAAAATTTAAAAAAATTGTTTCCAAAATAAACCTGTGAATAAATCCTAAAGAATGTACGTACTCCAAAGCCAATGTTAGTTCAGCAATGTAGAATCTACAATAAAAAATTTATTTAAAAAATAAATTTAAAATATTTAATTAATAACCTTGCCAAACTCTCTGGAAAAATACCCATATTTATAAGTAGTTGCATCTAAAATATAAGAATTATTTAAAATTTTCGAATCTAAATTTAATTACCATATCTCCACCTGGCACATATTCCATAATAAAATAAAGATTCTGTGCATCTTGGAAAGAAAAGAATAACTTTACAATCCACGGACTGTTAGCTTCAGCAAGTATGTCCCTTTCTGCTTTGACATGAGCTGCTTGTTGCTTCTAAAATACAATTTTGTTATAAAAATAAATTTTTCATTTAAAATTTAAACCTGAATAACATCTGCCTTTATCAATGTTTTCATTGCATAAACTTGGTCAGTATCCTTTTTCCTCACTAAAGTGACTTTCCCAAAGGCACCAATTCCAATATGGCGTATAAGCTTAAAAAAGGTTAAATTACTTTTTAAAAATAATTTTTTTAAAGTTTACCCTAAACATTCTTCTATTCATCTTCTGTCGTTGTAAACGTAAATATTTTGATTCTTTATTTCTAAAATTTTTAAAATTAATTTTAAAAATTATTGAAAAACAAACTTTAAAAGTCTCAGCATATTATCTTTAACATTATCAGCTAAACCAGCAGCTTCCATTTCATGGCTTAATTGGCGAGCGCGTTTTCTTCTTTCATGAAATTGTTGAGTTAATTTTTCAATATGTTGTTCCATAAAAAATCTAAAAAAAAATTAAAAAATATTTTTGTTTCCAATTAAGTATTTGGAAAAACAAACCGAAACATGGAAGGACGACAACTGAAAAAAATATTAAATTTAAATAAAAAAAATATTAAAAAAACATACGGCTTGCATCCTCTTTCATAAGTTCCCGACTTTAAACGTTTAGCTACAGATTCAGGCAATGGAGACGTAGAACGCTTAATTTGTTGTTGTTGAGTTGGAAAAGATTGAAATTGGGTGGAAGAGGAGGAAGATGAATTATTAGTTGTAGTAGCAGCAGAAGAGGAAGAAACAACGACAAATTTACGACTTAACTGTAAAAATCAAATCAAAAATAATTTTAAAAAATTTTTAAACCTCCTCTGTGTGTCTTCTTCTATTGTCTTGTGTTTGTATGGCATTATTTGAAATGTTGTTGTTGGCAACTTTTGGATCAATAAAAATTCTTTGAACACATTGTGGCGGTTGTTGTGGCACAATTGAATGCTTTTGAGATGATAATAAAGAGGAGGTAGAAGGTTTTGTTGATTCATCAATATTTTTGGAAGGAAAATTCGGGGGGAAATTTGTTGTTGTTTTATCATTTTTTATTAATAATGGTTGTTGCGCCTGGTTTCTTTCTATTCGAATAACTGTACCACCCCCTCCAGAAGTATTCAAAGGCTGATGCTGGGCATTAAAAGGAGGGGGAGGATTTAGTTTTGTAGTAGCCACAGATGCAATATGAGCATCGGAAGGCCCAAAAGATTGACTTTGACGACTTAGAAAGGTCATTAAAATTTAAAAAAAAAATAACTAAAAAATTACAGTGTTTGTGTTATTGGAGTAGGCCTATGTGCAAGTGTTGGAGTTCTGTGAATTGGTCGATTTGTAAAAGGCAAAGCATTGTTTTGGGGTTTTCTTGAGGACGAGGGGGAAGTTGTTGGAACAAAACTACAAGTTGAAGTTGTAGTAACTGTGACAATTGGTGAATGAGAAGCTTGGTTAAGGTTGTTAGAATGTTGTTGAATTATATCCTAAAAATAAAATAGGGTATTTAAAAAACATTTTTTTACCTTACAGTTTTAATTGTATGCAATACACGCAAAGCATCCGCAGCCGATCTAAAATTGACCAACTTTAGTGCATAGAATGCACTTTCCTATAATTTTTAAATTTAAAAAATTTAATAAAAAATATTAATATTCTTGGGTTATCCCCCACTATTTTATGTCTTTTCCTTTTTCCAAAAATGTTGCTGGGACCCAACGCTTGACCCATGTGGACTTCTTTGGAGAAAGGAAAAGGAAATTAGGAGGAGATGATAAAATGAGGAAGATAACCAAAGTACCAAAATAACTTATAATGAAAATTTACCTGATCATATCCAGCATCCACAATAGACCTAACCATTTCCAATTTTTTAACATCCAATAACCTATCATTATCCTCGTCTTTATTTTCAAATTTTTCTTCATTTAAACCATTTTCCAATTTTTGTGGCAATTTTTGTTGTTGTTGTTGGAATGGCAAAAGTGAAGAACGAATTGCATTTAATTGTTGCTGCCGATTATTAATATTATTATTTTGTTGTGGTTGAGGCATTTCTAGACAGGAAAACTGAAAAAATAAAATTTTGAAATAATTTTAAAAAATTGATTAGTTTAAATTTAAAATTTTTTAGTTTGCGGAATCAAACGGAAATTGTTTTTGGTTTTGTAAAAGCAAAAGAGAAAGACAAATAAGGGAGTGGGTGTGAGAGAACGCCGCTAACCATCGGCAACACACAATATGGTGAATCACTTTTAAGGCATCAAAATTTGAAGGGGTAAAGACTCTTTCTCCCCTTAGTGTAAAGAAAAAGAAAAAATATTTTTATTGTACAACTACTTCACCCCCACAACCAACAAAACCCCCCAAAACGCGTTGCCCCCTTTCTACAATGCATTCCTTTCTTTCCTCTCTCAAAAACTCTTTTAATGATAAAGGAGGGGGGAAAGAGGAATTTTTAGTAGTTTCCTTCCTCGAGACAAAGAATAAAAAACAGGGGAAGGGGGAGAGACACTCCTCAAAAAGCCCATCGATGTCAATCGCCAGTCTTCCGCCACACATTCTTTCAAAATTTCTAAAAGATCAAATCACTTGAGATCAACACTTTGACCAAAAATTCTCTTATTGTTTCACCAAAAATTTTTAATGAGTCTTAAAAATATTAGGAGGATATCCACAGATTTTGTAAAATAAATTCTACTTAATAAATTCTCAAGCTCAACTTATAATAAACATTAAAAATGTACTACTAAAAAATGTGAAAGGAAAGTCGTTACCGATTGGAGCGAACAAATCGATTTTTTACTTGATAGAGTTGACGGTTATTTGGGGGAAAATAAATAAAATAGTTGGGAATTGTTAAAAATAAAGGAAAGAGAAGCAATGGAATTTGCTGAAAAAAGTAGTAAATTGTATCAATAAAATGTATTTTGCATGAAACTGATAAAAGATTATTGGTAATATTGAAGTTTATGGGCCCCTTTTTCCTCCCCAGGTTTTTTCTTTAAATGTACATAATGGTCAGACTTCAGTATTTATTAATCCTAAATAAGGACTCTCAGATAGAACGAAATTAAGGAAGAAAAAAGTCTGACCATTGTGTATATCTAAAGGAAAAATCTGATGAGGAAAAAGGAGGTCTATAATCTTCAATATTACATGATTATTTGTTAATAAATTGAATAAAAAATTTTGTTAATTTTTAAAAATAAAGAATAAAAAGAAAAATAGGTTAAGTGAAAGAATTGGTTGATTTTTACTTATATTTATGTAAATTCGTCTCTCTTAAAAAATAAAGAGGACAAGGCTAAAACCTTGTGGAAAGGAATTTTAAGAGGGAATAAATATATTTTTGAGAGATACTTTTGTGGATCAAATAGGCGGAAAACAATTTTCTGTCAATTAAATGAATGGAATTTGTCTTGTTTTAATGTGCAAAAAAAGCGTGGGAATTTGACAAAAATGGGGAGAGAGAATGAGTCTTAAAAGTGGAATATTTGACAAATTTTAAATGTTGGTATAGTTTCATTGCGTGTTTTATATATTGAGGTTTTTTGAATTTTTTTTCTTTAATTTAATTTTACAGAAAATTTAACTAGCTAACAAAAAACGCAAAGAAAATTTTCTTTTTTAAAGGTTACCGGAAAGAGAAAAGAAGAGGAATGTTACTTAATTGGAATTGTTTGATCTAAGAGCGCATTCAAGTAAAAAGAGATTTTAAATAAAAGTGACAATATAGAACTTAAGTTTTAAATGAAAGAAATTTTTTAAAAACTTTGGAATTTATGGAATGTTAAAGTGATATAAACAAAATTAAAGAAAAAAATACAAATAACTTTTTGTTTAAAGTTATCTTTATTTTTAAATTAAACAACAAAAAAGTATAAGATTGACAAAAAATTTAGAAAAAGAATTGAAAAGGTAAAAATCGGAAAGACTAAGAGAGTATGAACAGTAGGATGGTTTGAAGAAAAATTAAGGAAAGAACCGGAAAGAGTGAAAAACTACGTACTATAGGGTGGATAATCAGATTTACGATTAACTCTTAAAAAGAGGGAGGTGAGGGGGCAACACGCTTTTTAACTTGCAGAAACATTTAAGGAAGGCCTATTAAACTTAAGCCTAATTTTAAATTAAAAAAACACAAAAAACCTTGTTGAATACCTTCATTTAAAGGTATATAAAAGTAGAAGTTGTAGTTGAAGTAATTAATTCTTGTTCAGCAATTCATGAAGAAATGGCCTTTGAAAGTGTTGAATTTGATTACTTTCCACATTTCAGCAGCTCCATTTTTTGATATTAACGAGGAATGTGAAGTCTAAAAAATAATTTTAATAAAAATAAATAAACAAAAAACCGTAAAGCATTTTCCGGCATTCTTTACCTAAAAAATTTTCTAAAATTTTGGAAAAATCCAAGCCATATTTTAAACAAAAATAGAGCCGCGCGAAGTTTAAAAGTGTAAATTTCAAAGTGTAAACTTTAAAAATTTCAATATCTCAAAATTAAATAATTTTTCATTTCGGTAATTTGTGTAAAATATGCCATTAGGTCGCGTAAAATTTTTTAAAGTTTTTCAAAAATTTTCATTTTTTAAAATTTTTATTTTTAAATTTTGATTTTTTAAATATTGATTTGATTTTCAGGAATGTTTTTGTCAATTTTGAATAAAAAATTTGCTTATTCCACCATTTTGAATCATCAGACATTAAAATATGCAAATATATTGCTTTTAAAACGACAAGCATCTTCTTCTTCAAGCAATTTAAATTCATCTCTATTTAATAAAATTGAGCAGCATTTTGCTACTAAACATCCAAAAGTTTATGCTTATTATGTTATGTCTGTATCAGGTTTTTTAACAATTATTTTATTAAATTAAATTTTATGTACTTATGTAGTTTCCCTCCCCCACTCAACTTTTTTTAAATGTGCATAATGGTCAGACATTTTTCCTTTCATGGATTCCTTTTATGTTTGCCTGTAGTATTATTCAATAAGTCAATCTTCTTCCGATTTGTAACTCTATACATGAGAAAATATTTTTGGAAGACAAATGCCTAACCATTTATGTACATTCTAAAGAATCTGAGTGGGGGAGAAAATGTGGGTGAAAAAATTGGTGAAAAAAAAGTGGGGGAGAAAATGTGAGAAAAAAAATTAATCACTAAATTTTATCAATTTCAGGAAGTAAATCATGCCTTTCCGATACAAAAATTTATTTTAAACTTCGCAAGCAAATTCTTTTGAAAGAACGCAATTTTTCCGATTTCTCAATCCCAGAGCTTTTAATTTATTTGCAGGTTATTTTTTTAATTTAAAAGTTTAAAAAATTGTTTAAAAGTTCCCTGCTGAATTGGTCCATATTTGCCTTCTTGTGTTTTTACTTCAAATCCCGATTATTGGAGAAATAATTATTGCATTAGGGTAAGAGGAATTTAATGTTTTAATTTTTATAATCGCTTTAGGGTATTTGGAAAAATTTTTTTAAGTTTCGCTCCCTCCAAGGAAACCCTCCAATTCTCAAGGAATTTTTAAAATAATTTTTAAATTATTTTTTACATTTTTTTCAAAATCATTTTTTAGACAAACGAGAATATAGCAAAGATGGTCTCCTTATTGTTTGTCAGTTTTGTAGTCCCTCTTGGTCTTCCCCTTGTTATTTTAACAATGTGGGATTTTATTTTTGTTATTATATTTTCATTAGGGCAGCAAAAATTTTTTGTGTCTTGACTTTATTTGGGGGTTTTGACATTTTTAAAATTTTTATTTTTGTGAATTTTTAAAATATTTCCACTCACATTAGAGAATTCTTTAAAATTATCTTTAAGTTTTTTACTTAAGGATTTTTCGCCCTCAACTTGTTTTAACAAGACATTTTTGGACACCTCAACAAACTACTTCTGTTCAATTAAATGAATTTAAACGAATTCAAGATGTTAATTTTCCATGTATTTTGCAACAATTATCGGAGAAAAATAAAAATGTAAGAGTATTTAAATATAAATATTTATTTCGGTTAAATAGGGGGCGCGTCCTATTTAAACATGTGGAAATGCTGAAATCATAGTAGGGTTAATGGATCGGTCGATCGAGCACCTTCCTTGGTGTTTTGAGCATCTTTCGCCAGGATTTTCGTTATTTACTCATAGATTACACTTCCGCTTATCTTTCCCAGTTTTATTAATTTTACTTTAAAGTTTAACATTATTTTAGTTATCAACTCAATTACCAGTTAAACTTTATCAATTGCCGTCAACAACTTTTAATATTCCAAAATTAGAGGAATTGTCTTTTTTGCAATTAGTATGTTTTTTTTAAATAATTTTCATGTTAAATTTTTAAGTATCATCTAAAACGTCTTCACAAAGTTTTTCCATTCTCTTTTGGCACTAAATCATTAATGGAGCGTGTTTTAATTTTACAACTATTGGACAGAAAAATGGCTGAAGATACGGAGAAGGAGCTCAAAGGATTAAATGTTGCTCAATTACAATTGGTAATTCATTTTGATTAAATCCCGGACAGAGATCAATCAGTCAAAAATTTGGGTTATTGATCAATGTTTTCGTACAACAAAATTTTTCTTGAGATTTTTTTTGGAATCTCGTTTCTCATAGGACCCTTCAAGTTAGAGCTCTAGTTCTTATTTTTTCATTTAAAAATAAAAAATTTTTGACAACTACAAATTTAATTTTTATTTTTTTTTCTATAGCACCTTTACATTCGAAAACTTAATTATGCTAAAATGGACGCTGAAAGGTTTTTTTAAAGTTTTTTATCTTTAAATGAAGTATTTTTTTCAGTATGCAATCTTTGTTAAATAAATGGCTTCAGCATTGTTCAAGTGATTAAAATTAAAAGTATATTTTTAATTATTTATTTTAAGCACTTCCACCTTCCACTTACGTTTATGCTCCGTTTCTGATTCAGACAAAATTTTAGATTTTTTTGAAATTTTTTTGAGATTAGTTGTTGAATTTTTTCGTTATTTTTTGAATTTTGTAAGTTAAAAAAATTTTTAGCAAAATATAAATTTGAAGAATTTTTTGTTTTTTTTTTCGATTTTTTAAGAATTTAGAGACTATTAAACTAGGAATATATAAAAATTCTTCCCCCTTTTTTGCCGCAAAAGGAAATGTATTAAGATTTTTTGGGGGTGGTGAGTACTTTTAGTTAGTTACTACACACTGCTGGACAGAGCTAACAAAAACACACATTTCCTTTCTTTTTTGAAAAAAAATTATATGTTTTGTCCATTTTTTAGTTTAGACATTAGCTCTACATCTAAATTATATTGTCCACTTTTTTTTCTTTCCCTTTTTTTCTTAAAAAAATTTTTTTTAAGAAAATAGAAAATATATCTTCTTATACATAGAACGTTAACTGCTACTTGGCAGAAAAATATGCTGGCCTTTATCATTAAAAAAGAAAAAATTTTTTTGAAAAAAATAATAATAACTTTTAAAATTCAATATTGCCTTAAAATTAATTTTTATTATTTATTACTTGTTATATCGACAGTTTTTCCTCGTTTTGTGGTGGCAGGTTATTGGGGATCACTTTCAGGCAATTTTTAATTTTAAGGTTCTAATCAAAAAATTTAATTTAAGCCGCTGAACAACGCTTTTCTGGCTGCTGTTTAAAATCAGAGTTTGATTGTGGAGATGGTAAATGTGTTCCTGTTTCACGTTTTCATGATGGTCGGTATAAATAAAAATAAGATTAAAAATAAATATTGTTTTAAGGTCAGAAGGATTGCATGGATGGAAGTGATGAATGTAAGGAAATTTTTAAAATTGAAATATTAAAAAAATAAATTTAAGTTTGTCTTCCTGGTCAAATTGAATGTGGCAGTCAATTCTGCGCAGATCCCATTCATCTGGTTGATTGTCTTCTTTTGAGTTCAAATTCAAACTGTACTTCGAAAAATAAAATGGAAGGTATTGGATCTATTCCTTCCTTTTGCGAATTTTTAAATGGTAAAAAACAACATTTTCAATTAAAAATAATTTTTAAAGCACCAACTCGCCGCCGTCTTTGTCATTTACATAACTCAATTGCTTGCAGAGGGTATGGTCAATGTATATTAACGAGGTGGCTTATGGATGGGAAAAAAGACTGTTTGGATGGTTCTGATGAGGATCCGGGTTATGTGGTATTTTTTAAATATTTTTTACGAAAATTATTTTTAAGGGTTTGTTCAATACAAGCTTTGACCGTCCATTTATCTCATTGCCATCTACCTCTAATAATCCTGATAGACTAACAACAACTCAATCAACTAGTACAAAAACAATTAGCAATAGTTTTACAAATGTTCAAAAACTTGTTTGGCCTCAACGTGGAAAGATTTTAAAACCTATAAAAAACATTAATAATAATATTGAACCAGTACAACAACAAAAATTTAGAGAAAATATTTTTGTGACAACTCCAACTTATCCTTTTGAGAAAATATTTACTTCCTCTTCAAAAGCAACAGAATTAAATATTGTGGATAATAGAAAATTTGGCGAGAGTGAAGAATCAAAATTAGAAGCGACTGAAAAACAAACGACATCAATAGTGACTTCTACAGCAATAACAAAAATTTTTGAAGGAGAAACTACTGCAACAGTGCCTGCAATAAATAATGTAAATAAATAGTTTTTCTAAAAATTTTTTAGAATTTTTAAAATTTAAATTTTCAGTTTATTAGTATAACGACAACATTATCAACTGAATTTACTACACAAGAAATGGCTATTAATGTTGATACTACTTCAAAACCAGAAGAATTATTAACAACTAGAAAGTCTGACGAAGAAAATGAAAAAGAGAAAAGGTTGAATTTTTTTATGAATTTCGGGTACTTCCCCCATTCTCCATATAATCTCTCCATTTAATTATTTCTGCCTTGTAATGGTCAAATTTTCTTTTTTCATACATATTTCCTTTTTCCCTTGCCGCCTATTATTTTCTTCATACTTTCTGTTCAGTTAACTTACCTTTTACTATTGACAGAGGAAAATTAAGCTGACAATGAGACTTAAAAAGGGAGAATTCTTTTACCCTTTCCCCTCAGTATTAATAATAATTTCTTTTTTTAAATAGTTGGTTATGGTTATTCTTACTCTTATTGTTTTTATTTTGCTTTTGTTGTTTAATTCTTCCACTATTTTGGTGGTGTTGTTCTTCAAAGCAAAGACGTTCAAATTTCTTTACAATATTTAGACGAAGATGGCGAAATATAAAACTTAAAATGGTTAAACTTTGTAAAAAATAACTTTAAAAAATTTTTTTTAAAAGGGAGGAAAGCAAACTCAATCCGCTTTATTGCCTACAATTGCTGCAACAACAGCATTAACTGCCTCTACTATTCCAACAAAAGTGGTTATTCCACAAGAAAGTGGTATTAGTGTTATATCAGAATCGGTTGAAGAGTCAGCGAGAGTTGGTGCTTTTTCTGTAGCAGAGCAAGAAAATACTTTAAAGGTTTGGAAAAAAATTTTGTAATGGATTTTTTTATATTCTTTTAAAATTTTGAATGAATTTTTTAATTAAAAATTGTTTTAAAGATTCCAACAATTGGTGAAGTTGGCAGAATTGCAAGTTTAGCACAAGCTTGGCAACAACAACATCATAAACCGTCAAAAGCTTTTGATGATTCTGAAGATTATTTAATTATGGAGGAATGTGAAGAAGAAGAAATTGGAGGTTTTTTTTTATTAAAATTTTTTTTTATTTTTTCAATAAAATAAATTTTGTAGGAACAGATTTAATACGAAGACAATCTTCAATTACAACATTTTTGGATAAAGGTAAAACTTTTGAGAAGAAAGATACAACAACGACAAAAACAACAACCACAACTACAATAACTGAAGAGAAGAAAGAGGAAGAGGGAGAAAAGCAGAAGGAAGAAGAGAAAAAACCAACAATAGAATTACAAAAATCGAGTACAATTACAGAAGGGACATCAACTATTGTTGAAACAAAAACAGAAGAAGAAAAGGAAGAAAAAAGAATTGAAGTTGTTGATAAATCTCTTCAATTACCATCATTATTACCTAAAGAAAAAACAATGGAAGAAGAAGAATTGCCGCGTTCTTCAAGTGCAACTTCTAGACCTGGAACTCCAACAATTTGGGATCAATTTCGAGTTTTAGGTGAACAATATTCGGGAGCTGATGATCAAATTGCTTTGGCTACAGGTTTATTTAGAAAATTTTTTTAAATATTTTTTTAATTTTTTAAAGAAAGAAGAGATTCTTTAGATGATATTTTAATTAAAATGGATACATTAGAGAAACAACAAATATTGCCGGTAGTTGAAAAACATGAAGTTATTATTGAAGAATTGGATAAAGAAAAGGATGAAGAAATTGAAGATCAAGAAGAAGAGAGGAAGGAGGATGAAGAAGAAAGAAAGGAAGAGGAGGAAGAAGAGAAGGCGGAGACGGGTAAGGGTTTGGAAAATGAAAAGGATACAACAACGCTTGGTGATGAAACTGGATTAGCTGAAGAAAAAACTGAAGGAGATGTTAAAAAAGAAAAGGAAGTAAAAGAAGGAAAAATAAAATTGGAAGAAAATATTAAAAAAGGTATAGAAATTTTACCTAAAATAGAAAAAGATGAAGAACAAGGGAAATTGGCTACAAAGAAAGTTGAGGTGTTCAAAAAACAATATTTAGAAAAACAACAAAAACTTCCATCAATTCCTCCTTTAGACATTAAAAAATGCACCAGGCAACATCCTTCATCTTCAACTTTAATTAAAACAAAAAAAGAAGTTCCAAGATTGGATAGAATTGAAAAAGCAACAAAAAATACTTTGAAAAAGGATGAAAAAGATGTTTTTGTTTTAGTTAAAGGACGTCGAGTTTTTGATGAACATGAAAGGAAAACACCTTTATTTTCTTTAAGAAGAGAAAATAAACAAAAAGAAGAAAGAATATTACCAAAACAAAAACAACAAAAGATTGAATTAAATGAGAAGAAAAGAACGGAGTTGAAGAAGGAGGAGAATACTCAACCTAAAATCAAGTATAAATTTTTTTATAGTAGTAGGGACTTAATGGGAGACACGGGTTCGATGCCTGGTGGCAGTTTGGGGCTGTTTTATGTAGGCCCTGTATACATAGTACTTTAGCAGTTGGCACACGCTGAGTGGGGAGGCAATCGGGTTAGCTTTGCTTGTAAATCCCGAGGCAGCAAGATTCATTCCCTTTCACTCCCTCTCCAATGGAAGGGAGAATTAAATAGCCTTTGTCGTTGATTTAATTAATTTTTGTTAGGCAACGAAGAGAACGTCTACTCAAATTGAGAGCACAACATCCAATAATTGAATCTTCTTGTGATGAACAATTTGTGGAAGAGCCTATTTTTGATCCTGATTTACCTTCAACTTCAAATTATCATCAACAACATTTTGTACATAAACATTTACATCTTCCACAAATTGAAGAAGATATTGAACAAAGGGTTTATTTTAAAAAAAATTTTTTAATTAAAAAAATTAAAAGGTTCATTCTGGTTGTATTCTTTCTGGTCGAAAACCATGGAATTCAAATCCACGTACCGAAACTTCCAGTAAATGGTTGCCTCCTTTAATAACTGAGCCTATTACAAGTGCTGAACGTTCTCCTGAGAGGATTGAGTCTTTAGTTCATTCAGGTTTTAGTTTTTTTGATTTTATTTCACTTTAATTTTTTAAAGGTTGTATAACCAACAGAGAACCTTGGGATTCACATCTTAAACCATCCCCTTTATCTCCACCCAATATTAATTCTCCTATAACTTCTAAACGTCTTAAAACAACTGAAAATCTTTTAAAAACACAAAAAAGTACAAGAAGACAACCTCGGCCACGTCCCAAAAGTGTTAGAGAATTAACTGATCCGGATTGGGAAAAGGAAGAATTTGAAGAGAGCAACAACAAAAATAATTATTTTAACCAATTTTCAACATCTATGAATTTTAAGAGAACAAAAAAGGCAACATCATCTCCAGATACAAAAGAAGAAAATGAAGAGGAATTTGAAACAAACAACGATTTATATTCCAAAGATTTTCTGATGAATAAAAGAAGAAGAAACATGTAAAGAAGAGTCAAAAGTGTGTAGATAGGTTGGTTTAAATATTTATTTTAAACATTTGTTAAATGGCATTTTATATGGATATCCTGCTTCCTCCCTCCCCCTAGTTCAGGTCCCAGAGTTATTCTTTCCTTTCCTCTATCATTACTGTTATGTAGATTATTACTAGAATTTTATTTAAGGATTTATGTACTTTTACCACAAATTAGACTAACTTTTATGTTGGATTTTTTAGTTACACAATTAGTGAGAGAATGTATGTAAGTGATAAAAAATGTGTACTTCTCTCTTTAAAAAATTTCTTCCAGCCGGCAAATAAAAAAGAAGGGAGAAAAATGGTTAGGGCTTTTTCTAATTTGTAAATTGCGAGACTTTAAAAAAGAAAAAAAGCCATTTTGATTAGTTAAGTTAAAAACAGAAAAAATGGGGAATGAATTTTTTGGCACTCTTCCTTTCTCTTCTTTCCTGTTTTTTTTCTTCTAATTAACAATCTGAGAGAGAATAACAATGTGTGGTGGATAGAAAAATAAATAAAAACTTTTTTCCATAACAAAAAATATGTCAACTGCATGTGCGCATAAATTGGCATATTTTAGAAAGGAAAATCAGATTAGTATATTACTTGTAAATAAAAATAATTTACACAATTATGTGTATAATTCCAAATATTTTTTCGGCATGCGGACATATCGGGATATTTTTATGTACGAACAATTGCCCTAATAATTTTGGGACCTATGGCCACTGGATCACAGATAGTACATTGCCCTATTGAAGAAAAGAGTGTTTTCGAACCAACTTAAAACCCTAGATAACTTAATCCAAAAATCCCCCGATACCGAAGATCTCCCAGGAACCGCCAACCTTAGTCCGCACACCTTTTTCAAGATTTCTAAGGTTTGAAATTATATAATTTTCTGATTTATCTTACAATCCCACCCAGAATTAAAATCTCTCACTTGTTCTTATCCTCTTAATCTTTTACAACCATTCTTCTAAGTTTTTTTCCATCCTAAAAATAAATAATTGACGTAGTGTGCCACACATTAACAAAAAACATTATGTATATACTATAGTTGAGGATGATACTGGTCTGACATGGTTAAAAAAAACTGTGGCACTAATGGCGCGCGATGTGTGCTCCTCATTTTCTTTTTGAAGATAAAAAAAAATGCTATACTTTTTTTATGTAAAAGCAAAAGGACCATTAAGAGAGCCAAAGCTGACTTTAATACTTTCTCTCATTAAAAAAATTTTTTATGGTGTTATTGACTAATGGGCTTTGAATAAAAAAATATTTTTAGGATAAAAAATTTTTTTCTAATAATTCACTTAAAATAATTAATTTTTTTTATTTTTTAGAAGCAAGTTTTAAAGAAAAAATGTTTTATGCGTGCCTTTCAATTCTTTTACTATTATTAATTTCATTGGCTTGTGTTTGTTTGTCTATAATTGATCTGGAAACTTATAATTTTGGTCTTTATATTGTTTTGCTTTGCATTGTTGGTAGGTAGGAAAAATTCGAATAATTTTGAAAAAAAGTTTTTGTCAAAAATTGTTTTTAAATTGAAAGGTACAATGCTTGCATGTGCTCTATGTGTAGCTAATCCAAATGCATGCCCAAATCCTGGATGGTACTCCAATTTCTGTTTAATGCTTCAAGTTGGGAGATTATTGAAGAATTTAAATTTAATAATTTATTTGAAGGAAATGTATCCAAGTCCAGAAGATTCAGTTAAAGCAGCCATCGCTTCACCTGAAATGAATGGTCTTCGTTCTAGAATGATGGCACATTATGGAGTAAATGTGAATCAAATGGGAGGAGAACAACAACAACAACCAACCTCAAGTAGTGGTGAAGGGGGAAGATTAACGTTAAGGTATTTTAGAAAATTAAAAGAAATAATCCCCATTTGTGGGGAGAGGGATAGAAGATTAAATAGTACTTTTTGGATATCCCCTTCCGTTTGATTCTTGAGTTTTCCTTAAGTGACATAAGGTCAAAATTCTATTTTAAGGCAAGAATCGAGAGCAACAGTAGCAATGCTTGCCCCAGCCGTTCATATAATGCATCAAGTATGGAGAGGAATGGCTTGGGTTGCTGAGGGGATGGATGATGAGGAAGATTTAACAAAAAGTTATGATCAGATTGAACAAGTAAATAAATTTTTAAAAAATTCTTTGAAAATTTTTAATTTTAAAGGGAACCTCCCATTCCATAAGTCAAGAATGTACGGATTCTTCTCAAAAAAGGCTTTCAACAATTGCAGAATCAAGCAGTGGGGGTGTAATCGAACAAAATCCAGAGGAAAGTGGGGAATTTGGTTCTGGGAAAGATGTTATTGTTTAAATAAAAATAATTTACACATTATTTATTGTAGAGATCGACCTGGATTTGGATAAAGACCTTGATTTTTCCTGGGTCCCAGAGTCAAGATCAAAGCATTTTTTAGTGTTCCAAGAATCTGGTCAAGGTCTTCAACCAAAATCAAGGATTCTTTAAATTTCCGATCTCTAATTTATTATTTGCTCAATTAAACTACTTTTTAATTAGTACTAGAGATATAAATATATTGAAAAATTGTCTTTATTAATATTTAAATTTTTAGAAACAGTTTTTTTTACAATTTGAGATTATTGTGGAATTTAAGTTTAAAAATGAATGGAATACGTGGAAAAAGTTATTGTATTATGAGTGATTTAAAAAAGTATATTATAAGAGTAAAAATCGAAGCTGGTCCTCCAGACGAGGGTTGGCGGTTCCACAGGAGATTATCTGGGAAATCTCCAGATACTGGGGATTACTGAAAATCGGACCTGGGAACTCTCCGGATAGTTTTGTTCCAAATATCCGGAATCGCCAACCCTACCCCAAACATCAATAATTAATCAAAGATTTTCTGTTTTTATTGAGTGTAGGTAATTGATCGAATGAATAACCTGGCCGGCCACAAAGAGCACAACAAATATATATTAAATGATAAAAGCCTGGAATTGCAAATAATATACCAACAACGAGGAAAATCCAGCCATGAATATCTTTAATTTATTTAAAGGAAAAAATTTTTAAAAATTAAAAAATTACCCATGTCGTTAGGTAGAAAAGTTATGCAAAAACTGAATATTATTAGAGCAGTTCCAAAAACTGCCAAAGCTAAAGAGCCAAGTAGAAGTTTTAAATTCTCCTCAAACATTTGCAAGCAACGGCTCCTGGAATTTTTAATTTAAAAATTTAAATGAATGGATAGTCAAGACCAAGTCTGGTCATATGTTCCTGACCCGGAAGGCAATACTCCCAAACACTACCCGTCCTGGACCTCGATTACCGTCCTAGACTCCCTAACCTGGAGTTGGAATACCCCCGAAGAAGGAACCGTCCTGAAGATTCCACAGGAATCGACACTAAAAGATGGAGTCCTTAAAGTATTCCTTCTAAAATTTAAGAACCTCTAAAAATTAAAAATTTCTAAAAATTAAAAACCTTATTCCATCCTCTCTTTGATCACTCTCTCCATTATTTTCATGTGGAATTCCAGGTAAACGATAATAAGAAGATAAAGAACATTCACTTCCCAGTATTGAAAGTCTTGTATTTTCCTCCCTTTTATTTAAATTTTGTTGTTTTAATTGAATTGGTGGCCAAGTAGTAGTTGAGGTGTTTGGCTGTTGTTGTGAAGATAATGGAATTAGCTTCAAAAATATTTTTAAAATACTAATATTAAAAAATGGTGGGAGGATATAAGTGAGGACATATCGGAATTGATATGAGAAAAATAACCTCTTGCATCCCTGACCCAGTGGCCATATCCATGACCCAATGGCTGAGGCTTTAGTTCCAAAATTAGGGAAACTGTTCGGCATTGAAACATCCCGATACGTCCGACCCTCCCAGTGACAATGAAATAATTTTAGAAACCTGTTGTAGCTGCGAATGGCTGCGTTGTCGACGATTTGTTGTAAAATAAGGAATTGTGGCCATTTTGTGTTTTAATATTAAATCAAATAATCACTAAAAAATTAAATAAAAGAGATTTCATCATTTTTAGACTAAAAATAGCCCTAGGAATTAAAAAAAGAAAAACAAAAACAGTTGTGAATAGAAATATAAGTTAGGGATCAAGAGTCCCAATAAAAGAAAAACTTCTCTAAACAAAGGCAATATTTTTATTTAAGAAAAATACACTAAAAATAGCAAGAAAGAGAATGTTAAATATTTTTAGATATGCATCGGTTTTTGTGTTAAATATATAAATTAAATAGGCAAGTTTTTATTTAATTTAATAAAAGGATTGGGCCAAGTTTAAGAAAATATTTTTCTCTCAAAACTTTTAAATTTTTCGCCCAATCCTTTTTTCCAAAAAATTATTTTTATTTGTAGTAATTTCCTTCTTAAGTCTTCTTTTACTCTTATTGCCTTTTATTTATCTTCTAATTATTTTGTCTACTTCCTTCTCCTGTTTGAATTCCATTATTGAGCCGGCGTATATCTTGAAGAACATCTAAAAAAATAAATATAGCTACATTATCTACAAATAATCGTTACCTTCAGGAATGGTTAATGTCTTTGTTGGCGCTTCAAGTGTCACTCGCATATCAATTGCCAAATTTAATTGTTCCTAAAATTTTTGAAAAAACATAAAATATTGTGGACACTTGGGGAGGAAAAAGGGAGCAACTAATGACAATTTTACCAAGTTCGTAAGGTTTACTTATTTTTAAAAAGTAAATATACCTTATAATGATGCAGAATATCTTGATCAGCCGGACAGGATTCAATAAAAGCAGCTGTTCGATATGCAGTTAATATATATGCCCATAAATGTGTGAATTGACGTGGAATGTAAAAGTTCAGAAGGCGTTCTCCAATGATACGAATATGATGCAAACGTGGCATAATCTCACAGTCATATTCAGTCATTGATTCACTTAGAAGATAACGAGAAGAACGATCAGCCAGTAACTAAAAATGATTTTTTTAATAAAAATTTAACGGAAAACCTGGTCAATATTGGCCAATTGCTCCAACAATTTATTATGTGAAGATGTCACCTGCGGAGGAAGACCTTCTTCTATTGCACTAGGATGTCTTTTACCTTTATCATGAGTTGCCTTTGCTTGCAGAAAGATTTTGAAATTCTAAAAAAATTTCAATGAAAGCAAGTTATTCAATAAAAACAAACCCGATAAAGATTCTGGATAGTTTTCTCAACTTGTAAATCCTTCTCAAAAAGCGGAACATTAAAACCTTGACAGAGATGGAAGATTCGACGTTCAATTTCACTGTTATCAGCATAAGTTGTCCCTCTAAATATTTTAAATTTAAAAATCTATGAAATTCAAACTTTTCTTCTTCCACCATAATAGGAGGTTGAGCTCCAGAAAAGTTGCGTTTGAATCCTTCTGAATTGACATTTACAGTCTTTACCTTTAAATTACTTAATAAAATAAATTTAAAGCTTTAAGAAACCTCCACACGAACACATCCAACCTCATAGAGAGCATACAATTCCATCCAAAATTCTTGGCAAAAGAGACACGCGCCAATTCTACGGCTATCAATACCTGATGCCTAAAATATTCACTTTATAGTTATTTTTTAAAATTTTACTTGCCTTAACATACAGCTCCAACATAGGTTTTGTACTTGCGCTGTTACTTCCGTCGCTCATTTTTTTATACTTGGTAGTAAATTCTTTTAAAAATTTTGATTATAAATCTATAAAATTGTTAAAATCATAAATAGAGGTTTAATAAAAGCAACAAAAAGGAAAGGAAAATGAGCCAAAAAGGAAAAAAACGTGATACAAAAAAGTGAACACATAACAGGTAAAAGCACATAAAAAAGATAAAAATTTGTTTAAAGTATTGGAAACGATTAGATTGTAAAGATGATTATAAAAAAAAATTGGGCCAAACAAACAAAGCCGTAAACAAAAAGTTAACAAGCCTTCTAACAATAAAAACGCGGCCATAAAAAGAGTGAGACAGTACAATAAAAAGTTTTCCTGTACTCTTTTTTGTATAAATCTTTTCCTTATTTATCTTGCATACTATAGCGCGTCTTCTTCTTAGGGCGTTAAAACGGCTTGTTTAATGCTAAGCGTTCAAACGGCTTTTTTACATTTTGAAAAAATCGATAGCGAAATAGTAGAGGAAAAGAAAAAGAGAAAAAGTCAAGGTTTTGGCTACCCTACAACTCATCGAATCCTTAACTCATCGAATCCTCAACTCATCGAATCGGCCAAAAACACTCAACTCATCGAATCCTTAACTCATCGAATCCTCAACTCATCGAATCGGCCAAAAACGATCAACTCATCGAATCCTCCCAAAAGGGGACGTTTGAGTCCGTGTGTTTATTTTTTTTAGATTTCTATTGTTTTGTTTATTTTTTTTGTTTTCTTCTGGGGTTTCAACTAATTTTGTTAATTAGTTGATCGGGCACTCATCCATGTCTATCCGGCCAGTGAAAACATTATCAGATAATGAGAATGTTTTCTCACATTCCTGGTAAATTATGATGGAGATTTTACCGGGTAAAACCGGACCAGATTAGTCCAGTAGACCCCGATTATGCCCAAAAGGCCTTTTTCCTAGCCTCCATAGCAGCAAAAAATTTTTTTACCGAAGATTCAGTTAGCCCTTTCGGGAGAAAAATAAACACGGGGACTCAAACGTCCCCTTTTGGAAGGATTCGATGAGTTGATCGTTTTTGGCCGATTCGATGAGTTGAGGATTCGATGAGTTAAGGATTCGATGAGTTGAGTGTTTTTGGCCGATTCGATGAGTTAAGGAATTTTAGCCGATTCGATGAGTTGAGCGTTTTTGGCCGATTCGATGAGTTAAGGATTCGATGAGTTGAGCGGGCACGAAGGTTTTTCTGGCGGCCATTTTTCGGTTTAGCTTTGTCCGTGTCCCCTCTAAAGATCGATTGGTTAAAAAGATTGATTCGGCCAAGAGGGGGGAGGTTATTTGAGGGAGAGGTTATTCCTTTTTTGGGAATTAACCTTTTTAGGGGGGAGGGTAGTATTGTGTTGCGGACAAGACTTGCTTTCTTTCAATTTTTGAAAAATGAATCCAATTTTTTCAGTACTTCAGCAGCAGCAACAACAACAAAACTTCAGCAGCAGCAACAACAACAAAACTTCAGCAGCAGCAACAACAACAAAACTTCAGCAGCAACAACAACAAAACTTCAGCAGCAGCAACAACAACAAAAGCCCCATATTTGGGCACAAGCCCCATGTTAGCTTCGGCGAAATATGGGCACAAGCCCCATGTTAGCTTCGGCGAAATATGGGCACAAGCCCCATGTTAGCTTCGGCGAAATATGGGCGATGGCTTCACTACAACAGTGCAACGATTAAACTCCAATGCTCTCGTCTACATGGTTAGCTTTTTACTTTATTAAATTCGCAAGTTTTGTCCGCAAGGTTTCTCCCCTAAATAAGTTTATCCTTAATGTTAATGTAAAGCCAATTAATCGGTGGCCAAGTTCTTGTCAAATGAGAAGACGTACAGCAGATGTTCCATTGGTTAGATGCAATGATTTGTTTGGTTTGAATGGTTGATCTTTTGATAGGTTGTTTTTATTTTTAAGAGTTTTTCAATAACTTAATTTTCAGCTTTGAGAGAGTGTCCAGAAGCTGTACAAATTTTAAAGAGGTTGTTTTTAATTATTTACTAGGATTCAAGATTATTTTTTAGGCCGGTTAATTGTTGCGGGAAGATGATGAGTCCAATGCTCTCGTCTACATGTTTAGCCTTGCGCCTTTTCGGTCGCGCCTTTTTGGCCTGCGCCTCTACGGACATTCCCAAGACTTTCGCTCTCTTTTTATGCTGCGTTTTTATTTTTATTATTTCTGTTGATACTTTTTTTTGTTTGATCCAACATTATATCTTTTAAATATAATCGTTTCTAATATTTAAAGAACTTTTAGGTTTTTATTTTTTACATAATTTATTTGAAAACAAAAATGGATCCAGCACTTTTAAAAGCTCGACAAGATTTTATGAGACATGCAATTAGTTCAATGGATACATTACAACAAATTAAGAAAGATGGAAGTGGAGGAGGAGCAACATCTTCGTCTTCAACATCCCAACAAAAAAGTAAAAGAAAAAGAGTGGTTGCTTCGAAAGATTCAAAAACCGCTGCATCTTCGTCTACTGGGGCTAATAATAATAATGCTATACAAAATGCAGCAAATTTTAGGTTTGAATTTTATTTTTTGGGTTATTTTCTTTTTATTCTTGTCCTGTTTATGATAGGTTTATGCGTCCCTTACATCCGGCGATGATAGGTTTTAAACAAAAACTAGTTCAGAGACCCAAGAATATCCTATTTACAACTCCACATAGGACACAGAAATCTCTACCGGAGTAGGTCGTAATACTAAACGCTGAAATACAAAACACCCCAAAGCTGTCAAAATACCAAGCTTTGGAAAACATGACTATGTTCCGATTACCTGGAAGGGTTTGTTAACAATCCACATTTTTCTATATTTCGTCGTATCTCTTTGGTGGTTTGGTATTTCGGCGTTGTATTATAGCATTACATCATCTCCATGGGGTATATAAACTGGACAATAACCTTTTTTCCTCACAGTATGATGGCAAAAATAGTGGATTATATGCGTAAACGACATTTAAATGTGCAACATTGGGGATTGACTTTAAATGAAATACTTGATGAAATGCAGGTTTATTTCACAAATATATTTTTATAAGTTTATTTTAAAGGTCTACGATTTAAATAAGAAAACAATTCTTTGGTTACAAGAAGCGCTCAAACAAAATCCTCGATTGGACTCTGATAATGAAAACAAATTAATTTATAAACCGCCACATAAAGTTAAAAATAAGGTTTTCATTTAAATATTTTTATTTCAAAATTTTTCAAATTTAAAGGCAACCTTGTTTGCTCTTTTAAAGAAGCAACATTCTGATGGAAAGGGAGGGATATTACTTTCAGAATTGGGTGATTGTGTAGCAAATCCTGAAGCTTTAGTTAAAGCACTTGGACCACAATGTATTGCATTACCTACACAGGTTTGTAAAAATATTAAGAATTGTGGGTAATAGTGAGGGACTGTACCCTCTTCCGCCCCACTTATCCCATAACCTTATTTTACTTAGCCATTTTTCATTTCTCAGGTTTTTAGAAGGAAAATAGTATCGACGATGTCTAGTTTTTTCGAGTTTGTTAAATCTACTTAACTTGGAGTTAGCATCTATTCTCTGTTAAGTAACTCAGAATTAGAATTATTTCTTAAAACGTGCAATGAAGAAGGGAGCATTTGACTATTTATGCACGTCTATGAGTTTTCACTGACAACTAAGGGCTTCCCATAAGCTTAGGCCAAAATGTTTTGGAACATTCATTACAAATTCGCGACAATTACGGGCGTATTCCTGTAGCAATACCATTTTATATGTGATTTTCAATTTTTCAGATAAACAAAAGAAAGGACACAGTTCTCTTCTTAAATGACGAAGATACAGATTACCAACTTGATGATGAATTTGTTCAACTTTGGCGTTCAGCAGGTGTCGAACATTTAGATGAAACAAAAATTGAAGAATATTTGCAAAAACATGGACTTGAAACTGCGAGGGATTTGGCACCAAGAAGAAATATTGGGGAAGGAACAGCACCAAAAAGAAAACAACCAAAGAAAGCAACACAGAAAGTTCATAATGTACATTTAGAACATGTTTTGGAAGATTATGAAGCAGATTAATTTATAAAAATAATAAAATTTTAATGCTGATTAAAAAAACTTGATTAAAATGTTTTAATTGTCGTGTTTTTTTAACAAAACTTAAGAAAATGGAGTTGAATGAGTGATTGTTCGTGGGCTTTCATCATGCGATTCAAATTCAGCATTTTAGGTTTAAAAATTGCCCAATTTTGGCGTAATGTAAAATTTGCCCAATAAATGACATTTAATCCACTAAAATTTAAGGAACATTAGAGTATCAGACACAAGAGTCTTGTTTGGTTGTCAGTCGAGAAAACTTTTTTTAAAAATCGATAAAAAATCAATAAATCGATATCAATCGATAAAATCAATATTTCTAAATTTGTAAAATTTTCATTTTTCAAAAAATCGATAAAAAATCAATAAATAGATATCAATCGATAAGATCAATATTTCCAAATTTGTAAAATTTTCATTTGTCAAAAAATCGATAAAAAATCAATAAATCGATATCAATCGATATTCCAAAATTTGTACTTTTCAAAAAATCGATAAAAAATCAATAAATCGATATCAATCAATAACATTTTATTTCGAAATAAAATTATATAAATAAAAAAACTATTTATTAAAATCTTTTTCAAAAATTCCTTCAATTAACCTAATCATCTTTTTTGTCAATATTTTGCGTTTTGTCTGCTGATTGTTTTAAAATTACTGGATCCCTTCTCCAAGCATTTAACAAATTAAAAGTGAAGTACATTGAAAATCCTTGAATCTAAAAATAAAATTTTAAAAGATTTTTTAAAGAATCTTTTACCTGAAAGACTGCAAGAAAGAATAAATACCAAAGAATAACCTTTTAAAATTTAATTTTAAAAAATAAAATTATTATTAAATACCATTGGAAAACTTCCACTAAATGTTGGCACTTTACTTTGCTCTCCAAAACGAATATAGTCTATTAATTCAGGAAATTGGCTGCCCAAGCCCTAAAAACGAAAAAAATAATTATAAAATTAAACCTTAAATTAGAGAGCCAACCCTGAAGACCAAAAAAGAAGTTTACTATTGCTCAAAAAAAGATTTGTTTAAAGATGATATTGAAGGGAATACAGAACCTATCTCCAGAGTTGGGAGAGACTAGCCCCCTTAATCCCTTGATATTCCCTTTCAAAAATCTAAGTCTTTAGAATCAATAGTCATTTAGGAATAGGTTGGTCTTCAGGATTAAACTCTTAAATTAAAATTTTTTTTTACTATTGCGCAAGGTGTTATTCCAAACAAAAATTGGGAATAATAACTAAGTTTGAGCAAAAGAAGCTTAAAAATAAAATTAAAAAAAAAGTTAAAAAACATCAAACCCTATTTTTCTGAAATGAAGGAATTGCCAAAATAATTGGAATAAAAGATAAGCACCAAATATATTCCTTAAAAAAATAATTTAAAATTAAAAAAAATTTAAAATAAACCCAAGGATATGCATTTGGAAGATCCAATCTTCTCCAAAGTTTTGGCTGTTTCATTAATTTAAATTGATCAAAAACTAATTCACCACCAACTTTTGCCCATAATGGTAGAAGAATTAAAAAGTGAAGAGCAAAAAGCAATTTCAAATAAAATTTGTATTGAACACTATTTTAAAAGCAAAATTTAAATATTGCAGGGGTTAAGGGCGTGATCCATGAAAAACTAGAAAAAGCCCGTAAAATGCTTATAAGCCGAGGGAAGATAGTGGAAAGCAGCTTAATTAATTTCTAACAATGGCCTAAGGTGTTCAGTTGGATAAAACTCGTCCATGTGGTTAACCAAAATCAATCACCTAGAATCTCCATCCAAATATGACATCAAACATCACCCTCCCCCTTAAAAAACAATAAGCCCCTCCAATCTAAAAATATTAAAACCTTAATTTAATTGAAGCTGCAACCCGTTGACGATGTTTAAAATCTGTTCCATCTGTACCAACAGCACGAGCACCTGTTGAAGACATTTAAAATAAAATAACTAAAATAATTATTTAAAAATGGATATTAAATTTAAAAAAACGTATAAAATAATTAAAGAATAAAAGCATTAAATTGAAAATAAAAATTTTTTAAATTAAAATTATATTTATTAAAAAACAAAAACCAAGAAGTTCTTTGTTTATATCCCCTCCATATTTGAGTCTCAGATTTTATGGGGTGTATACCCTGAAATTTTACAAGGCCGGGGACGTTCCTCGCGCGGAGTTTGTTCGGGAAGAATTGCGAAAAATCGTTCGGGAACGGCATCGGCGTTACTAGTACAACAAAAGTTTGAAAAGAAAACTGTTAAGGTGCCAAACAGTGAGAAACTCTCTGCAGAGTCACCCTACATTAAGAAACTCTGCGGAGCCAACTCTACATTGAGAAACACCTGCAGAGCCAACTCCACATTGAGAAAACTCTGCGGAGCCAACTCTACATTGAGAAACTCCTGCAGAGCCAACTCCACATTAAGAAAACTGCGGAGCCAACTCTACATTGAGAAAACTGCGGAGCCAACTCCACATTGAGAAAACTCTGCGGAGCCAACTCTACATTGAGAAACTCCTGCAGAGCCAACTCCACATTAAGAAAACTGCGGAGCCAACTCTACATTGAGAAAACTGCGGAGCCAACTCCACATTGAGAAAACTCTGCGGAGCCAACTCTACATTGAGAAACACCTGCAGAGCCAACTCCACATTGAGAAAACTCTGCGGAGCCAACTCTACATTGAGAAACTCCTGCAGAGCCAACTCCACATTGAGAAAACTCTGCGGAGCCAACTCTACATTGAGAAACTCCTGCAGAGCCAACTCCACATTGAGAAAACTCTGCGGAGCCAACTCTACATTGAGAAACTCCTGCAGAGCCAACTCCACATTGAGAAAACTCTGCGGAGCCAACTCTACATTGGAAACTCCTGCAGAGCCAACTCCACATTGAGAAAAGTCTGCGGAGAAACTCCTGCAGAGCCATCTCCGCATTGAGAAAACTCTGCGGAGCCAACTCTGAAACTCCTGCAGTTTCTCACTGTATGGCCCCTTAACATTTTGTTTAGGAAAATATATGCTTGCCAAAAAAGGAGAATTAATCATAGACTCGAATAGGGGAAGGGATAATATGAACAAAGGACCAAAAATATAATAAAAACAAATTTATTTAAACCTCATTACTTACCTCCACATCATTTATTAAATCTTTTTCTTTATTTAATTTGGCTGCTGCTTTTTCCTAAAAAAATTTTTTTTGAAGGAAAATTTTAAAATTTAAATTAATAAACCTGTCGACATGTGACATTTTTCCTTTTTAATTTAATAATATCTTCACCCAATATGCACAATAAATGAAAACGTTCTTCACGTGAAACAAAAGCACTTATTGAATTAGCACCGATCCAAGCACAAACTTCTTTTGGAAAAGGTTCAAGAAGACGGAGAATTATTGTGCCTGGTTCTAGACCTAAAAATTAGAGAATAAACATCAGTGCTGGATATAGCCTGGGCCTTTTTTAAGATGGAGCCGGTCCAAGATTTGAAGTCAGAGCCGGAGCCACAAAACGTCCAATACCCAGCACTGATAAAAAGAAACTTTAGAAAAGCGAAGGAATTTCTAAAAACTTAGTCCACCCCAGAAAAGGTCTACCACAGAAAGGTCTACCACAAAAAGTCAACTCCTTATTGATCAAATGAACCTAAAAGTCAACCCCGAATATATTAGGGGACATTTTGGAATGATCTCTAAAAAATAAATATTAAAAAGTAAAATTTAAAAAACCTTTAAATAAAAAATGTTCCTCTTCTCCAAGTTCAATTAAAGGTAAATATTGTGATGTTTCTTTTTCTTTTAAATTAGTTTGACCACCATGCAAAATCCGAATGAAAAGTGAGGTAGGTATATCAATAATTCGTTTAGTAATCCAAGGTATAAGAATAGGCAATCCCTAAAAATCAAAGAAATATTTATTTTCAATTCTTAAATAATTACAAGTACACCCCAACGTACCGCCGAGTCCAGTATCGCCGAGCTACAAATTCATTCAAAATTATCGAATCCGTGACGCCCGTGCACGGTTCGATTCTCTCGGATTCAATAATCTTGAACGGTTATAGCTAAGCGGTACATTAGACTAGCGGCTTGCTCCCATAATAACTTACATCCTGTTTAATTCTGTAAGGACAAGGCGATACTTTATCATTGATAATTTTCTTTAAAATTCCCATTCCAGCATTTACAATTTTGAAACGTCCATCATTATTTATTAAAAATTCTTTTAGAGAATCATTCACATAATAAACTTCTTTTTTCCTTTCAGTATTTGTTGAACGTACAAGTAAATTTTGATGAGAAAAATTTTCTGGTAAAATGCCAAAATATTCCTTCAATGCCTCTCTCAATTCATTTTCATCACTATGGTTGGCAAGAAAAATAAATGGATCTTCTTTATGAACAAAACCTCTTCTTTTTCTTGTAACTGTTGATTTTCTAAAAATTTTAAGTTAGGTATATTCTTGATAAAAGGCCCACCCCAGACTCGCAGGAGGTTAACATCCTAGTCATCTCCTAGTGATCAACTGACCCTGGAGATCAACTCAAATACTAGGACGGATATAGAGGCTCAATACTACCTTTAGGGTGTTGACCTCTTGAGGTCGATCTTTTGATAAATAAACACCAAAGAGATCTCTTAGGAATATATAATTGTTAAATATTCTATTTATAACCTTATAAGCGTTGTTGGCTGGTTAAGTTTCAATAGTTGTTGCTGCTGTTCATCTGTGCAATTATTGTCTACATTTAATTTATCCATCTCTTTCCGTCTTAAAATAGCAACAAAAAATCCTCCAGTATCTTGTTGATGTGGTAAAATTCTAAAACAATAATCCAAATGCATTGCTTCAATTTCTTCACTTTTAGGAGGAAACATTGAAGGCTTAAAATGACGTAAAGCTTCTTTCGGTACGTCTTCTATGGAAGAATATTCTTCCAAATTTTTGTTAAAAACCTTAGAAAAAAATTTAGAAATTAAACTGACAAACATAAAAAACCTTCCAATGACTAATTCCTTTTGTTCTTTTTAAATCCAAAATTTTTCCAGAAATATCTACCAATTCAATTTCCTTATTAAAATGTCTTAATAATTGAGCAATTACAGCTTCATCCTCCAAAGGATTTAAAGAACAAGTTGAATAACACATTAAACCTCCAGGTTTAAGAAGTTCAAAACAACGACGAGCAATTTGTAATTGTAATTTGTGAAGATGAATTCCTTAAAATTTAAAAATATTTTTTTAAATAAATAAAAACCTTTCATTGGTTCCCAATTATTCCACAATTCAGGATTTTTTCGAAAAGTCCCATCACCACTAAAATATTCGTTTTAAATTTCAAATTAATTGCAAATAAAAAAAACCTGCAAATAACATCGCATAAAATTCTATCAAAAAGTAATGGTTGCTTGTTAGAATCTAGCATAACTGGGAATTGGCCAGAATCATGACTAACAACAACAACATCTTAATTATTTTAGTATTCTATTTAATAAAATAATTTTAGAATTCCACTCACCAGCTGTTGGCATTCTTTTTAATGTTTGATGGACAAGTAAATAACATCTTAAATGGATACACTATTAAAAAAAATTAAAAAAATACCCAACCTTTTATAATCAATATCATTTGCAACAACCATTCCACCTTTAAATTTTTAAATAAATTATAAAAAATAAAATGAGAAAATACTTGGATTTGGTGACGAAACATGCATTAATTCAATTATTTGTGCTGTTTTACTTCCTGGAGCAGCACATGCATCTAATACCAAATGATGTGGTTTAATATCAAGAAAAAGAGGTGGAATCATACTACACACTTCTTGACGGCTTATATAGCCCTAATTAAAATTAGAAAATTTAAAATATTTATGAGTTAAAAAACAAACCAATTCAGTTTCATTAATAAGAAATTCATGCAAATCTTTTAAAATTGGGTGCCCTCGAATTGATGCTCTAGACATTTTCGTTTGATAAGCATATGGCACAAAAGGGACTCTTTTTGGAGGATCAATTTCAGGCGAATCCTTTGCTATATTTTCAATTTCTTTAACAAATTTTGATTGAATATATTCATCTAAATGGTCCCTTTCTCTAAATTATTTACTTAATTAGAATATAATTTAAAATTTTTTTAAATTTACCGAAGCGAGCATTGAATTCGGAAAGATACAGGCAATTCTCTCCTTAAACATGTCATCGTTTTCGGTTAAGTGTAAACTAACAAACCTTAAGGCAGCTACAAAATCGTCCCATTCTGATTCTGGAATAATCTGTTGTTGACGGTAAAATGAAAAAAGCTTTACATTCACTGGGATAATCTCTCGAATAACATAGTTTTGACGAACTCCTTGCCCCTTCTAAATTAAAAAAATGATAAACAAAATTAAAAATTTTAATGAACCTTCTCTCGGCCAGTAGATTTATTAGGAAATTTCTTTGCAGGGGATAAACCATTTTCCTCGTCATCCAGTGGAAGACAATCAACATCATTATTGTTCTCCATATTTATTATAATAAATTTTGTAATTATTCTAATACATAATTTATAAAAATTATAAAGTAAATGTAGTAAAAAACAAATAAAAAAAGAAAATTTAGTCAACACAAAATATTTATCCAATCCATAAGGAGAGAAAGTAAAGCTGTGATTAAAGATTTTACAAAAAAACTGCCCGATTTGGTTAACAGATTTTGGTTTATAGAACCGTTTTTAATTAGTAAAATATATCACAGCTTTTAATAATCTAATAAAATCCACACACAAATATTTAAGGAAATAAGGGATAATTATAAATTTGAAGACTTATTTTTTCACTGTTAAAATCCACCCAAAAATTCTATTTCTTCTAAACAATAATCAAAACATTAACCATCCATTAGTTTCATTTTTTGTTATTGGAGCTTAAATCCAAAATCCTTTAACAAAAATTTTTTTATAATTTTTAAAAATTGTAAAAACCTTTTGCACTCATTAATCAGCACTGATTTTTAATTTGTCCAAAGTCTTTCAATGCTTTCTGGCTGCTTCAGACTGCTGAGAAAGCATTAAATTTTGCAATTGTTGTTCAACCAAATCTCTTTGTTGACTAAATTGCATTGAAGGAAGAGCCGGATGTTGAAATGGAAATTGTTGTGATTGTGAAGCTCCTCCTAGTTGAGAGCCATCTTTTAAAAATATTTGAAAAAAATAATATTAAAAAAACTAAAACCGTAATCACTGTAAATTCCTCCTTGTGAAAGTTGAGAATTCTGGCTAATAAATCCTACTCCTGGAAGAAATTGTTCTTGTGAAGCTTGCGAGTTGAAATTATTTATAATATTGGTACTACTGGTACTATTTGAACTTCGTTGAGAATTAGATCTTTTAGACATTTTCTTTCTCGTTGTTCCTCCTATTCCATTATTTACTCCAGATAAATGAATTGAATTTAATGGAATTGGGTGTGGAGGTGGCATTGGAGGCATTTGTGGAGGCGCAGGTACAAAAGAAGAGAACATATGGATAGGAACAGGTAATTGAGAGCTTAAAAATGATTTTTTATAAATTTAAAATAATTTAAGTTACCCTAATGCTCGAGCTCCCATAGGAAAATTTGGATAAATCATTCCTTGTGGATCTTGAAATTGTTGTAATGGATGCTGTTGAACAACAGGAACAGAACGAATAGAAGCATATGGACCAATACCAAGTTCTTTCATTGTAAAACCAAGAGTTCGATTCACATAACGGGATCCCTTAAATATTATAAAATTTATTATAAATTATGCTCAAAAATCTTAACACTCACAGGCATATGTTGTGCCGTCAAAGGTTTCGGTTTAGGAAAAGTTATTGGAGATGGCTTCAAATTATTTAAAGGTCCTTCAAAAAGGCAATCATTCTCTTTAAATGTCACTAACAAATGATGCCATAATGATTGTCTACTCAAAACTTTTGCATTTCCAATTATAATTAAACCATATTTTGCACGTGTTAAAGCAACATTTAAACGTCGTGGATCGTTAAGAAAACCAATACCACCAGCCTCATTTGATCGAACACAAGTAACGATTATTATATCCTTTTCTCGACCCTGAAAAATAGAAAAGAATTAGTTTCTAGAAAATTATCAGTAATGAATAACCTGAAAAGCGTCAACATTCTCGACTTCAATATCCAAATACAATTTGCTATGAAGAGATCCTTGAGTTTGCATAAATTGGACAACATATGCTCGTTGACCTATTAAAAGTAAGCACAAAATTTCTATTAAAATAAAAATTAGAGAAAATAAAACCTTCATATGGAGTAATAATTCCAATTTGTTCGGGAGAAAATCCAGCCTGTAGCAATCGAGTAACAAATTTTTCAACATTCACAGCTTCAGATCTATTCAAATACGAAGTTCCTGAAGAGCCAAGTTCCTTTAAATTAAAATGTCTTCCATTTTTTAAAATTTAAGATTTTTACTTCCTGTCCGTTGCAATTCCAAAACATCATTGGTTTATCAGGATTAGGGAATTGCCAAGAAAAAGTGTCAAGTTTTCGTTCCACTAGAATATATTTATAAAAAAATTTTATATTTTTAAATTAACAAACTTTCGGCAACTCCATTTTGCAAAGAACCTTCATAAAATACATTGCTAGGAAAGGATGACAAAACAGGATGCATTCTATATTGAACTTGTAATCGTAAAGGCCGATTTCCAAGGATCACAAGACGTTCAAAAAGAGATTGTCCAAGACCAGAATTTGCCGATTTTTTGCACATAATTACTGGGCCTATATAACTTTTAAAATGAAACACAAAATTTTAAAATTTAAACAACCAAGCTGACAATGGTCACCAACTAATACAAGCTGACGAGCACCTTTCACAACAGAAACCATTACTTCAGGTTCAGTAGCTTGTGTGCTTTCATCAATTAGAACACAACTGAATTCAATTAAATAAATTATTTAAATGATAAAAAAATATTACCGAAATTCTTTTTTAGCTAAACGAATATCTGCAGAAGTAATACAGGTAGAACAAATTACATCTGCTTTCGATAATAATTCATTCTCTCTTTGACGTCTAAGCGACATGAAACGATTTTGATCAGCTTGTGAGAGTTCTCCAATTTCTTCCTTTAAATTGATGATATTTTAAACAAAAAAATCAAAAATTACCTTTAATTTCATTAATTTAAAGAGTTCTCCTGATTGAAGCGCTTTAAGTTGATTATGTAATGCCAAAAAAGCAACAGAACTATCTACAGTTTCACGTCCTTTTGCACAAAAACGGATAACCTTCAATCCAGTTTTATGAATTTTTTCTGCTAATTGATCTACAGCAATATTTGAAGGTGCACAGACAAGAACTTGACCGCTTGTTTGTTTTACAAGATGATAAACAAGAGTGGCCGATGTGACCGTTTTACCTGTACCTGGAGGACCCTGAAAAATTATCAAATCGAAATGCTTGACTCAACTTATAAACCTGAATTAATGAAAGTGGACGTTGTAAAGCAGCTTTAATTGCAGAAATTTGACTGTGGTTTAATTCAGGAAGTCCAGGAGCCGAAAATTTCTTTGGCATAACCAGCTTAAAGAAATAAACAATAAAAAATCAAACTACAATATTAAACCTTAAACAGAATATCATCAACATCATGCCCCATTAATTTGTGATAAATATATTGTGAAACACAATTCTCTTTAGATTCCAATCGTCCAAGAGCAGCAAACATTCTTAAACATTTAAGAAAATTAAAATTTTATTCAAAAAATTTTTCAGACCTATCAAAAGATGTAGAATTCCAAACATATTCACATATAAAATTTGTACGTCTATCAGTAGGAATTTTATTGCTACTTGCAAACATTTCCAAAGAAAAGTCTTCGTTATGATCTGTAATAAATGTGATTGTTGTGCGAACAAAAATGACACATAATCGGGTTAGAAAGGTGTCACAGTCGGTTGTGCTATGGAATGCGTCCTCTCTACAATGTTTCTATTCAGTCTCCAAGTCAGTTAATTTTTCATACCAAAGAGAAATTGAATAAAAATAGACTTACTGTCAGGAATTTTAATAAGACGTCCCATACAATTCCACTCACTTCCTTAAAAATAAAAATTATATAAAGTCTATGAAACAATTATTTACCATCTAATGTTTGGTAATGTTTTAAACGCAGATCATCTCCAATCATTAATTTCATATCTGGAAATATATGGAAAAATTGATTATAAAATAAATCACAAACTTCCATCACGAAATCCAGGCAATTGAAAAGTTGCATGTACTTTGGTTGCTGATTTAACTTCCCATTTAACTTGACCAACAGGACAACTAATCGATTCTTTAATTTTCTTGTCATATTCCGCTTCCATTGATATTAGTGGATTGAAGATACGCCTTATTAAATTAATATTAAAATCTCAAGGGTAGATAATAAAAAGAAATTAGCGAAAAAAAACCAACTTATACACCGAAGCATCATCATATCGCAGCAAAACATGTTCGGCCTCGCTAGTATATTTTCCTGGACGTTCCAAATCATCAACAGTAGCTTCAGGATTATCTTTCCATAATTCTTCAAGACGATTAATGAGTGCGGCAGTTATTTGACGAGCTCGAAGTTGTTCCTGTTGTGAAGGAATTTTAATGAGCCAGGAAAGAACTTGACGTTCCTATAAAAAATAAATAGTAAAAAAATTAATTTTCATTGAAAAAACATGAATTAAAGGCTTCCAATCTTCAGCACTCCAATTTGCATTTTTAAGAGTATTTTGTTGAGCACATGGCTGACGGCAAAGTATTACAACCACTGAATCTGTCTTTGAAGGAATAAAACCAAGAAGAAAAACATTTCTAAATTTGTAGTTAAAATTGTAAAAAAATAAACAAACACCTTGAACCACAATGATAACATTCTAGCTGAAATATTATTTTTAAATTTAAGACTAAATGCCGAAGTTCAAACCTGAGTTTCACCAAGAGGACCGTCCTTGTGAAGAGAAACCTCTTTATGTTGTGCACGAACCAAATGGTTTATAATATGACTACCAGCTGTGTTACCTTTACCATTACAAAACCATTTGCCACAGACAGTACATTGTCCAACAGAAGATGGGTCTGATAACCCGCAATATCTTCAAAATAACAATGATTGTTGTAATGATAAATAAAAACAAACTTGCAAGCATGCGGAGGAATATAATCACCAAATTCATCGTCATCTTGAAAGTTTAAATCAGGTTCAGTCTGCGATTCCGATAAAACTGTTGTTGATGGAACTCCTCTAGACACTCCATCATCTTGCGATGCAACAGATAACTGTGTTGCAAAATCATTTTGCGAAGCATCCTGTTGAGTCACAACACCAGCCTTAAAACACAAACCATTTAAATGAAAAGAAATGATTTAAAAACCTGGAATTCCTCGTCTGTATCCACAAAAGACAATTGGCAATTTTGAGAAGAACCATATGCAGCGAGCAATGAATCAACCATTTTAAAAATTTTCTAAAAAATCTAAAAAATATTAAAAACATAAACAAAAAGTATTTTAAAATGTAAAAACATTCAAGTCATTAATTATAAATTATATGTTCTTTTAATTTCTAGAGAATATAATGTATAAAAAATAAGAGTGCATATACATGTCAGAAAAATGTATGAGTGATCGACAATTTTAAAGAAAGAAAAATAATATACTACACATATTTAATATATAAAAACGATTAAATGCGGCCACCAATTAATACATTTTTCATTTAAATAATATTTAATTAAATATTTAATCTTAATCAAATAGAATTTTAACATTGAATAAAACATGTAGTATATTAAAGACCAGAACCTTCGCATAATACTTTAAGATTTGATCTGGCCAAGTCTTGTCCTCTAGATGAAGAAAGATATCTCCTAAAAAAAAAAATTGTAAAATGAAATAAGTAAACAGTCTAATTTAATAAAATTCATTCTAACCCAACAAGTCATCCTAATCCAAAAAACATCATTAAAAATGAACCTTCTACTATCAATAAGCATTTTTGTCATTTGACCATTAAGCCATTCATTTTTTGTTTTAATAAATCCTTGTGGTCGAATCATATGCGTCGGTTGTAGAGAAGATTGTAAGTGTGACGATGATTGAGGAATTTCTTGATTAATATTTTGTTGTTCTTCATCATCCGTCATTTGCTTTAAATTATTTAAAAAATAAATTTAAAAACGAAAAATATATACTTGTCCATCCTCTTGATCTTCGGAAGTATTAGTAATAAAACTTCCATCATCATCATCATCAGAACCACTAGCAGCTTCTTCAGCAAATTGAATACCAGCATTTTGTTGAGCATCTTGATTTATTTCTACATTATTAATAGGTCCAGCAGGGTTATTCTGTTGTAATAAAGTATCAACAGAACCACTGACAGAACCAGTAGTATTTACAATTTGGCGAATTTGATCAACAGGGATTTGAGGAAACATTTCCGCAACTTGATTAACCATTGAATTTACCTACAAAAAATATGCTGTAAATATCCTAATAGAAGCCCTCCCAAAGTTATATTTAAAAATTGTTTTTAACCTGTTCCTCACTTATAGAATCATAAACAAATCGAGATATCCATCTAATGATACGATTATTGTGAGGTGAGAATATTTCTACAATCATTTGCATTGCCTGCCCGACATCATCACCAGCAATAATAGGATTAATATTATTTTGTTGTTGGTGGTGTTGACGCAAATTATTCAAATTAAATGACAAAGACTTTCGACAAACAGCACAACTAGAATCTTGTTCAAGCCAACGACGCAAACAATGCTCATGGAAACTAAAATTATTATTTTTTTAATTAAAAAAATATGTTACATATGAGAACAAGGAAGTTTTCGAGCACTTTTCATATGTTGCCAACAGATAAGACATTGAGAATTCTTCAACAAATCTTCTTCATTGGCTGGTAGATAACTAAAAAATTCCATTTTTAAAATTAAAATACGAATAACCTATTGCTAATATGTAAAAGTATTTCCCTCTGCTGCCAATGTTTTCTAATTTTTGAAGAAATACGTCCATAATAATATTGTGCTTGAATAATAAGAAAAACACAACAATATGTAATAGCCAAATGAGAATAAAAAATCATATGTAGATAATTTGCAAATTCCAAACAATCTCGAAACAATCCATAAATAAAATCAATATAATAGGTGCTTCCCTGTTGTTGTTGAATTAAATTTTGTGTATTTAAATCTTGGAGAATAAATAATTTAAAGAATAAATGAATTGATTGAATAAGAAGGATTAAACACTGGATAAAATAAGAATATGTTTAATAGTTTAATAATTATTAAAACTTAGCCGTTATACCAACAAATTGAGTTACAGCCGAATTTGATCGGCTATAACTTTTTTGGGCAATCAGAATCTTATATCGAATGAATCTTATAAAAATACCGCTTATCGAGGGCCTTCGAATGCTACAAGATTCATTTAAATTGGAACAAGCCCAAAAAAGTTGTGGCCGATCAAATTCTGTTACCACTCACAACTTGTGGATGGATAACGGATAAATACGAAAAATTAAAACTCACGTCAGCCAAAAGAAATAGAGTATAATTGAAAATAATATAATCCTTAATTCCAAAAACAAAAAAAATCATCGAAATAGCAAAAACATTAGTTGTTGCAGAAGCAATAAAAACACGGCGTCGGATAGATACATTTGAAGAAACATTATTATATGTCTTAAAAAAATAAACTTTAAAAAGTTACTTAAAATATTTTTACATTTGCAACGCGCAATTCAGCCAATTCCAAAATCAGTAAACAAACAATTTGAATGGCTAACCAAGGTGTCCAACAGAGAATATCTTCCAACAAGTTGTGATGTGAAATAAAAATTAGAAACGTAAGCTTTGTTTGAACAAAGCGTCTAAAATATTTTCTAAGAGTAGATTCTTCCTGAAAAGTAACAAATGAATTATTTAAAATAAAAAATTATACATGATTAGTTAATCGACCATACAGGAATTCGATGGATTTTTTACCAAAAAATGCAACAATGGCACAACAGGTATTGAGGAGAATCTAAAAATTAAATTATATGACTAAACAAATAAATAAAAAAATATACATAAAAGAGAAGACGATGTTTCTGAACAACCAGAATAAATTTTCTGACAAAATTTTCTTCCGTAAAAGATTCGTGTAATTCAACGTCATCTTCTTTATGTTCAATATTTAACTAAAATTTAAAACTTTATAAATCAATTTATTGAAGGAGTAGAACAAGCACTTAAGACATACACTGCGTTTCAAAAAGATGGCACACCATGTTTTTTCGACATAAATCAACGGAAAAGTGTCCATTTCGTTTGAAATTTTTTCTCTAATTAGGTTTGATCAATATAATGCTATTAAAAAGACCCGAGCAAAAAAACCATTTTTTAAAAATTTTTTATAAAATAATTTTCAATTTTTTACTGTTTCATAAAGATGGCACACCTTAAATTTTCGACATTAGGAGTGGTCTGAAAAATCTACAAAAATTCCTATAAACATATTTATTGATGTCGATAGAAAATACAAAAGAAACGTAGTTCTAATATGTCTTCTTCGTTGAGATCTGGAAACCCAAAAATCAACGGAAAACAGGGGTAAGTGTCTTTAAAAAATATTTTTGACCCCTTAAAGACTAAATTAAATTTTTATTTTATAATTTTCTGAAAGCCCTTTAAATTTGGTATAAGAAACCCTTATTGTCAATTAAGCAAAAAATTTTACATATGAGATATTTAGTGTTAAATTCAATAAACATGAAAATAATTAAATCTACCCCATTCTTAGCACATTAGAAATTTAATGAAGTACAACTTGATGGAAAAAATTTTCTATAAAATGAAAATTTCTGGTATTATAGCAAATTTAAAGGGCTTTCAGAAAATTATAAAATAAAAATTTAATTTAGTCTTTAAGGGGTCAAAAATATTTTTTAAAGACGTTTACCCCCTGTTTTCCGTTGATTTTTGGGTTTCCAGATCTCAATGAAGAAGACATATTAGAACTTCGTTTCTTTTGTATTTTCTATCGACATCAATAAATATGTTTATAGGAATTTTTGTAGATTTTTCAGACCACTCCTAATGTCAAAAATTTAAGATGTGCCATCTTTTTGAAACAGTAAAAAATTGAAAATTATTTTATAAAAAATTTTTAAAAAATGGTTTTTTTGCTCGGGTCTTTTTAATAGCATTATATTGATCAAACCTAATTAGAGAAAAAATTTCAAACGAAATGGACACTTTTCCGTTGATTTATGTCGAAAAAACATGGTGTGCCATCTTTTTGAAACGCAGTGTATACTCTAAAGACCTATTTACCCTGGAGGCCTTTGCCAAAAATGACTACTGCCACTGAAGACCTACAACCTTTTAAAAGGATGCCAAAAGGGAATATCGAAAAGTCGGAGTAATAAAGAGGATATCGGGGGATCTGGTGTGATTGAATGCAACGATGGCACCCACTAGAACTAACACCCACTAGAACTGTAAAATAAATAAAACAAACATTTAAAGTAGTTCCAAGAGTTTGAACAATTCTATAGTAATAATAAAATCCGCTAAAGAAAAGTATGGAGCTGAACATTAAATAGTTCTTTACTGTTGGAAATCCTATTCGTGGAAGATAACCAAAGTTGAACATTACTTCCATAATTGCTGTAAATATCTAGAAACAGAGAATAAATTTTAAATTCTAAAGGCCCGTATAAATTAAAAAAATTAAGCGTGTGAAAATTTTAATTTTCGCAATGTTTCAACAAATCGACAAAATAGACACAATTGACACTTCAACACTTTCCAAAACGAAAATTAACAAAATTAATTTTGTATTGTTAGCGCGAAATTTTAGTTTAAATATATTTGGCGTCAATTTTTCTAAATTCTGGATTTACTTTGATTTCGGATAATCTCCGGATAATCCTTAGGTTAATTTTCTAGTAGGAATAATGAGGAACTTTGAGGGAAACCCTGAAGGGAGGATGTTAATGACTTTTCATGATTAACTTTTGCTCGTGATTTGATAAATTTTGTTTTTGGCATTCTGTTTAAGGACAATACATCCCATTAAATTTTCTTTTCTACCTGAGTCTTACTCAAATTTTCGACGGGTAAATTTAAACAAATTAGCGGAATAAGTTGTAAATCATTGAAAATATTTTCTTGTTATTTTTTTTTCAATCTGTTTTTATTTTTTTAATTTAAAGGAATTGACCAAATAATATTTCTTTTATTATTATCTATGGCTTATAATACCAACTTTGACCAAGTCGGACAGGTGCACTTTCGTTATCAATTTTTTATCAAAAAATTCTTTAGGCATTTATAGCACATTACTATAGCAAATTTGACGTTCCTGATGTAGCTGCTCGTACTGCTGGTCTTACTGACCTTTACGATGCTGATCTATCATTTATGACTTTTGAAGGGACTCCGGTTAGAGGTCGGGCTGCTATTTTGGAAAAGTTTGGATCGTTGCAATTTCGTTCCATTCAGCATGCTATTACTATGGTATTTTTATTTTATAATTGGTATTTGATTTCATTTTTCAGACTGATTGTCAACCTCTTCCAGACGGATCGATTCTTGTTACGGTTATTGGGCAATTGAAGGTTTTTCATTTTTCCAAAATTACTCTTATTTTTAAATTAGACGGATGATGATCCAGTTAATTCGTTCAATCATTGTTTTGTGTTGAAACCAAATACTACTGGTTCTTTCTATATTTCAAATGAAATCTTCCGTCTCATACTCCATTAAGAAGGATATATATGGCGATTATAATTAAAAAGAGGAATGAAGATCTTTTTTAAGTTTTTGATAAGTATGCGTACAACTTTTGTGTTTGTTTTTTTCTTCTGACAACACAAGATTTTGGTTAATTATTTACAATATAAATTTGGTTTTATTTTTTTGATAAATTGTTAGTATTTTTGAGTTTAATGTTTATATTGTGTATGCATTTAATTTTGCACTTTTATTTTTTATTTTGGTGTTATTTTTACTTTTCGTTCCAAATACTTTTGTGCAGTTTTAAAATGAGCCAGAAACATGTCAAGCAAGCAGCTCGTGGCCAGCGACAAATTTATGAGGAAAATAGACAAACCTTAATTGCGTATTCACTTGCTAGTTTTATATCCTTGACTATTGTTGGAATATTAAATTACTTTGTATTAAATGCTACACGTGGAGATTGGGTTTGTTTTTGGATTATATTTACTTGGATTTATGGGCATTGTGACCTGTAGGGAGCTTTTTATTCTGTGACTTTTACTATGTGCTATTTGAAGTGTTCGGTACTTCATGGAGAGTTTGAATGTGCGAAAGCTCTTTCGAAAAGTGAGCCGAGCTTATGTTAGTCGACTGACACCTCATCAACCGTTCCAGAAACTAAAAACTCCCCAATAAGTCACAATATTCGAATCTATTTTTAATTAAAAATATTAAAAGGCCTTTTTAATTAGATAGGTCTTATTGTCAGTACTATTTGCCAGTTTTCTTCTCTTGGATTAATGTTTTCTATGGTTTATTAATTTTTAAATTATAATCATTTGACTTTTAAAAATTATAGATGAAGAATGCACGAAACGAAAAAAATCAAATTGTCGATGCTGGTCTAGATCTTAATGATCCACAGGCATTTGGAGAGTAAGAAAATTGTTTTTTTTTTATTTTTTTAAATTTTCTTTCAAGGTATTGCAAAGATGTTGTCATTTTGAGTGTTTTGGTACAAATTCTGAGTTTATTCTCTGCCTATTTTTATTTACTTTTGTTGATTCTACCAATGTTTGGATTTTACAAATTATGGACAAAATTGCTTGGACCTTGGTTTTTTGCACCTGCTCCTGAAATCGATGAAAATACTGATGGAAAGAAGAAGCGTGATAAAAGAAGAGAAAAAACTGTTTATCTGAGACGATAGGTTTTTACGTTATTGTAATTTTTATTTTGAAGTTGAGGTTGTTTTTTTGTAAATTAAATTTTAAAGTAAACTGAAATTTATTTTTCCTTCTAGTCCACCTTTGAAAACCTAAAACAATTCCCGATCCCCTCTCAATTTTCTTTTATTTTTCAATAAGTGAGTAAAACTTCCGGTTTTTCCTTTTATAATTAAAAAACATGTTTGACTACCTTTTTTTTCTTAATCTCCTTTTTAAATCTTTAATTAATGTATTTATTCATGAATTGACCATGGATTTCATTTTAAAAGAAATGAGAATTTTTTTCTCCTACCTCTTTAAATTGAGAATATTATTAATTTTATTTTGTAATTTTTTATCATCTCATTCATTGTCAGCTTTAATTTCTATTCCTTCTTTGAAAATTAATTCTAAAAATTTAAATAAACAACATAGAGTAAATAAACGTTTTGGTTAGTAATACAAAAAATTTCTTAGGATAATCGTTCTAAGTAGTTCTAGTAGCTTTAAGTAGTTGCATATAATTAGTGATCGGACGGTATCTTACTACCGACGTTATTTTTCGGTATTCCGGTCGGTATTTTACTTATTCACCTTAATCCTCCGATCCTACTTGTCCTCTTAATCCTTCCAAATTAGCCGATATTCCCCTCAATTTCCCCCCAACTACATATAATATTTACCTATTAGTTCTTCATAGTCAACGTTGGAATACTTGTCAACTCAGTTGGTCTTTTCGTGATCCTTATGGTTTATTTCCATCAGACGAGCTTTTTGCGCAAACTAAGTTTGTTATTTTTTAATTTCATTTCCCTACTTTTTAAAGGCGCGTAATTGCTGATGCAGTACACTTATGGTCAAAAGTTGGCAATAATGACAATCGAAAACGAGGACAAAGAGGATTTATTAAATTAACTGATCTCTCACCAGTTACCCGGGTTTCTTTAATGAATGTTAGACGAGTTGCGGATATTGACATTTTCTTTGCTGGTTTTGCACACGGAGATGCTGAAAGTTTTGATGGACGTGGGGGTCTTGTTGCACATTCGGCATACCCGCCATTGGGAATTGTTCATTTTGATGCGAGCGAATATTGGGATTTGGGAGGAGAAAAACAAGTTTTTTGAGTAACGCTAAAACCTAAGGAGTTTATATTCAAGGATTCTACAATGAATAATTGGAATCGGAGGAAAAAGTGGAAAATAAACAGAGAACGGCGCTCTATTGGTTCTACAAAGAGCAAAGAGGAACAACAAACTGTTCTGGATTTGCGTAAAATTAATTTGAATTTTAATGGAATATTAATTTCCAAGGCTATGTTGCTGTTCACGAAATAGGACATGCTTTAGGTTTACGCCATTCTACTTTTCGTAACTCAGTTATGAATCGTTATTATAAAATGGCTTATAACTCAATGTAAAATTTATATTTTAAAATGGAACAGTCCCAAGCTTTTTTAGTCAACCGTCTAATAAACCCTTGAAACTAAGCAAAGATGATGAAGCAGCAATTGAGGAATTGTTTGGGGAAATGTGTAATAGCAATTAAAATTTCAGGGACTACCATGAAACAACAGTTAGGTTTTTAAAAAAGCTATGAAAAATCTCAATTTATTGGCAAGAATACAACACTGGCAATTTATAATTATCGAAATATGTACAATAAGAATAGGGTCATATACATGAAATATTAGAACATTTTTCCAAAAAACAAAAGTATTTTTGGAATTATAGAAGAATAATTGAGAATAAATTGATGACAATTACATTTGAAATCAATTGAATATAATATATTTGGGCATTTATTGCCACACAATTATTTTTAGTGGAAAACAAAATATTCTAGCAAAGAAAGGGCAACAATTACGAGGAGAGAAGCACTAGAAATTTATTTATTCTTTCATCATTATTCTTCCTCCTTTTCTTCCTTTTCCTCCTTCTCTTCTTCTTTATCTTCAGCCTTCTCTTCCTTCTCAGCTTTTTCAGCACCGCCCTCGTCGCCTTTCTTGTCTTCCTCCTTAGGCGGCTCGTCACCGATAGGCGGTGTTGCTTCTCCCTCCTTCTTCTCCGTACCACTCGATTCCTTGTCGCTGTGATCGGGTGCAGCTTTATCTGACTAAAAAACATTTTAAAGAGAGTAACATTTATTTAGTTTAAAAACTTACTCGTAGTCCAACATCACTCTTCACGCCTTTCTCTCCCTTGCCCGCTTCAGGTGGTTTTGCTGGCTCTTCCTTCTTCGATTTGACGTCTTCCTTCTTCGATTTGACATCTTCCTTCTTTGATTTGATGCCTTCTGTAGAATCTGGAGGTGGAGTTGCTCCTGCGGGTGGTGGTGCTGCTCCAGTTGGTGGTGGTGCTGCTCCAGGAACGGTCGATGGCTTTGCTCCAGAAGGTGGCGGCGCTCCAGGTTTTGGCGGTCCAGCTGGTGCCCCAAGAGGTGCCGGTACAGGAGGTGCACCTGGCTTCACCGGTCCTTGCGGCGGTTTTCCTGCTCCTACGGCTGAGGGTATCGCAGTCTTCGCCATTCCTGACTTCTCTCCCATCTTTGACTTTGCAGTCTTTGCATCGTCTTCAGTTTTGGATTTTGTGGCGGCAGTCCCAACTGACTTGGTTTTATCGGTCCTTGACTTGGCATCAGCATCTGCACCAGGGAGTAGAGGTTTGTCGATAGACTTATTGACCGCAGGTTTGTCCTTTCCTTCCTTCGTTTTACTTAAAAATTAAATGTTTAACAAAGACTAAAAAATAGAGCAACATGCCCAGATTTCGTGTCGCCCGGTGGTTGTTTCACAGAGCTCTTGACATCCTTCGTCTTCTTTTTCTTCTTGCAGCATTGGACAGCAAAAGCGATGACGAACAGCGACACACAGAGATCGACACAGTAGAGCAGTAACACAAAGGTCGTCGGATCGAAGACGGTCATTGTATTCGATTGGGAGTCGCAGCGTCAGTTGACTTACTAAGTCGCAGCGTTAGATTATGTTGTGTTGACTAGAGCTACTTTTTATATTAGATTTCTTCCGCTACATTTCCTTATTATAAAAACAACCCCGAGCATTAAGCAGCATCTTCTATTTGTGCCGTCATGTTACCAGCAAATGCAGTACTCAGCTTTGATTCTACAAAATTTATACTTTTGTTCTATTGTGCCCATTTATGTGTGCCGCTGTTCTTCATCAATTTCATTGTCCATTGCTGCAAAAAGAAAATGAAAGTGCCTCCTAAAAGTATTATAGAAGACCCACCGAGCGATATGGTTTCCAAGTAAGATTTTAAACTATACAAGATTAAAGATATCTGATAATTTTTCTTTTTAAGAGCTGCCGTTAAACATAAGGGTGTAAAAGGCAAAAAAGCTGTGACCAAACAAAAGAAAGTAAAAGGAAAAACTGCTGTGATCAAGCAAAAGACTGTAAAAGGCAAAACAACAAGAAGGCGTTGAGGCTTAAGAAACAACAGGGAAGGCTTAGGAAAATAAGAGGAAGAATTAATCACTAAAAACAACAAAAATCCACAGCTTTTTAATAAATATTCTTTGTTCCTTTTTTATCTCTTCAAGGGTTTGTTACTATAAAATTAAAAAAATTTTGTGTTCACTTTTATTTAATTTCGTTATTTTAAATAAGAAATTTGAATATCTTTAAATATATTTAGGTTATTTTTTAATTCCGAAAATCGAAAGTCCATGGAGAATTGCAGTTAGAGCTTCAGTAATCTAAATTAAGAGTAGTTAACCCCCCCTCCAAGTCGTTGGGGCAGCGGGGTCCAACCATTTAGCCCCTCCCACATTTTTAAATGGTCATTCAACAACTACGTCGTCAGAGTCCAAAGGTTTAAGGATTTCCCTTTAAGGGATAATTTGATCAAACCGGTTTGGTGCGAACTTTAAAAAAACACCTTACCATACCATTCCCCACATTTTTCACCAAATTTTATTCTAAAAATTTTCCCAAAGTTTCTAGGGTTTAATAAGTAGTTTTCAAACGGTTCAATCAAGATTTCCCATATTTTTTCTTTTTAAAACTGTTTCTTAAACTTTTTTTAAGTTTCTTTTCTTACAATATCTTATTTTATTATTTTTACCCTTTATACTTAAAAAAATACAATAATTATTAAAAAGTAGGCGGTTGAAATAGAAATAGTAAAAATCAGTCATGCAATAATTATGTTGCAAAATTATTGTTGAAAAGTGAAAATTGGTTAGAAATAGGTCATGCAAGAGAAAAACTGTAAAAATTTGTAAATTATTGTTGAAAAGTTAAAAATGGGTAAATTTTTAAAAAGTAGACGTTGAAGATAGAAATAACTTTAAAAAATATAAATAGGTAAAAAATAGCTCATGCAAAAATTGATCAAAAAATCATTAAAAAGTAGGCGTAGAAAAGTGAAAATAGACTATAATTATAAAAACAAAATATTACTGTAATAGGAAAAATAAATAAATGAAAATAAATAAAGTTTTATAATTACCCCTCTCTATTAATTACCCACTAATAATTTAAAAAATTAAGAGTTTAAAAAAATAAATTCTACAAACAACATCGTCGCATCGTTCACAACTTGCTAATTATATACCTAAAAATTTTTCTTTACCAGATATTATGCTAATTTTCTTTCTCGAAATATTATTTAAAATTTAAAACATTTCCTATCTAGTTAAATTATGTTAAATTTATTTTTAAAACTCCTCTTCTTGACTGGAAATAAAAGAAAAAGATTGTTTTATATAGGGATTTCTCTTCTTTTGACAACATCCTAAGGAATAAAAACAAAGGTATGTATTATTACGAAACTAAACATTATTAAGAAACTTGCTCGCTCTTTCTTTATTCTCTTTAAATTCTTTTGCTTTTTTATGCAAAAATTCTTTTAGGCTTTTTCCCGCGACCGCGACTGGAAAATAATGAAAAGGAATTTCAGTGAAATTCCTATTTTACAACACATCAATTATTTTATGGAATATTTTCTTAAAAAAGGATTTCACATTTCTTTCTTCATTCTTTAAAATTCTAAGAAATTTAATACTTTTGAATTAGTCTCTAATTTTGAATTTATTTTATTATTAATGTCTCCTCCACCTTCGAAGAAAGCACGACATTTCTTCATTGATAATCTATTACAGAAAGGTGATGGTGATTATGTAAAACATTTGGGTGAAGAAACTAAAATCACCCGGAAATTTAACCTTACCAAACTGTCTACTAAATTCTTAATTTCGAATATCCCACCCGATCCTGAGGGTTTATTAAAAGGAATTTTCCAAGAATGCATCGACAAAACATTGGAGACGAGTCATGGTCATCAGCTTGATCCAGATCAACTTGGCTGTACAGTGAGCAGTCAATTGTTAGAATCAGATATTTGGATTCCAATACGTGAAATTACTCCCAACACGGTGGATTCAATTCTTAACCAATTTCTAAAAGTGGCCCAATCTAAAAAACAGGATCAGGGAATGTTATGGGGTGAACCATTTACCGTTTCTGTTACAGCTATTGACAAAAAACATCTGCCTACAACACGTTCTATTAATGGTAGTGGCAAAAATCCATCACCAATTCGACATAAAGTTAAAGACCACAACCTCATTAAAATTATTAATTCAGACAACTACTGCTTATTTCGATCATTGTCTGCCACCTTTATATTTTCAACATGCTCATGGCCGAAATGGAAGTTCTATGACTATATGCATAGCAGATTAGGAATGAAGAAACGTTTGGAACATGATACAACATTCTTGATGGAAAATGTAGGAGCTCCTCTTGATTTAACAACATATGATGCAAATGAATGGGTACCCAAGGTGGTTGATTATTGGAATTCAAGGAATGATGGCCTGTTTAAAGTTTTTATTTTTGGAGAATTGGGTGAGAAGCCTATTTTTAAATATGGGGATGAAAATCACACTACTCCAATTCTTCTTTATTACAACAATAATCATTTTGATGGAGTTAGAAAAGCAAGCGATTTATTTGGTAAACCTTATTGCCTATCATGTGAGATAATTTACAACCGCCCAAAAGATCATTCTATCACCTGCACATCAAAATGTCAAAATTGCTCCAGGATCGGACCCAATTACCCATGCCAGCCTTTAGATAACTACTTCAAACATTGCTCTGGTTGTTCTAAGAAATTTAATAATGAAGAGTGCTACACCCATCATCTCAAATCTAAATTTTGCCACAACTCTAAGAAATGTGAGAAATGTGGAGTGATATGGTATGTGAAGGACAACAACAAGAATGGGCGCAGTGGACATGTTTGTTCAGAACGTTACTGCACCACCTGCTTTAGCTTCCATGACCCAAAAAGAGGTTGTTACATTAAATCTCTAACTCAAAGGAAGCCAAAACCCTACCGAGTCATCGCTTTTGACTTTGAAACCATGCAACACAGGCAAGGCGAAAAAGGGAAATTACATGAAGTGAATTTTATATCTGCAAAAATCAACTGCCCCGAGTGTATTAGTAACGGAAACAACGATTGTACTATTTGCGGAGAAGAACGAACTATAACCTTCTCCCACCAACCATTTTCCAACACTCAAGTCGATCAACAAAATGTTACTAATGATCCTCTGACTGATTTTGTAACCTGGATCACTAATTTTTCTACTGATACAATAGCCTTCTCTCATTTTGGAGGAAGGTTTGATATGGTCCTAGTCTTCAAGGCATTGTATCTCAAAGGCCTAATCCCAGAAATGATAAAGAAAGGTAACAAAATGTATGAGATGAAGGTGAAGAACAATAAAAAATGCTGGGTCATCTTCAGAGACACATACAATCTAATGCCAATGCCTCTGGCATCTCTTGTACCAGCCTTTGCTCTTAAAACGGAAGACAAACCTTTCTTCCCTCACCTGGCCAACAACCCAAAGAATTATGGGAAAGAAATCTTTCCGACAAAAGAAGATTACCTTGCTAATGGGATGATGCCTGAAAAGAGGGCTCAGTTCGATAAATGGTTTGACCAACATAAAAATGAGCCCTTCAACTTAAATGAACAACTAGCAGCATATTGTATCAACGATGTGGAGATCCTCATGGCTGCACTCATTGCCTTCAGAACGGAATTTTTGGAAGTCTCCAATGGCTTGGATGTTCTTCGTGAAGCTATGACAATTGCTTCTGCCTGCATGAAGCACTTCCGCATGAATCACCTCAAAGCCAACCATTTAGGAATTGTTCCTGAAAAAGGTTACGACAACGTCGACAACCAAAGTAAAATTGCTCTCAAGTTTCTGAAATGGTATGGCGAGAAGAATAACGTTACAATTAGGACAGCACACTCAAAGAATGGGGAGAAGAAAATTGGAAATTATAAATTGGATGGATGGGTTGAGGAAAAGAAATTGGCTATTGAAGTCAATGGTTGCTGCTGGCATGGATGTATCAAATGCTATCCTGACGACGATCTTAAGCTTCCAACAGGTCTTACAGCTGGAAAACAGCGGGAGAAGGACCAAAAACGTCTAAAATTTATTAGGAATTTGGGGGTCAAAGTGGCAGTATATTGGGAGTGTCAAATCATTGATATGGTAGCAAAAGATTATGAAATGAGGAAGATGTTTAAAAAATATCTGGATGATGGACCAATAAATATTAGAGAGGCCTTCTATGGGGGAAGAACTGGTCCCTTGAAGTTATACCACAAGGCTGAGGATGGACAAAAAATTTCTTACTACGATGTCACCTCCCTTTACCCATTTATCAACGTCTCAACTCGATATCCTGTTGGGCATCCAGAAGTCCACGTCATCAATATGGATGTCAATTGGACCAAACCTGAAGACAACACTTACAACACTGCTCTTTTAAAATTATTCGTCATACCACCGAGAAGTATTGACGTTCCTGTTTTACCAATGAAAATTGGGGAAGACGACGATGAACGATTACTATTTCCCCTGTGTTCTACTTGTGCAAAAGAGTACCCTAAAGGTGATGTCAACGAAAACTACAGCTGCCCCCACACTAATAAACAGCGAGGGTGGGTCAGCACATGTACGTCTATTGAGATAAACGAAGCCCTCAAGGAGGGGTATGTGGTGACCAAACTATTTAGAGTATTGGAATTTAAAGACTACGACGACAAACTGTTCAGACCCTACATTAGTGAATTTATGACCCAAAAAATTCACTCTTCTGGTTTTGACAACACCATCAAGGGTGACATAGAAAAGGAAGATAAGTTTATGAAAGAGTGCCTGGAAATGTTTGGGATTAACATCGAGAGGGAGAAGATGGTGGTCAATAAGGGTAAACGGACACAAGCGAAATTGTGTCTAAACAATTTGTGGGGGCGATTTTCACTTCGTAACTTTGGACTCTCCCAGTGCAAAATTACTGACGACCCAAGTGAATACGTAAAAATGAGTAACGACCCAGCAATAACAGTTAATCATTGTCATGAATTGACTGAAGATGGGACTGTGCTTATCGACTACATTAAGAAAAAAGATTGGGTGGAGGAGCATGACTCATCAAACGTCATAATCTCGCTCTGGACCACATCAGCAGCGAGAATTCACCTTCTACACGCAATGCAGAAAGTTGTAAGGACTCCGGGGTGTGAGTTACTATACACCGACACCGATTCTTTAATCTTCATCCACCCAGACAACAATTGTCCACTTGAATTAGGGCCTCATCTGGGTCAGTTTACTGATGAGTACCCAGACTTTGATATTTTGGAGTACTGCTCTGG